CAGAAATCCAACGGTGTATTCGTTCCAATTGTTGAGCCTGAAGTAAATTATTAAAAATAAAATGGATTAAAAATTTTTACTCGTTTAGCAAATTCCTTTGAATTTTTAACAGCTTCTTGCGCATCCCTTTCATTTGAAAGTTGCTTATTTTTCAATTGACTTATTCTTTTTTTAAATTCACTTATTTCAGCGGCTTTCGTTCGAAGAGTTTTATCTTTAAGACGAACATCTTGATTATATTTATCCATATCATCTTGAAGATGTTGAACAGATTCCTTTAAAATAACATATTAAATTAAATTCATAAATCAAAAAAAAAGAAACGTTAGCTTCGGCAACTTTTGCTATAAATTTTTCAATTTCTGCATTCTTTTCATCTCGCAATTTTTCCAAATGAGCAAGCTCATTTCCGTCGTTTTCAATTGACTGTTCTAATAACGAAATTTCTTCTCTTAAAATGTTAATTCAATCCGAATTATAGAATATAAAAACCTTAGACTTGCAAGACGTTCCTTTGCATTACCAAAAGTATCCTTCATCCTCTCAAGTTCTTTTTTGGCATTATCTAATTCACGTTGTGCATTATTTTTTTCATTTTCCTTGATTATAAAAAATTCAATTTTATTTAAAAATAAAACAATACATGGAAATTTTCATCCTTTTTCTGCTGTTCCAATTCACGAATAAGTTGTTTCAGTCTTTCAATATCAGGTAAAACATTTTCCATCGTTTCATTCAAGTCTTTGATTTCTTGCTCCAAACGTCCAATTTCTTCAGTTAAAACTTCAACAGGATTGGATTTTAATGCAGTTACAACCGCATCCAAATGATGTTTGTGATCACGTAATTTTGCATTTAAATCTTCAAAACGTTGCTGGATGGGACGAAGTGAAGCGAGTTTAGCTAGAAAGCAAAGATAAATTTCATTTAAAAAAATAAAAAAACTATTCAGTGAATGTTGCTCCTTGTTAATTTGAGAAATTCTCTCATACCGACCAAAAACATCGTGAAGTGCGCTCAAAACAGAAGCTTTATGGTTTCGAGAACCACCGGTTAAAATTCCTCGAGGGTTGAGATCATCACCATTCAATGTTACAGTTCGACAGTTTACATTTTGATTTTTATAAGTTAACAAATTTGCTTGTTCCATATTTAAACAGATCTGAAAATTCCCCTATAAATAAAAAAATCATTAAAAATACCAAAGAATTTCCAAAGACAAAGTTTATAACTGGCTCTAATTCAGGTTCATATTCAATCAATTCTCGGGGCACAAAAACATTTTCATCACCAACCATAAGTTTAGCTTCTTGAATCTGACGTTTACTCACAACTCCACGTACTTCAATTTTATCCATAGGAAGCATTGTAACGCGATTTTGAATACATTTCTTATCAATAAGAACTTTGGCAACTTCAGCTTTGTTAACCACAATGTTGTAAAGCTAACGAAATTTATTAGAAAATTAAATTAAGAAATTTTAATAAAACAAACCCGCCCTCCAGCAACAACTTCTAGTGCTGTTGCAAATTTAGGATCTTTTAATTTAAACAATTTTGCAACAACTCCTCTAACCTCCCTGCGATCAAAACCAGCATAGGGGTCTTTATAATTGAATTGTAAATTGTAATAACTAAGAAATTAAAATTTTAATTACTAGAGAAAAGAAAATTTTACCGTGCTTCAAAATTATCAAGTTCACGAGTAATTTCAGCATGTTCTCGAGATAGGAGCTTTCGCTCAGCTTCGAAATTTTTCTCCAGTTCGGGATCAAAATTCAATGAATGAAGATCTCGCTAAGGAAAGATTTCAAGTTTAAAATTTAAATTAAGTATAAAAAACCTCAATTTTAGAAATTTCAGTTTCAATCCTTCTTTTTGATTCGTGATCGCCAGTAGATCGACGTTTAAAAGTGGCAAGTTCCAGCCGTTTTTTCTCGATAACTTTTCGTGACTGCGAAAGTTGCATCTCCAATTTCTTTGAATTTGTTTGTTGCTCCGACAGCTTTGTTCTAGCAGCTAAATATACAAGATTTAGAGCACAAGAAAATATTTAATACATATAAGTTGCGCCTCTAAAGTCACGGCATTTCCCTGCTCATCAGTAGTCATTCCACGAGCCAATGCTTCTAGTCTCAGACGTGCTCTTTGAACAGCTTTTTCAGCAGACAATCCACGCTGTTCCACAGTCCCGTTTTCAGATTGAGCATTGGCAAGGTAATTTTTCTTTGTTTCTAGATGTTGTCTATCACCAGTTAACGATTCAATCTTCCGTTCAATAGAAACTTGTAGCTCTTTAAGATCAGCCTATAAAATGTAACTTAAAAGATCTTTTTTTTAATAAAACTTCTTTTCCATCTTTTTCTGATTCTATTTTTGCAAGTGAACTTTGTTTTTCCTTAAGTAATTTCTCCAATTTCTGAAATTCAGGAGCAGTATTTTTAGCACTCTCCGATTCCATTTTTCGTAAATTTTCTTCTTCACGTTTTGCTTCCTGCTGCAACAAATCAAGTTCCTTTATTACTTGGGTAATTTGTTGTCGAAAGGTTTGGGCCTTGTTTTCGAGTTCTTTAATTTGCAACTAAATAAGAAATATAAAAATGAATCTTTAATGATTTTATAATACCTGACTATTATGATAATCATAAGCATTAAACTTTCGTTCAAGAACTTGAACCTCACGTTCAATTCTCTGATATTCCAAATAATTTTCACGATCCTTCTTTAAGCGTTCTACACGAGGCAATATATCTTCTTCAAAAAGCTGAATATCAATAGTAATAAATAATTGAAACCAAAAAACCTTGTTAATTTCATCAACTTTGGCATCTCTTTTTTCGATAATACGAATGGCATTTAGTTTTTTGCATTCATACATACGGACGCCAGCTGCCTCCTCTAACATTGAAAGAATCTAAATATAAAATTGAAACTCTAATAAAAGATAAATAAATTCACCTCTAATGGCTTCATACCAAGAACCTTTGTTATTCGTCCTTGCATTATTAAAAAATGCGGATTGTTCACATTTATACCAACCATTCGAAAAAGATCAGAAACCCGTTGATTAGTCGCCACAGTTCCATTTATTTGGTATGTATTTCTCCCATTAATGATAATCTGAAAATTGGTGCTGTCTTTCAAACAAAAATTGAAAACCTGTCTTCGAACAATAATCTCTTTGAACTTGCCGTAACCGGCCGGTTGCTGCTCGCTATTGTCAAAAGTAATAGTAACTGTTGCACGATTTATACCAGCTTGGCCTTGTTTGTAAACAAGATCAGAAAGTGAATGTGCACGAACATTTGCCAAATTAGTTATACCAAGCAGAAAACAGATTGCATCCAAAATGTTTGATTTACCAGAGCCATTCAAACCAGTTATTGCATTAAACTGTGGATCTAGTTTGTTTACAACTTCCAGCTGAGAATACGATTTAAAGCCTTCAATTTCAATCTTTTTAATGCGCATTCTAATAAAATTAGTAATTAAACATTAAAATATGAAAATGAATTATACAAACAACCGAAAAAAAGAGGAACTTTATGGATATGCCCAGTGAGACTCTAGTGTTCTTTTTAAAGAACAATATCTCTTTTTTAAATAAAGTGAAAATAGAGAGTGAAAATATTCGAGGTAGTGTGCTAAAAAGAGAGATTTATCAACGTTAGAGAAAAATATTAGTACAATAACTCTGGCCGTTTAAGTGCTCAATACTGAGAGCGCAATAAATACTGTATGTGAATCTGAATGATGAATTATTAAAAGTCGAATAGTCTTTTATGATCAAAGATTATTATATTATCAACAAAATCGAATCTCTCTTTTTAGCGCACTACCTTAAATATTTTCCCTCTCAGTTCGGTCATTTCGCTTTGCTAAAAAAAGAGATAGTTCTTTAAAAAGATCACTAGTCTCGATAACATGAATCTGAGCCTTTCGTAAAATCAATCTTTCGGTGTAATTTGAATTCATCAATTATCACCGGTTGTCGATCACGGAAGTATCGATTTTATTGATTAATAATTTTCGAAAATAAAAACACTTCGATTTTAAAAAATACAATTCTGGTTTGGTTACAGTAGTTATCGTGCTCTCATTATTGAGCACTCAAACAGCCAGAGTTATTGTACTAATATTTTTCTCTAACGTTAGAAAAATCTCTCTTTTTAGCACACTACCTCAAATATCTTCCCTCTCTATTTGGTACATTTCGCTTTGCTAAAAAAGAGATAAAGTTGTAAAAATTTCAAACAAAAAATCACATCATCATCTGTTCCTCCTCTTTCTTCAATAGGGCTTTTCTTTCAATTAAAAATCTTTCATGTTTTTCACGTAAATACATCAATAAAGGTTGAAGATCTAGTCTATACTTTCCCGAAATAAAAAATAGCCGCTGACCGGCGTACATTTTTGCGGCTTTCTTCTCAAATTCTATCTGAATATTGTTAATTAATTTTCATAAAAATATTTTTAAAAATACCCTATTATTCAATGTATCAATTTTGTTAAAAACAATTGCAGTTTCCTTTTTATTTAGATCAGCATCATACAATTCCAATTCTCTTCTCAATGAAAGCCATTGATTTTGCAAATCATTTTGGGAACAATCAATGACGTAAAGGATGCATTCACAACGAAGAATATGCCTCAAAAAACTGAAACCCAGACCTTCATTCCTATGAGCTCCTTTCACTAAGCCGGGTATGTCGGCAACTAAATAAATTTTATTAAAGATTTTAAAATTGAATAAATAACCAGCGACTTGAAAATAATCCGAATATTCAACCATTCCGACGCTAGGTTTAAGTGTTGTAAAGGGATAAGCAGCCACTTTAGGTTTGGCACGGGAAATTGCTCTGAGAAGTGTACTGAATAGAATAGTAGATAAATTGCTTGAAAATTAAAACATACGATTTTCCAACATTTGGGAATCCAACAAATCCGGCAGTTGCCATCACGCGCATTTCTATATCATAAGCTATCTTAAAACAACTTTATCAACGTCTTAATCTATCCTTTACCTTTTCACCACGGCCTCCTTCTTCGGCTTTTAGCGGTTTTCTTGCCATATTCGATAGGTAAAAAGCATTACCATGTCCACCAGCACCACCTCTTGCAGCAATAAACATTTCCCCATCATGGGTTAGTTCCCAAATTGACTCTTTTACAGGTCGAAGTTCATCTTCACTTGGTCGTTTGATAAGCGTGTTTAATGGCACATCCACGTATAAATGGCCACCATTTTTGCCGTGGCAACACTTTCCTTGACCTTTAAAGAGTCTGGCAAATTTTTGCGGTTAAAATTAAGTTTTATACCTGCCTGTCCATTTTCTGCTTTCATTAACAATTCTACTCTCGATAAGTCACTGACTTTTGAATTAGCTAAATTTGGATAAAAATTTTGAAAAGAAAAACCAAAAACCTTTAAAAATGACATGACCTCCATTTCCACCATTGCCGCCGTCTGGACCAGCTGAAATTTAAAATAAAGTCAAACATTTTAAGAACTGTTATAAAATACCAAATTCAAAATTCTTTTCACGCAAAAACGAAATAACTCCATTGCCACCATTTCCTCCAGAGCACACTACCTTTTGATAATCAACAAAGTCAAGGGGTTCGCCAGTTGATCTTAGCTTTTTTGGAAGGACTGGTGCTTTGTGTGAAATGTCGTAATTTTCTGATTTTTCGATTTCAGATATTGCTGTAGATAGAGGCCTTTTTAGAATGTTGGAAAATCGTAAATGTTGGAAAATCGTATGTTTTAATTTTCAAGCAATTTATCTACTATTCTATTCAGTACACTTCTCAGAGCAATTTCCCGTGCCAAACCTAAAGTGGCTGCTTATCCCTTTACAACACTTAAACCTAGCGTCGGAATGGTTGAATATTCGGATTATTTTCAAGTCGCTGGTTATTTATTCAATTTTAAAATCTTTAATAAAATTTATTTAGTTGCCGACATACCCGGCTTAGTGAAAGGAGCTCATAGGAATGAAGGTCTGGGTTTCAGTTTTTTGAGGCATATTCTTCGTTGTGAATGCATCCTTTACGTCATTGATTGTTCCCAAAATGATTTGCAAAATCAATGGCTTTCATTGAGAAGAGAATTGGAATTGTATGATGCTGATCTAAATAAAAAGGAAACTGCAATTGTTTTTAACAAAATTGATACATTGAATAATAGGGTATTTTTAAAAATATTTTTATGAAAATTAATTAACAATATTCAGATAGAATTTGAGAAGAAAGCCGCAAAAATGTACGCCGGTCAGCGGCTATTTTTTATTTCGGGAAAGTATAGACTAGATCTTCAACCTTTATTGATGTATTTACGTGAAAAACATGAAAGATTTTTAATTGAAAGAAAAGCCCTATTGAAGAAAGAGGAGGAACAGATGATGATGTGATTTTTTGTTTGAAATTTTTACAACTTTATCTCTTTTTTAGCAAAGCGAAATGTACCAAATAGAGAGGGAAGATATTTGAGGTAGTGTGCTAAAAAGAGAGATTTTTCTAACGTTAGAGAAAAATATTAGTACAATAACTCTGGCTGTTTGAGTGCTCAATAATGAGAGCACGATAACTACTGTAACCAAACCAGAATTGTATTTTTTAAAATCGAAGTGTTTTTATTTTCGAAAATTATTAATCAATAAAATCGATACTTCCGTGATCGACAACCGGTGATAATTGATGAATTCAAATTACACCGAAAGATTGATTTTACGAAAGGCTCAGATTCATGTTATCGAGACTAGTGATCTTTTTAAAGAACTATCTCTTTTTTTAGCAAAGCGAAATGACCGAACTGAGAGGGAAAATATTTAAGGTAGTGCGCTAAAAAGAGAGATTCGATTTTGTTGATAATATAATAATCTTTGATCATAAAAGACTATTCGACTTTTAATAATTCATCATTCAGATTCACATACAGTATTTATTGCGCTCTCAGTATTGAGCACTTAAACGGCCAGAGTTATTGTACTAATATTTTTCTCTAACGTTGATAAATCTCTCTTTTTAGCACACTACCTCGAATATTTTCACTCTCTATTTTCACTTTATTTAAAAAAGAGATATTGTTCTTTAAAAAGAACACTAGAGTCTCACTGGGCATATCCATAAAGTTCCTCTTTTTTTCGGTTGTTTGTATAATTCATTTTCATATTTTAATGTTTAATTACTAATTTTATTAGAATGCGCATTAAAAAGATTGAAATTGAAGGCTTTAAATCGTATTCTCAGCTGGAAGTTGTAAACAAACTAGATCCACAGTTTAATGCAATAACTGGTTTGAATGGCTCTGGTAAATCAAACATTTTGGATGCAATCTGTTTTCTGCTTGGTATAACTAATTTGGCAAATGTTCGTGCACATTCACTTTCTGATCTTGTTTACAAACAAGGCCAAGCTGGTATAAATCGTGCAACAGTTACTATTACTTTTGACAATAGCGAGCAGCAACCGGCCGGTTACGGCAAGTTCAAAGAGATTATTGTTCGAAGACAGGTTTTCAATTTTTGTTTGAAAGACAGCACCAATTTTCAGATTATCATTAATGGGAGAAATACATACCAAATAAATGGAACTGTGGCGACTAATCAACGGGTTTCTGATCTTTTTCGAATGGTTGGTATAAATGTGAACAATCCGCATTTTTTAATAATGCAAGGACGAATAACAAAGGTTCTTGGTATGAAGCCATTAGAGGTGAATTTATTTATCTTTTATTAGAGTTTCAATTTTATATTTAGATTCTTTCAATGTTAGAGGAGGCAGCTGGCGTCCGTATGTATGAATGCAAAAAACTAAATGCCATTCGTATTATCGAAAAAAGAGATGCCAAAGTTGATGAAATTAACAAGGTTTTTTGGTTTCAATTATTTATTACTATTGATATTCAGCTTTTTGAAGAAGATATATTGCCTCGTGTAGAACGCTTAAAGAAGGATCGTGAAAATTATTTGGAATATCAGAGAATTGAACGTGAGGTTCAAGTTCTTGAACGAAAGTTTAATGCTTATGATTATCATAATAGTCAGGTATTATAAAATCATTAAAGATTCATTTTTATATTTCTTATTTAGTTGCAAATTAAAGAACTCGAAAACAAGGCCCAAACCTTTCGACAACAAATTACCCAAGTAATAAAGGAACTTGATTTGTTGCAGCAGGAAGCAAAACGTGAAGAAGAAAATTTACGAAAAATGGAATCGGAGAGTGCTAAAAATACTGCTCCTGAATTTCAGAAATTGGAGAAATTACTTAAGGAAAAACAAAGTTCACTTGCAAAAATAGAATCAGAAAAAGATGGAAAAGAAGTTTTATTAAAAAAAAGATCTTTTAAGTTACATTTTATAGGCTGATCTTAAAGAGCTACAAGTTTCTATTGAACGGAAGATTGAATCGTTAACTGGTGATAGACAACATCTAGAAACAAAGAAAAATTACCTTGCCAATGCTCAATCTGAAAACGGGACTGTGGAACAGCGTGGATTGTCTGCTGAAAAAGCTGTTCAAAGAGCACGTCTGAGACTAGAAGCATTGGCTCGTGGAATGACTACTGATGAGCAGGGAAATGCCGTGACTTTAGAGGCGCAACTTATATGTATTAAATATTTTCTTGTGCTCTAAATCTTGTATATTTAGCTGCTAGAACAAAGCTGTCGGAGCAACAAACAAATTCAAAGAAATTGGAGATGCAACTTTCGCAGTCACGAAAAGTTATCGAGAAAAAACGGCTGGAACTTGCCACTTTTAAACGTCGATCTACTGGCGATCACGAATCAAAAAGAAGGATTGAAACTGAAATTTCTAAAATTGAGGTTTTTTATACTTAATTTAAATTTTAAACTTGAAATCTTTCCTTAGCGAGATCTTCATTCATTGAATTTTGATCCCGAACTGGAGAAAAATTTCGAAGCTGAGCGAAAGCTCCTATCTCGAGAACATGCTGAAATTACTCGTGAACTTGATAATTTTGAAGCACGGTAAAATTTTCTTTTCTCTAGTAATTAAAATTTTAATTTCTTAGTTATTACAATTTACAATTCAATTATAAAGACCCCTATGCTGGTTTTGATCGCAGGGAGGTTAGAGGAGTTGTTGCAAAATTGTTTAAATTAAAAGATCCTAAATTTGCAACAGCACTAGAAGTTGTTGCTGGAGGGCGGGTTTGTTTTATTAAAATTTCTTAATTTAATTTTCTAATAAATTTCGTTAGCTTTACAACATTGTGGTTAACAAAGCTGAAGTTGCCAAAGTTCTTATTGATAAGAAATGTATTCAAAATCGCGTTACAATGCTTCCTATGGATAAAATTGAAGTACGTGGAGTTGTGAGTAAACGTCAGATTCAAGAAGCTAAACTTATGGTTGGTGATGAAAATGTTTTTGTGCCCCGAGAATTGATTGAATATGAACCTGAATTAGAGCCAGTTATAAACTTTGTCTTTGGAAATTCTTTGGTATTTTTAATGATTTTTTTATTTATAGGGGAATTTTCAGATCTGTTTAAATATGGAACAAGCAAATTTGTTAACTTATAAAAATCAAAATGTAAACTGTCGAACTGTAACATTGAATGGTGATGATCTCAACCCTCGAGGAATTTTAACCGGTGGTTCTCGAAACCATAAAGCTTCTGTTTTGAGCGCACTTCACGATGTTTTTGGTCGGTATGAGAGAATTTCTCAAATTAACAAGGAGCAACATTCACTGAATAGTTTTTTTATTTTTTTAAATGAAATTTATCTTTGCTTTCTAGCTAAACTCGCTTCACTTCGTCCCATCCAGCAACGTTTTGAAGATTTAAATGCAAAATTACGTGATCACAAACATCATTTGGATGCGGTTGTAACTGCATTAAAATCCAATCCTGTTGAAGTTTTAACTGAAGAAATTGGACGTTTGGAGCAAGAAATCAAAGACTTGAATGAAACGATGGAAAATGTTTTACCTGATATTGAAAGACTGAAACAACTTATTCGTGAATTGGAACAGCAGAAAAAGGATGAAAATTTCCATGTATTGTTTTATTTTTAAATAAAATTGAATTTTTTATAATCAAGGAAAATGAAAAAAATAATGCACAACGTGAATTAGATAATGCCAAAAAAGAACTTGAGAGGATGAAGGATACTTTTGGTAATGCAAAGGAACGTCTTGCAAGTCTAAGGTTTTTATATTCTATAATTCGGATTGAATTAACATTTTAAGAGAAGAAATTTCGTTATTAGAACAGTCAATTGAAAACGACGGAAATGAGCTTGCTCATTTGGAAAAATTGCGAGATGAAAAGAATGCAGAAATTGAAAAATTTATAGCAAAAGTTGCCGAAGCTAACGTTTCTTTTTTTTTGATTTATGAATTTAATTTAATATGTTATTTTAAAGGAATCTGTTCAACATCTTCAAGATGATATGGATAAATATAATCAAGATGTTCGTCTTAAAGATAAAACTCTTCGAACGAAAGCCGCTGAAATAAGTGAATTTAAAAAAAGAATAAGTCAATTGAAAAATAAGCAACTTTCAAATGAAAGGGATGCGCAAGAAGCTGTTAAAAATTCAAAGGAATTTGCTAAACGAGTAAAAATTTTTAATCCATTTTATTTTTAATAATTTACTTCAGGCTCAACAATTGGAACGAATACACCGTTGGATTTCTGAAGAAAAAGAAAATTTTGGTTTACGTAACACTGAATATGATTTTACAGATTTTACTTTTGATATCGGAAAAAGAGAAATTGAACAACGCAAAGATAGAATCAAGGAGCTATCGCATACAATAAACACAAAGTAATTCTTTTAAAACTTGTTCCTTTTTAATTCTTAAAAATTCAGGGCAATGCACTTATTAGACACAGCTGAGGGTCAATGTCAAGAATTGGATATCAAACGATCTCAGTTAGTTAAAGACAAGAAGCAACTTTACGATACAATAGAACAGCTTGATGAGAGGAAGAAACGCGAACTTATTGCAGCTCACAAACAAATTAGCAATGTATTAATTTTGAATTATTTATCTATGATTTTTAATTTTTAAAGGATTTTGGATCAATTTATTCAACTCTCCTCCCTGGTGCAGGCGCTGAACTCGTTCCTCCAGCTGGGGCTGAGAATTGTCTTTCAGGACTTGAAGTTCGCGTCGCATTTAATGGAAAATACAAGGTTTAAGCAATTATTAAATTAATAAATTATAAAGTTTTAATAGGACTCATTATCTGAACTTTCTGGTGGACAACGCTCGCTGATTGCTCTTTCTTTAATCTTGGCTATGCTAAAATTTAAACCTGCACCTTTTTATATTCTTGATGAAATTGATGCAGCATTAGATATTTCACACACTGAAAATATTGGAAAAATGATTAAAAATCATTTCAGTCAGAGTCAGGTAATTTATCTAGAGTACTTTTTATTTGTAATGAATGACTTTTGAAGTTTATTGTTGTATCTTTGAAGCAAGGATTTTTTGATAATGCAAATGTTGTATATCGTATTCAATTTAAAGATGGTCGTTCAATTATATCAAGGGAAGAAAACAACAGGCAGTAAATATTTAATATGGCAATCTCACCAAATATTCACTTTTTTTGTTTATATATTCGATTTTTTTAATTTTTTGATCTCTATTTAATCAACCAACCTGCCTTTTTTTCTTTTGCACTTAATAAAAATAAATCTTATCGGATTCAATTACGATTTGTTTTGTATCACATCATATACTTTTACTTTTGATGTATTTAATATTTTAGAATTTTAATCCCAGAGATGGATTCTAAAGATGATGTTTCTTCACAAAAGAGAAAAGCAAGCACTCCGATTTTTTCGCTTTATGGATCTGATGATGAAGATGATAAGGATGTAGCAAAGGTTGATATCCCAGCCACTGAACTTAAAAGAACCAAACCAGGGGTGCATGGTGAACCTAATAGTGTTCTGCTTTCTCTAGGATCTATTGCCTCTGGTTAGTCATTGTTTTTAGCTTTTTATATTCCATACAAGGTTCTGATAAATTAAAAGATTTCGTCATTGAAATGTGAAATCTTAGACTTTATTTTCAATTTTAGAACAATCGTCGAATGCTTTTCTTTTGAGCGTTTGTGCAGCTCGCAAAGGGGAACGTGAAGATATGCAGGATCGTCATCTTTTAATTGATTCATTACAGAGTCAGATGGAAAGTTTGCTGGACCCATTAGGAGTGTATGGTCATGTGATCAATAAATTGATTCATGTTTTGGATCTATATTTTCAGCAAAGGACGTTTTGCGTTTTATGCACTTTTTGATGGCCATGCTGGTGCACATGCTGCTGACTATTGCGAAAAGTCCTTTGTCAATAAATTTGTTGAAGTCTCCCGGAAATGTTTGCTATTTATTTTTTAATTTTTCCAACTTACATAATTAAGGTGTTAATGGAAATTCGGATATTGGACTTTTTGAGAAATCCATCAAGAAAATTTTTAAGGAAACATACAAATCTATTGACGATGATTTTCTTAAGGAGGCCAAGAAAAGGTTTTAGTTTTCTTTTATTAGTTTTTTAATTTTAAGTAAACCAACTCTGAGAGATGGAACCACAGCTACAACTATATTGTTGTTAAATGAATCAATTTATTGCGCTAATATTGGCGACACAAAAGTTTAATTTTCTTTTCTATTAATTTTTCTTCTTTGAACATAGGCTGTCATTTGTCGTTATAAACATGATAAGAAGGAGAGTATGGCTCTTCAACTAACTGTTGATCATGGCCCAATGATTTTTGCAGAAAGAATGCGAATACAAAAAGCTGGTGGTTCTGTCAAGTAAGCTTAATTTTAGAGTTTAAGATTTATATTGAGACCTGAATTAGTTTTTGCGTAACTAACTCCTTATTTTCAGAGATGGTCGTGTGATGGGTATTCTAGGTAAAATTTGCTTGGTTAAAAATTGTTTGCTTCTTTACAAAAATAATTGAATTCGAACAATAAATAAACTCAAATATTCTAGAGGTGTCACGTTCTATCGGAGATGGTCAAATGAAGTCACACGGAGTTATTTCTATTCCAGATGTTAAAAAATTAACTACTGGGTCAAATGATTTGTAAGTAACTTATTTTTATTTCTTACTCCATTTGATCTTTAGGTTTTTAATTTTGGCTTGTGATGGGCTTTGGAAAAGTTTCACAGTGGATTCAGCAGTTCCTTTTGTTTTGGATTGTTTTAAACGTAGAACAGCGTCAAATGTAAAAGAAGACGAAGCCTCTTTATGGTCTTATATAGCTGATGAAATTTGTGCAGAAGCAATTCGTGGTGGTTGCGGTGATAATGTTACTGTTATAATTGTTGTTTTTATAACAAAGGATGAAATGATCAAGTTATTCTAATATGGTTTTTTTATCGAATTTTCATCTAAATAAATTTTAATTTGTTAATTTTCTTAATCTATATGCGACATTGTTCGCCTTTTCAGTATTTTAAGTTTTTGTGATTTACTATTTTTATTTTTCCTTATGTGCAAGATTGATGGCTTTTAACAGTAAAATTCCGATAGCTGAAATAAATAAGGAAAATATAAACAAAGTATGGCCACAGTTACTAAGTGCGATTCAACAGGCACATATTGTAGCAATTGATTTGGTTTTTTAAAAATATTTAAAATGATTTTTTAAATTCGTTTTTAGGAGTTTAGCGGTCTTGGTGATTCTTCTAATAAAAAGGCATTCTCCGATCGGTACAGGATTGCTAAAGAAACAGTAAAAAGCCGTACAATTCTATCATTGGGAATAGCTACATTTCAAAGGAGGCAGACGAAGAATCCTCTGAATATTTCTTATAAATGCAAGGTTACTTTGATTTTGGTTTTAATGAAATTGCTATTTGTTTCAGATTTTTGATCTGCTTTCGCTTGAATCAAAGCCCTTTGTTGCAGATCCTGAGGCTTTTGTATTTCTTTCATCACACGGTTTCGACTTTAATCGATTGTTCAGTCATGGTATAAGATATACAAAAGCGGTAATGATAATTATGTTCAATCAGATTTATGTTTAAAGTTTAGGCAAACGCCAGAGAGAATATTTTCAAATCACTTTTCGAAGAAATTCTCGCATCCGGTGTTTCGCTTGCAGTTCACAATGGACTTAATGATTTATTATTTATTTATGAACATTTTTATGCCGCATTGCCTGATAGCGTGGATGAATTTGTCGCAAATATAGCAGATTGGTTCGGAATTGTTGACGGGTCAAATTTTGTTTGTATTGGATCTCCTACCATTTTGGATTCAAAATATTTAGCTTTAAAGAATGAAAAGGTTTGTACAAATTCTAACTGATTACTATAGAACGTCTAAACTTGGAATATTTTCAGTTTGAAAGCTCGTATTTGGAATATGTATTTAGAAAAGCACAACGTTTAAACCACATTCGAATGGAAACACTAAAACCTTATATCTCTATCAAATTTTCAAAACTCCCACAAGATGTTAGAAGTGAAATTCTCTTCAGTAGAATAAATGTTGTTCTAAGTAATAGTTTCCTACAGAAAATTACAAAAAATGTTCAGTTTGATGAATTATGCAAGAACTACAGTGTAAATTTTAATTTTTTGTAAATATTTTTATGATATATTAAATTTTTAGAATTTTGGTAACTGCAGAAATCGTAAGACTTGTCAAAAGGAACATGACGTTGATCTGGTCTTAGATTATGAAGATAGCCGTAAGAAAACTAAAAAGGATAAAGAAAAAAGGCGGCGTGAACACAAGGCTATTAAACGGAAACTTGCTGCTGATGCAAAGAATAATGGGCTGAGTAAAACAAAAAAATCCAAAATCGAACTTGAAGACACAAGTGAAGACTCGGAAACAAATAATTCATGTTGTGTTAAAGAAACTACCTCGACTGAAGCCTATTGAAGAAAGAGGAGGAACAGATGATGATGTGATTTTTTGTTTGAAATTTTTACAAATAAAAAATATACCTTGATTCTAAAAATCCATTCCTGCGATCTTGTATTCGTCCCCAGTTTAAAACATGTGATTCTGATTGTCGAACTCTCTCGGGTTTTCTTAGTAACAATGGGAATTCTTTTCCAGGCAGTGGGAGACGTGCAGCCAAATTTGCGTCAAACAAACATATATTACTTGAATTTTCTTTAGCATTGGCATCCACATTAAAATACAAGACAGAAAATCCAGTCATGAATGCATCCATTCCTAAATTTTTATTCAAAGTCAAACCGCCAGTGATATCCCGGTTCCGGGATTAGTTCTACGAAACGAGGTTCCGAAATTTAAAACCGGAACATCACTGTAAACAGGTAAATTATTATTAAAATACCTGCTCGATGTCTTCCTCTGCTTTCAAAAGAGCCTAAGTGATTTGAACTTTCATTTGCTTCAGTCGAGGTAGTTTCTTTAACACAACATGAATTATTTGTTTCCGAGTCTTCACTTGTGTCTTCAAGTTCGATTTTGGATTTTTTTGTTTTACTCAGCCCATTATTCTTTGCATCAGCAGCAAGTTTCCGTTTAATAGCCTTGTGTTCACGCCGCCTTTTTTCTTTATCCTTTTTAGTTTTCTTACGGCTATCTTCATAATCTAAGACCAGATCAACGTCATGTTCCTTTTGACAAGTCTTACGATTTCTGCAGTTACCAAAATTCTAAAAATTTAATATATCATAAAAATATTTACAAAAAATTAAAATTTACACTGTAGTTCTTGCATAATTCATCAAACTGAACATTTTTTGTAATTTTCTGTAGGAAACTATTACTTAGAACAACATTTATTCTACTGAAGAGAATTTCACTTCTAACATCTTGTGGGAGTTTTGAAAATTTGATAGAGATATAAGGTTTTAGTGTTTCCATTCGAATGTGGTTTAAACGTTGTGCTTTTCTAAATACATATTCCAAATACGAGCTTTCAAACTGAAAATATTCCAAGTTTAGACGTTCTATAGTAATCAGTTAGAATTTGTACAAACCTTTTCATTCTTTAAAGCTAAATATTTTGAATCCAAAATGGTAGGAGATCCAATACAAACAAAATTTGACCCGTCAACAATTCCGAACCAATCTGCTATATTTGCGACAAATTCATCCACGCTATCAGGCAATGCGGCATAAAAATGTTCATAAATAAATAATAAATCATTAAGTCCATTGTGAACTGCAAGCGAAACACCGGATGCGAGAATTTCTTCGAAAAGTGATTTGAAAATATTCTCTCTGGCGTTTGCCTAAACTTTAAACATAAATCTGATTGAACATAATTATCATTACCGCTTTTGTATATCTTATACCATGACTGAACAATCGATTAAAGTCGAAACCGTGTGATGAAAGAAATACAAAAGCCTCAGGATCTGCAACAAAGGGCTTTGATTCAAGCGAAAGCAGATCAAAAATCTGAAACAAATAGCAATTTCATTAAAACCAAAATCAAAGTAACCTTGCATTTATAAGAAATATTCAGAGGATTCTTCGTCTGCCTCCTTTGAAATGTAGCTATTCCCAATGATAGAATTGTACGGCTTTTTACTGTTTCTTTAGCAATCCTGTACCGATCGGAGAATGCCTTTTTATTAGAAGAATCACCAAGACCGCTAAACTCCTAAAAACGAATTTAAAAAATCATTTTAAATATTTTTAAAAAACCAAATCAATTGCTACAATATGTGCCTGTTGAATCGCACTTAGTAACTGTGGCCATACTTTGTTTATATTTTCCTTATTTATTTCAGCTATCGGAATTTTACTGTTAAAAGCCATCAATCTTGCACATAAGGAAAAATAAAAATAGTAAATCACAAAAACTTAAAATACTGAAAAGGCGAACAATGTCGCATATAGATTAAGAAAATTAACAAATTAAAATTTATTTAGATGAAAATTCGATAAAAAAACCATATTAGAATAACTTGATCATTTCATCCTTTGTTATAAAAACAACAATTATAACAGTAACATTATCACCGCAACCACCACGAATTGCTTCTGCACAAATTTCATCAGCTATATAAGACCATAAAGAGGCTTCGTCTTCTTTTACATTTGACGCTGTTCTACGTTTAAAACAATCCAAAACAAAAGGAACTGCTGAATCCACTGTGAAACTTTTCCAAAGCCCATCACAAGCCAAAATTAAAAACCTAAAGATCAAATGGAGTAAGAAATAAAAATAAGTTACTTACAAATCATTTGACCCAGTAGTTAATTTTTTAACATCTGGAATAGAAATAACTCCGTGTGACTTCATTTGACCATCTCCGATAGAACGTGACACCTCTAGAATATTTGAGTTTATTTATTGTTCGAATTCAATTATTTTTGTAAAGAAGCAAACAATTTTTAACCAAGCAAATTTTACCTAGAATACCCATCACACGACCATCTCTGAAAATAAGGAGTTAGTTACGCAAAAACTAATTCAGGTCTCAATATAAATCTTAAACTCTAAAATTAAGCTTACTTGACAGAACCACCAGCTTTTTGTATTCGCATTCTTTCTGCAAAAATCATTGGGCCATGATCAACAGTTAGTTGAAGAGCCATACTCTCCTTCTTATCATGTTTATAACGACAAATGACAGCCTATGTTCAAAGAAGAAAAATTAATAGAAAAGAAAATTAAACTTTTGTGTCGCCAATATTAGCGCAATAAATTGATTCATTTAACAACAATATAGTTGTAGCTGTGGTTCCATCTCTCAGAGTTGGTTTACTTAAAATTAAAAAACTAATAAAAGAAAACTAAAACCTTTTCTTGGCCTCCTTAAGAAAATCATCGTCAATAGATTTGTATGTTTCCTTAAAAATTTTCTTGATGGATTTCTCAAAAAGTCCAATATCCGAATTTCCATTAACACCTTAATTATGTAAGTTGGAAAAATTAAAAAATAAATAGCAAACATTTCCGGGAGACTTCAACAAATTTATTGACAAAGGACTTTTCGCAATAGTCAGCAGCATGTGCACCAGCATGGCCATCAAAAAGTGCATAAAACGCAAAACGTCCTTTGCTGAAAATATAGATCCAAAACATGAATCAATTTATTGATCACATGACCATACACTCCTAATGGGTCCAGCAAACTTTCCATCTGACTCTGTAATGAATCAATTAAAAGATGACGATCCTGCATATCTTCACGTTCCCCTTTGCGAGCTGCACAAACGCTCAAAAGAAAAGCATTCGACGATTGTTCTAAAATTGAAAATAAAGTCTAAGATTTCACATTTCAATGACGAAATCTTTTAATTTATCAGAACCTTGTATGGAATATAAAAAGCTAAAAACAATGACTAACCAGAGGCAATAGATCCTAGAGAAAGCAGAACACTATTAGGTTCACCATGCACCCCTGGTTTGGTTCTTTTAAGTTCAGTGGCTGGGATATCAACCTTTGCTACATCCTTATCATCTTCATCATCAGATCCATAAAGCGAAAAAATCGGAGTGCTTGCTTTTCTCTTTTGTGAAGAAACATCATCTTTAGAATCCATCTCTGGGATTAAAATTCTAAAATATTAAATACATCAAAAGTAAAAGTATATGATGTGATACAAAACAAATCGTAATTGAATCCGATAAGATTTATTTTTATTAAGTGCAAAAGAAAAAAAGGCAGGTTGGTTGATTAAATAGAGATCAAAAAATTAAAAAAATCGAATATATAAACAAAAAAAGTGAATATTTGGTGAGATTGCCATATTAAATATTTACTGCCTGTTGTTTTCTTCCCTTGATATAATTGAACGACCATCTTTAAATTGAATACGATATACAACATTTGCATTATCAAAAAATCCTTGCTTCAAAGATACAACAATAAACTTCAAAAGTCATTCATTACAAATAAAAAGTACTCTAGATAAATTACCTGACTCTGACTGAAATGATTTTTAATCATTTTTCCAATATTTTCAGTGTGTGAAATATCTAATGCTGCATCAATTTCATCAAGAATATAAAAAGGTGCAGGTTTAAATTTTAGCATAGCCAAGATTAAAGAAAGAGCAATCAGCGAGCGTTGTCCACCAGAAAGTTCAGATAATGAGTCCTATTAAAACTTTATAATTTATTAATTTAATAATTGCTTAAACCTTGTATTTTCCATTAAATGCGACGCGAACTTCAAGTCCTGAAAGACAATTCTCAGCCCCAGCTGGAGGAACGAGTTCAGCGCCTGCACCAGGGAGGAGAGTTGAATAAATTGATCCAAAATCCTTTAAAAATTAAAAATCATAGATAAATAATTCAAAATTAATACATTGCTAATTTGTTTGTGAGCTGCAATAAGTTCGCGTTTCTTCCTCTCATCAAGCTGTTCTATTGTATCGTAAAGTTGCTTCTTGTCTTTAACTAACTGAGATCGTTTGATATCCAATTCTTGACATTGACCCTCAGCTGTGTCTAATAAGTGCATTGCCCTGAATTTTTAAGAATTAAAAAGGAACAAGTTTTAAAAGAATTACTTTGTGTTTATTGTATGCGATAGCTCCTTGATTCTATCTTTGCGTTGTTCAATTTCTCTTTTTCCGATATCAAAAGTAAAATCTGTAAAATCATATTCAGTGTTACGTAAACCAAAATTTTCTTTTTCTTCAGAAATCCAACGGTGTATTCGTTCCAATTGTTGAGCCTGAAGTAAATTATTAAAAATAAAATGGATTAAAAATTTTTACTCGTTTAGCAAATTCCTTTGAATTTTTAACAGCTTCTTGCGCATCCCTTTCATTTGAAAGTTGCTTATTTTTCAATTGACTTATTCTTTTTTTAAATTCACTTATTTCAGCGGCTTTCGTTCGAAGAGTTTTATCTTTAAGACGAACATCTTGATTATATTTATCCATATCATCTTGAAGATGTTGAACAGATTCCTTTAAAATAACATATTAAATTAAATTCATAAATCAAAAAAAAAGAAACGTTAGCTTCGGCAACTTTTGCTATAAATTTTTCAATTTCTGCATTCTTTTCATCTCGCAATTTTTCCAAATGAGCAAGCTCATTTCCGTCGTTTTCAATTGACTGTTCTAATAACGAAATTTCTTCTCTTAAAATGTTAATTCAATCCGAATTATAGAATATAAAAACCTTAGACTTGCAAGACGTTCCTTTGCATTACCAAAAGTATCCTTCATCCTCTCAAGTTCTTTTTTGGCATTATCTAATTCACGTTGTGCATTATTTTTTTCATTTTCCTTGATTATAAAAAATTCAATTTTATTTAAAAATAAAACAATACATGGAAATTTTCATCCTTTTTCTGCTGTTCCAATTCACGAATAAGTTGTTTCAGTCTTTCAATATCAGGTAAAACATTTTCCATCGTTTCATTCAAGTCTTTGATTTCTTGCTCCAAACGTCCAATTTCTTCAGTTAAAACTTCAACAGGATTGGATTTTAATGCAGTTACAACCGCATCCAAATGATGTTTGTGATCACGTAATTTTGCATTTAAATCTTCAAAACGTTGCTGGATGGGACGAAGTGAAGCGAGTTTAGCTAGAAAGCAAAGATAAATTTCATTTAAAAAAATAAAAAAACTATTCAGTGAATGTTGCTCCTTGTTAATTTGAGAAATTCTCTCATACCGACCAAAAACATCGTGAAGTGCGCTCAAAACAGAAGCTTTATGGTTTCGAGAACCACCGGTTAAAATTCCTCGAGGGTTGAGATCATCACCATTCAATGTTACAGTTCGACAGTTTACATTTTGATTTTTATAAGTTAACAAATTTGCTTGTTCCATATTTAAACAGATCTGAAAATTCCCCTATAAATAAAAAAATCATTAAAAATACCAAAGAATTTCCAAAGACAAAGTTTATAACTGGCTCTAATTCAGGTTCATATTCAATCAATTCTCGGGGCACAAAAACATTTTCATCACCAACCATAAGTTTAGCTTCTTGAATCTGACGTTTACTCACAACTCCACGTACTTCAATTTTATCCATAGGAAGCATTGTAACGCGATTTTGAATACATTTCTTATCAATAAGAACTTTGGCAACTTCAGCTTTGTTAACCACAATGTTGTAAAGCTAACGAAATTTATTAGAAAATTAAATTAAGAAATTTTAATAAAACAAACCCGCCCTCCAGCAACAACTTCTAGTGCTGTTGCAAATTTAGGATCTTTTAATTTAAACAATTTTGCAACAACTCCTCTAACCTCCCTGCGATCAAAACCAGCATAGGGGTCTTTATAATTGAATTGTAAATTGTAATAACTAAGAAATTAAAATTTTAATTACTAGAGAAAAGAAAATTTTACCGTGCTTCAAAATTATCAAGTTCACGAGTAATTTCAGCATGTTCTCGAGATAGGAGCTTTCGCTCAGCTTCGAAATTTTTCTCCAGTTCGGGATCAAAATTCAATGAATGAAGATCTCGCTAAGGAAAGATTTCAAGTTTAAAATTTAAATTAAGTATAAAAAACCTCAATTTTAGAAATTTCAGTTTCAATCCTTCTTTTTGATTCGTGATCGCCAGTAGATCGACGTTTAAAAGTGGCAAGTTCCAGCCGTTTTTTCTCGATAACTTTTCGTGACTGCGAAAGTTGCATCTCCAATTTCTTTGAATTTGTTTGTTGCTCCGACAGCTTTGTTCTAGCAGCTAAATATACAAGATTTAGAGCACAAGAAAATATTTAATACATATAAGTTGCGCCTCTAAAGTCACGGCATTTCCCTGCTCATCAGTAGTCATTCCACGAGCCAATGCTTCTAGTCTCAGACGTGCTCTTTGAACAGCTTTTTCAGCAGACAATCCACGCTGTTCCACAGTCCCGTTTTCAGATTGAGCATTGGCAAGGTAATTTTTCTTTGTTTCTAGATGTTGTCTATCACCAGTTAACGATTCAATCTTCCGTTCAATAGAAACTTGTAGCTCTTTAAGATCAGCCTATAAAATGTAACTTAAAAGATCTTTTTTTTAATAAAACTTCTTTTCCATCTTTTTCTGATTCTATTTTTGCAAGTGAACTTTGTTTTTCCTTAAGTAATTTCTCCAATTTCTGAAATTCAGGAGCAGTATTTTTAGCACTCTCCGATTCCATTTTTCGTAAATTTTCTTCTTCACGTTTTGCTTCCTGCTGCAACAAATCAAGTTCCTTTATTACTTGGGTAATTTGTTGTCGAAAGGTTTGGGCCTTGTTTTCGAGTTCTTTAATTTGCAACTAAATAAGAAATATAAAAATGAATCTTTAATGATTTTATAATACCTGACTATTATGATAATCATAAGCATTAAACTTTCGTTCAAGAACTTGAACCTCACGTTCAATTCTCTGATATTCCAAATAATTTTCACGATCCTTCTTTAAGCGTTCTACACGAGGCAATATATCTTCTTCAAAAAGCTGAATATCAATAGTAATAAATAATTGAAACCAAAAAACCTTGTTAATTTCATCAACTTTGGCATCTCTTTTTTCGATAATACGAATGGCATTTAGTTTTTTGCATTCATACATACGGACGCCAGCTGCCTCCTCTAACATTGAAAGAATCTAAATATAAAATTGAAACTCTAATAAAAGATAAATAAATTCACCTCTAATGGCTTCATACCAAGAACCTTTGTTATTCGTCCTTGCATTATTAAAAAATGCGGATTGTTCACATTTATACCAACCATTCGAAAAAGATCAGAAACCCGTTGATTAGTCGCCACAGTTCCATTTATTTGGTATGTATTTCTCCCATTAATGATAATCTGAAAATTGGTGCTGTCTTTCAAACAAAAATTGAAAACCTGTCTTCGAACAATAATCTCTTTGAACTTGCCGTAACCGGCCGGTTGCTGCTCGCTATTGTCAAAAGTAATAGTAACTGTTGCACGATTTATACCAGCTTGGCCTTGTTTGTAAACAAGATCAGAAAGTGAATGTGCACGAACATTTGCCAAATTAGTTATACCAAGCAGAAAACAGATTGCATCCAAAATGTTTGATTTACCAGAGCCATTCAAACCAGTTATTGCATTAAACTGTGGATCTAGTTTGTTTACAACTTCCAGCTGAGAATACGATTTAAAGCCTTCAATTTCAATCTTTTTAATGCGCATTCTAATAAAATTAGTAATTAAACATTAAAATATGAAAATGAATTATACAAACAACCGAAAAAAAGAGGAACTTTATGGATATGCCCAGTGAGACTCTAGTGTTCTTTTTAAAGAACAATATCTCTTTTTTAAATAAAGTGAAAATAGAGAGTGAAAATATTCGAGGTAGTGTGCTAAAAAGAGAGATTTATCAACGTTAGAGAAAAATATTAGTACAATAACTCTGGCCGTTTAAGTGCTCAATACTGAGAGCGCAATAAATACTGTATGTGAATCTGAATGATGAATTATTAAAAGTCGAATAGTCTTTTATGATCAAAGATTATTATATTATCAACAAAATCGAATCTCTCTTTTTAGCGCACTACCTTAAATATTTTCCCTCTCAGTTCGGTCATTTCGCTTTGCTAAAAAAAGAGATAGTTCTTTAAAAAGATCACTAGTCTCGATAACATGAATCTGAGCCTTTCGTAAAATCAATCTTTCGGTGTAATTTGAATTCATCAATTATCACCGGTTGTCGATCACGGAAGTATCGATTTTATTGATTAATAATTTTCGAAAATAAAAACACTTCGATTTTAAAAAATACAATTCTGGTTTGGTTACAGTAGTTATCGTGCTCTCATTATTGAGCACTCAAACAGCCAGAGTTATTGTACTAATATTTTTCTCTAACGTTAGAAAAATCTCTCTTTTTAGCACACTACCTCAAATATCTTCCCTCTCTATTTGGTACATTTCGCTTTGCTAAAAAAGAGATAAAGTTGTAAAAATTTCAAACAAAAAATCACATCATCATCTGTTCCTCCTCTTTCTTCAATAGGGCTTTTCTTTCAATTAAAAATCTTTCATGTTTTTCACGTAAATACATCAATAAAGGTTGAAGATCTAGTCTATACTTTCCCGAAATAAAAAATAGCCGCTGACCGGCGTACATTTTTGCGGCTTTCTTCTCAAATTCTATCTGAATATTGTTAATTAATTTTCATAAAAATATTTTTAAAAATACCCTATTATTCAATGTATCAATTTTGTTAAAAACAATTGCAGTTTCCTTTTTATTTAGATCAGCATCATACAATTCCAATTCTCTTCTCAATGAAAGCCATTGATTTTGCAAATCATTTTGGGAACAATCAATGACGTAAAGGATGCATTCACAACGAAGAATATGCCTCAAAAAACTGAAACCCAGACCTTCATTCCTATGAGCTCCTTTCACTAAGCCGGGTATGTCGGCAACTAAATAAATTTTATTAAAGATTTTAAAATTGAATAAATAACCAGCGACTTGAAAATAATCCGAATATTCAACCATTCCGACGCTAGGTTTAAGTGTTGTAAAGGGATAAGCAGCCACTTTAGGTTTGGCACGGGAAATTGCTCTGAGAAGTGTACTGAATAGAATAGTAGATAAATTGCTTGAAAATTAAAACATACGATTTTCCAACATTTGGGAATCCAACAAATCCGGCAGTTGCCATCACGCGCATTTCTATATCATAAGCTATCTTAAAACAACTTTATCAACGTCTTAATCTATCCTTTACCTTTTCACCACGGCCTCCTTCTTCGGCTTTTAGCGGTTTTCTTGCCATATTCGATAGGTAAAAAGCATTACCATGTCCACCAGCACCACCTCTTGCAGCAATAAACATTTCCCCATCATGGGTTAGTTCCCAAATTGACTCTTTTACAGGTCGAAGTTCATCTTCACTTGGTCGTTTGATAAGCGTGTTTAATGGCACATCCACGTATAAATGGCCACCATTTTTGCCGTGGCAACACTTTCCTTGACCTTTAAAGAGTCTGGCAAATTTTTGCGGTTAAAATTAAGTTTTATACCTGCCTGTCCATTTTCTGCTTTCATTAACAATTCTACTCTCGATAAGTCACTGACTTTTGAATTAGCTAAATTTGGATAAAAATTTTGAAAAGAAAAACCAAAAACCTTTAAAAATGACATGACCTCCATTTCCACCATTGCCGCCGTCTGGACCAGCTGAAATTTAAAATAAAGTCAAACATTTTAAGAACTGTTATAAAATACCAAATTCAAAATTCTTTTCACGCAAAAACGAAATAACTCCATTGCCACCATTTCCTCCAGAGCACACTACCTTTTGATAATCAACAAAGTCAAGGGGTTCGCCAGTTGATCTTAGCTTTTTTGGAAGGACTGGTGCTTTGTGTGAAATGTCGTAATTTTCTGATTTTTCGATTTCAGATATTGCTGTAGATAGAGGCCTTTTTAGAATTATAATTCCGGAATCAAATTTTAGACCTTTTAAGAAAATCTGGGCGATTTTCATTTGGAAGCTGAAAAATAAATTAATAAATTTTCATAAGATATGAGGGCCTTCGAATGATAAGACTCATTAGATGGGATCAAGACTAAATAAATAAAAAAAAGTTAGTTGATCAAAGTTCGCACCGATCAGTTGGCCCGTTTCGGAATTGGCGCTGAATCGACCTTGACCATATAAATCCACTTGAGTCCGGCACCTAAATTCATTTGAGTCCATGCACTTAAAGTTATTCCCGAGCATTAATCGTTTTTAAAAAAATTTTTAAATTTTATTTAGTTCAATAATAAAGTTATCATGGATTCTTCAACTCCAATTGACCGGCTTAACAACAAATTTTTACTTTCTATTACAAAGAGTGAAGTTTTCGAAAATCTTCCACTACCAATATGTGCTCAAATATCCAAGGAGTTGTTAGATGATGGAACTGAAAAATTGCCTACCGATTGCTGCAGATTTTGTGGTATTAAACTCGATTTTAAAGCTTCAAAAATTCAAATCAGCAAACGAAGATGTCGGAGAAATAAAAGGTTTTTGTTTTAAAAAATTATTTGAAAAAAATTATTTTAAGTGCCAAAATAAAGGTAATTTGTCAAGGATGTCAAAAACCTGCATCGCATCCCATTAAGCTTCCCTCGCTTTTTTCATCAGATAAAAACGACGTATCTATTTTGGAAAAAACTATAGACGTTCCATCTTCCTCAAGATCAGCGCCAATTGAAATTGACAGAAAGTCAAACAAAAGTTCAAGGTTTCATATTTTGATTATTTGGATGTTTATTTAGTATTATTTTAAGTTCGAAAATGTTGAATGTTTCTCAATCGAATCAATTAAGCAAGGGAGTGACGCGGCGAACTTCCAAGGTCAATAAATTACATTTATTAGCATCAAAAAATAGTAAGCCAATTTGTAATTCACTTTCTTCTTTTCTTAAATCTTTTCAATAATGTAATTGTCCTATTTTTATGGAACTGTTAAAATTTTATTGAAAGGATTTTTCGACAAATTCTTTTATTGCATCAAAATTTCCTCCTGTTCGTCATAATAATCGAGCTCCATTCTTACATTTACGCTTAATAGTTTTCCTGAGTCAAAGAAGTAAATGCGTTCATCCGTGGGGTTGTAGCTTATCTGGGTCAAACCTTCATAGGGATTGTACCTAAAAAACACTTAAATAATCTCGATCAGTTCAATTTTAACCTACCAAGGAACATCGATGAATAGACTTTCATTTTCTGAAATTTTTTAATTAACTAAATAATTTAGGTATTTATTTTTAAAATTCTTTCTTTCCAAATCAAAGGCAAAAGAGATGAATGTCTCGCGATCTTTTGCATTCTCCAGTCCGTATAATACCTTTTTTAATAAATAATATTAAATCATTTTTTAAAGTATTTACCCCGCACATAACAAAAGCATCTGCTAATTCCTAATAAAACGAAAATTTTAGAAAGAAAAAATTTGGTGGTAATTTTAACCGTTCCATTAACGTCTAGCTCCCATGTAGCAATTACTAAAAGGTCCTAAACTTATCGAGGTTATGTTTTTGTTATGTTATAATTTTTGTTCTGACCTCTTCCACTTTACTGACCAATAGTCTTTCAGAATCAGGGCGCATATAAATAACCTGAACTTTTTTCTAAATTTTATTCATCTGAATACCCAAATCCCATTATGATCAACTGAAAAGTCCACATAATTATGGGATCGATTATAAAGCCATGGATGCCTTTCTGTTTCATTACATTCCTAAAATAGGTTTCAAATTCTTTTTCTCGCGTCTAATATGAAAATTACTATACAAAAATTCTTGCCTCAAAACTTTGATCATGCTTTCTCGGGCCTTAAAATAAGGAAAATCTGTTTATATTTTTCAATCTAGAATTTTTTACAATCTAGGTAAGATATTGGTCCAAGGGAATCACTCTGGATTTGTTCTGTAGTGTCCAAATCGTATCGAACCAAGATATTTGAGCCATGTCTATGATAATAGTACGAGGCGTTATTGACCATACTTCCTGTTCCAGCAGCCAAAAAATCCATATAATATCTTTTTAAGTTTTTAGGTATTAGATCACTAGAGATTGCTTAACTTTATATTTTGTTTTTTATTCAACAGCTCGCGTTCGTTTTCGTATTCATACTAAAATAGTTTGGAATCTATATTGCTATTAATATATTAGGTACAAGAACAGCAGATGCGAATGTATCAGTGACCCATCGTTTTCGTGCCCATTCTTCGTTACGTGGCATGGAATCTCGGAACCTGAAATTTTGTGTACATTACGGATTCCATCCTTATTTACCAGGAACCAGTAGCACCATATTGGGAGTCGGCATGCAGAACAGGAATGCCAACTGCATTCAACTTACATTCTAAATTTATTTTTACTTTCCATAAACCTATTTTAATTAACCTCGTTTTACTTGTTCGGTTGGTTCTTGTATTAATGTTGTCTGATTCATTGTCACATTCACCTCTACTCTGGGACTCCATTCGCGTGGGGGCGGTGTTGGCCCAGTAATAGTGTGAGATGATAAAGTAGGACGTTTCCGATAAGGACGAGTCCACCAGAAACGGAATGGACCTTTTGAGTGAATTACACCTGGCTTGGGGATAGGACGTGTGTGTGCTTTATCTGGCATTGGCATGCCCGGGCGCCATCCAAGTGGTGGCTATTTACAAAAAATTCATAAATGAAAAAGAAATTCCTTACGGCAAAGCCGGGTGGTGTTGGTTCGAACGGGACAAGTCTAAGAAATACCATTCAAATTTTTAAGTATTAGTCTCTTTAATTTATAAACTTAGTTATTTCTACTTCTTTGACTAACACAATTGGAACCGGTACGAGTTTGTCAACTGGAACAGGCGGCCCAGGGACGGGAATCCGATGAATGTATAAATCTGGCAATGAACAATTGCACTGTCCTGTGTAAATAAAAATGAACTAATTTTAACAATTATGAACCATTCTTTCCCTGCGGGCCTCTTTCGCCTGATTCACCAGCAACACCTTCTGGGCCTGACCGACCAGGCGGCCCTCGCTTTCCAGGAGGTCCAATTATTCCTGGTGGTCCTTTCACTCCAGGAGGGCCAGTCATTCCTCGCAATTTCTTCCCTTCATCTGCACAGTAGCGATGTACTCTTTGACAAGATATTTCAAAGACATTTTTCTAATATGAATCAAAGTTAAATAAGGCTAGAGTCTATCTTTTACAGGGATGATTGAATCATGTCCCAGTAACACGGTCCACTGGCTCAATTCATCATTTACAGCTGTTTCCAAACCAGCTTTTGGCGAACGTTTAACTCTTTGGATATTAGTTAATAATAATTTTTTATTCTCAATTTGTAACTCAAGTCGCTAAAAATACTAAGGTATCATTACTTTAACTCAGGGCTCTCATCGACAAAATGCCACTCAAAAGTATCAAAATCTTGATAAAAAAGTATATAGGGAGAAAATTTCCAAATTTAAAGTATACTCAAAATTAAATTGGAAAATATTTGTTCGTGCTCAAATCTTTTATATTTCTCTCTTAAATGAATCTTTTCTAATAATTTCTTGCTTCCATTGGGCATTTTGTGCATTTCAACGCATGACATGTCAAAATTCGCTGATACAAGAAATAAAGCCCTGACAGTCTTAACCTCAAGCTTTCGTCCATTTTCAGCGCCGCAGGCGAAAATTTTTTGAAATTTGGAGCCCAAGTAGTCAGATTTCTCCCATTTTCAGCGCCGCAGGCGAAAATTTTTTGAAATTTGGAGCCCAAGAAGCCAGATTTCTTTCTTTTTCAGCGCCGCAGGCGAAAATTTTGATAATTTCGAAGGCCCAAGGCTAAAAAAATTCACTTTTTTGCCCAATCCCTTCCCCAATTTCATTTTCAATCCAAAATGTTGATTTTAAAGTATATACTTTCAATAAAGTATAAATTCAATTTCTTAAGTATGGAGGTCGGTTTCAAAGTATAATACTTTCAAATAAAGCACGAATGAGAGCCCTGCTTTAACTTCATATAGGATTACCCAAATTTTTTGATAAACGTGTCCATAGAATAGGAGTAAACAAATTAAATGAAATAATTGCAAACATGTACAGAAACTATTTTGTTGGAATTTTTCTATCATTTGGAGGACTTTAATAAAAACAGCAAAATATTTCTGCAGTAAAATGAAAGAGGCCAAATAAACAAACAAAATCATAATTTTTGGAGCAAGTTATACAATTTGTCAGCTGAAATTTTATAGCCTGGGGTGGTGGGGGTGGTCAAAAATTTTTATTTTAAATGTTAAAAAATAGTCATTGGCGTTTTGTCATTTTATGAGTTTTTGGAACGTGCTATTGAGTCCCGCCGTTGAGAGACTCAATCAACAGCGCTAAAATGGACCGGATTCTCAACCTTAGAGACTCAAATGTCGAGACTCAATTAACCCCGCCAATAAATTTTCCATTTAGTCCAGTGATTTTTTGTTCGTAAAAACTTTTTTTGCAGATTTTTCAAGTGATTTTGTTAAGATTAAATGACTTCACATGGTGAATGTGCTGGATTAGGGAAAGGACAGTGGAAAGAAGAGGATTTTGCAAACTTTTGGGATCATTATAATATTGCACAAAAATGGATTGGAATTGAGGTTTATAAAATATTTTATTTTAGTTTTTTTATTTTTAGGCAAGGGCACGTGAGATGGCATGGAAACATTGGAACAATGGACGTGTTAATAATGATGCTCCACAAAGCAGTAAAAGCATGCAAAGTCTTTCAGATTCTGATTTGACTCCAGAAGTGGTCGACTTTTTGCGTAAATCCATTGATCATCGCAAACAACGTTTGTTTTCTTTTTAAAATCCTTTTCAATTAACACAACAAATTTAAGGTGATGAACATAAACGGATTGAAACAGCGCTTGCTAATTCTATGAATAAAGGGTTGGAGTATCGTGATGCTACTACTGGTATATTAGCAAGATATTCAAAATTTATAAAACTAATTTTAGTTGGACGGTTGGGAAATTTTCGCTCATCAAATCGGTCAACCATGTCTCATCAGAATGGCCAAAAGAAAGCACTTTATGGGGAGCCAGCTTTTTTGAAGTTGAGAGAGCAGGAATTGTCAATTCAAGAAAATTTTAATAAGCAAGTAAATGAAAACAAGCCACAAACTTGGCCTAATATTCCAATGCGCTTTTGATTTATTTTCGTTAAATTTTACTAATAAATAAATATTTTTTGAATTAGTTTGAATTTCTACAATGTTTTGAACAAAAATTTTATTTTCCTAGAATTAGTTTTAATTTTTCAAAGTTTTTTTTGTTAAAATGGTTCTTCAAACGGCATTGAATTATCTTAGTCAGGCAAGCTCTCAATTTGGACTGTCAGCTGATCAACATGCTTTAATTGGTCAAACTATTGAGGTTGGCAGTGAATCGTATACTGTTCGGTCTTTAATTGCTGAGGGCGGTTTTGCTCTTGTGGTATCTAAAATCTTAATTTTGTTTAACATGTGTTTTTAAGTTCGCTGTACAAGATGTGAGGAATGGTGAATGGTTTGCGCTAAAAAGACAACTGGCTCATGATAAAGCGACAGCAGAATCAGTTTTGCGTGAGATGAGATTTATGAAACAAGTTGGTTATTTGCTGTAAATATTTTATTTAATAATCTGATTAGTTGAATGGACATCCAGCAATTGTACATTTTGTTCATTCAACGCAACTTGACGGCTCAAAAACTATGCAAAGGCATCAGCAATGTTATGCCGAATTTTTAATTTTGACTGAATTGTGCTCTGGTGGCCCTCTAATTGACTATTTACAAAAGATGGAATTGAGCACAGAACAAATTTGTAAAATTTTCTATTCAACTTGCTCTGCTGTTCAACATATGCATGATCGCAATCCACCTATTACACATAGAGATATTAAGGTTTATATTGAATTAGATTCTTTTATGATTCCTTTTTTAGATTGAAAATCTCCTTTTTGACTCTCGTGGCTTTATTAAGCTTTGTGATTTCGGAAGTGCTACAACTGATATTTACAGACCTAAGGATGATTGGAACGCATTAATGCGCTCACAATTGGAAGAGGAGGTTTATAAATTTATCTTAAATCTGACTAATAACTGACATTTTAGATGTCAAAACACACAACACCAATGTATCGTGCACCTGAGATTTTAGAAACATATCAAAACTATCCGATAGGGCCTGCGCAAGATATTTGGGTATTTTTAATTTTGGCGTCTTTTGATAATATTTAACTTATTAAAGGCTCTTGGTTGTGTACTTTTCTATATCTGCTTTAAAGTGCATCCGTTTGAAGATAGTGCTAAACTTAGAATTATAAACGCAAAATACTCAATAACTAGCAATTCTCCATTTCGAATATTTCACGACTTAATTAGTAATCTCAGAACTCTAATAAAGCAATGATTTTTTTGTTTACAGAAATAACACTTCAACCTGATCCGTACTCCCGTCCTACAATTCAAGATTTGTGTGAACAGGTTAATACATTTTCAATTTTAACTCATGTTGTATTAAGGTTGAAGATATTGCTATGGCTTTAAATGTGAATCTAAACGAGCCTGTTATACCATCTGATAGATTGGACTCTTTGATACCTAAAAATGAGTTTTCTGCATCTACACAATCATTGGCAAGCTATTATTGTTATTTAGACTAATGTAAGCATGAAAATTTTGTTTTTGTAGTACGGCCAGTCTGTTAAGTTTTTCGATCGTGGGATGAATTTAATTAAGACGATTAAAGAGAAGACTCCAGTCACAAATTTATCTGGTTACTTTTTTAACTTTTACATATTTAATTGTAAATATTTTTCAGAACATTTGAAAACTCAATTGGGATTTGAAGCAACTCAACCTGACCCAGCTAAATCTAATTCAAACCTAGAGAGAAAAGCACCGCCTCCAAGACCTCCTGCCCCATCTTTATTTAAAACTCGAACTGTTCAATTAACACACGAAGATCCACAACTGAATTTGCATCCAAAACTAGAAGCTATTGCGACAGGTATGAATGATCATCCTTTCGGAAACGATTTGAATAAGAATATTGTTGGAGAGAAAAGAGATGATGTTTTGATATCAGCTTGGGAAGATGATGACAACATTCTTAATGGTTGAATTAAAAATATTCTTTATTCACAATCTTATTTTTTAACAGAAATCGAGACAGCTTCCATACCCTCTTTTCAACAAAAATTAATTGATATTCCGGCAACTAGCGAAACTTTTACAAGCAATATTACTTGTTCAAATTTACTTGACGAATTCAATTCTATATTTCCTCCAACTTTGAATCAAAATTCTTCTAGAAATTCAGCTAAAAATAAAAGTATTGATGATTTGCTTAATTTAGTGGATCAGGAAATTACTACAAAAACGGAAACGGCAGCATCCACTGGACCATCAATTCATCACAACAAATCCACTCCAGATTTTTTGTTCAACGAAGAAAACAAAATGGGCAATGAATCTACTACTAAATCTGCCAATGATATTCTTGATGAATTTCTGTCTTCAACAAACTTGTCATCAAATAATGTTTTATATATTTTTGAGAATTTTAAATATCTTTTTAGGAAATTCCAAGCACTTCAAAGCCAGATTATTCAAGTATACATTTTACAAAAATAGAAGGTTTATCTTACTTGTTAAATTGAAATTTAACATTTTTTAGCCAAACAAACTTCTGAAAATGTAAAAAAGACGTCTTTAAATTTTGATGCATTTGATGATTTACTTTCTGCGCAAGGGTTTATTTCATCATCAAAGCAATCAAACAAAACACTTTCTGCTATGGTTAAAGAACGAGATGCTAAGGGAATGGATCCTTTAGCTTTAAAGGTCTCTTTTAAGTTGGTTCAAATATCTTTAATTGTTCTTTTTTCAGATAAAAGATTGGACGGATGGGAAGCAAAGAAATATTCGAGCGTTATTAGGCTCTTTATCTCTGATTCTTTGGGATGAAGCTAAAATTGTTTGGCAACAACCGAGTGTTGCTGAATTATTTGCTCCAGACAAGGTAACTTTTAAAATGTTATAATTTTTAAATTTATTTTTTGTTTAAAGGTGAAGAAATATTACAGGAAAGCTTGTCTAGTAGTACATCGTTAGTTTTTTTTATAAAATATAAATAATTAAAATTTTCTTGTTTTACAGCTGATAAACAAGCAGGAACGATAAATGAGCCTCTTGCTAAAGCTATTTTTACAGAATTAAATGATGCTTGGAATGAATTTACAAAAACAGCATTTTAATTGAATAAAGACATTGACCTTCTTTTATTGACTTTCTGTTTTTCACTTTGGCTCAATTTCTTTCAGATTCTTTTATAGATATTTTCTTTGATGATTTGTTGTATGATTATTTTTAATTATATAAATTAATTTTTTGTCTATTTTTTGTACTAAAACATTTAATTATTGACCCTTTGAGGTTACTTTATGTAGTTATCGACAATATTTTATATTTTGAAACTACTGGAACGACCTAATTACAATGACTTCAGAAAGTGAGGCTGATTCACCAACTTCAAGTACTAGCAAGTCGCGCGGTCTTTCATATTCTGATACATTTCCTCGTCATCATCACTCGTTATCAAACTCGTCATCGTCAAGTAAGGTTTATTTTTAATCTACGCGTATATTTATTATTCTGTAGGTAGTCTCTCTCAGAACGGACAACAACACATTGCGTCAACGCTTGTAAAACAATTGTCGCCTTCCACTCGTTTTGCATTCACTGATTTAATTATAACGATATTGTAAAACAATTCTTACTTTAATTTTAAAATCCTTTATTTTAGGAGGTTGGATTTTTATAAAAAATCTGCCGATGGACAATCAACGTAAGAATTAAACTTACTTATTTTTCAAATCTTTAAATTTAGAATTTTCTGTAACAAAGCACTCGACGTGTTGTTTAAATGGGGAAACCTTCCTGTAAAAACTCAGAATTCATTGAGATTACACATTGAGGTTTTTCTAATTTATATGAAAATTTTGTTTATAACTTCCTAGGAAGCAACCGCTTTTAATGAGGATATTGCTGCATTGATTACTTGTAAGTGGACTACTAACAATTCGAAATAAAATTCAACTTTTAGCCATCAAGTCAGATCCATTTTTGCAGAAGCATGGTTGTGTACCTCTTTTGGGATCTTTTCTCCTTGCAATTATTGTTGATGGTGATTATGATTCTCGGTTTCGTGTGCTCCTTCGTCACATCTCTGCATTGTTAGGCGTACATTGGGACGTGTTTGAAGAAGTATTTGTTTGAAACTAAATTTTTCATAAGCGCAAAAGCCTAGAAAATTGTTATTCGTTTTTCAGTTTGAATCGACTTTGGGTGATCAACTTGTAACAGAGTATAAAGAATCTATGTAATTATGTATTAGCAATTCTACAATTAGAATTTTTTATTTCAGGGAGAATCAACAAATTCGTGAGAAGAAATCCAAATTGAGAAAATATAAACGCTACGCAATTATTGGGGCTGCTACTGGCTTGGGTGGTGTTCTAATAGGTTTTTTAATTTTATAAATGTAGAATTATTTCTTTTGATAAAAAGGTGTTACTGGTGGTTTGGCTGCGCCATTAATTGTTGCCTCTATTTCCGCTCTTACGGCTACAACGATATTTGCTGGTTTAACTGGAACTGCAATTACAGCTATTTTTGGATCATTATTTGGTGTAGCTGGTATTTTATATATTTAAAGTCGATTAAAATTATTTTCTTAAAGGAGCTGGTTTAAGTGGTTATCGAATGCAGAAGCGTGTTGGTGATATTGAAGAATTTACCATTGAACGACTAACCGAAGAGGAGAATAGAGCTTTGCATTGTGTGCTCTGCGTTTCTGGATGGATTGAAGATAGAGAATCTCAAGCTTTTCGTACACATTGGCGTCATCTTTGGATGAGTAAGGAGCAATATACCTTGAGATGGGAAAGCAAGGTTTTTATCTTTTAGTCGTAAATTTATATAATTGTTGTTTTTAGTATTTAGAAGAACTTGGAAAAAGTATTGAATACTTTGTTTCATTCGTAGTTAGTTATGCAGTACAGCGCTCTCTGATGGAAACTGTTTTGGCTGGTTTGGTTTCAGCCATTGCTTGGCCACTTATTTTACTGGGATCTTCTTCCATTATTGATAATCCTTGGAACATTTGTACAAAAAGAGCTGCTGAAACTGGAGAACATTTGGCGGAAGTTTTGCTCACAAGATCCCATGGTCGAAGGCCTATAACACTAATTGGTTTTTCACTTGGTGCACGGGTTATTTATCACTGCTTAATGGAAATGAATAAACGCAAACCTTATTCACTTGGTAATAATTATACTTAAATGGGATTATAAATTGATTATAAATTTCTCCATTACAGGTATAGTTGAAGATGTTATTTTGCTTGGCGCTCCAGGTTTACCTTCAAACAATAATATCTAATTTTAATATAACGCTTTAAGTTTCTGCTTCACCGTCTCAATGGCGTCAGATTTGCTCAGTAGTCGGCGGCCGTGTAATAAATGGTTATTGTAAAACTGACTGGCTTTTACGTTTTCTTTATCGGTTTTTTAACCTTTAGATTATTTGATAATTTGTTCGGTTTAAGCACAATGAGTGTACAATTTGTTATTGCAGGAACAGGACCAGTTGATAACAAAAATGAACGAAAAATCGTCAATTTCAATCTTTCACATATTGTATGTTTTCCTTTTAAATTGTAATTAAACATATTTTAAGGTGAAGGGACATATGGATTATTCCAAGGTTGATTATTAGTTATAAATTATTTCATTTTATTTTTTGTCAGAAACTCACCAGAGTTCTTGAATCTGTTGGTGTTCGTGTTGCACCTCTTTCAAAAGAATCGAGGCAAGATTTGGAACGATTTGAAGAATTACAACGAAAATTACAAAATGGCGCGAAGCTGACCTCTTCTTTATCGGTTCCAAATTTATCTACACTAGATGAAGAAAAGTCTTCAATAATTCTCGAACAATCAAAAGAATTGATCAGCAAAGAAGACGGAGATTATGAAGGAGAGGATGAAGGATTACGGCTGAGAGGTGATCCCCTCGGCGTAAGTGAGTTACGAATAAAAAGGACACATTCATTGGCGAGTGCTGAAACATTTCATTCGGCTATGTCTACTTTAAATTAATAAAAATATAAGGTTTATTCTTTATTGTCCCTCCGCTCTTAATTTCAGATTTACCTTTGTGATATTTCTTTACTTAAACATATTATACTTATTCACTTGTGCCTTTTTTGAAAAATTAATAAATCTCTTCCCCTAACTTTTATTTTTTTTCATGTTTCTATTCTTTTAATTACTTAATCTTGACATGATTTCATTGTCTAATTATTAGTTTTCAGTTATTTATTTCCAATAATGTCAGAATTTGAACACCAAAGTGGAAAACCTCTAGACTGTTTGTGTATGGCTCTTAAAATATACAAACAAGAAGTAACCCTTCGATCTGGCGAGAAAATATATAAAATTGGGATGAGCATTGGTGGTGGAATTGATCAGGATTGTAGCAAGTCAATCTATAAGGATAATGTAAATAATTAAGTTTATAAAATAACATTTTTTATATTCTAGGGGATTTATGTAACACAAGTCGAGCCTGATTCACCGGCTCAGAAAGCAGGTCTGAAAGTGCATGATAAATTGCTTCAAGTTAACAGGATTGACTATGTAATGGTTATTTTTAAAAATTCAAAAAAAAAAAATAATTTTTCAGACAATGATTACACACAGGTTTTCTTTTTTATTCGATGTAAATACGTTATTTATACAAATAGTCGAGCCGTGAAGTACTTGTCAAAGGATGCTGTTCTGGATGTTTTGGTTGCGAGATCCAAAGAAGGATAAATGTTCTGAACCTAATTACATAATTCCTAGCAATATGTGCAAAATATCGTGGGGTATGTTTTTATACATTAATAAAGTAATTTATAAATTGTCCATTAATTATTTTAATTTTCTGACTAAAGAGAGATGAGAAAAAACTTGTTTGATAAATTTAGTAACAGGGTTTCCGTCATCTGGGCTGGTTTTAAATTTTCCTAAATAGTAAAAGCTGGTATAAACGTTGGTGGCATAGTAACATTAGTTGCTTCAAGTTGTTGATTGGAAGTGAGAATCACTCGGTTTTTAAGTTGTTCAAATGGTGTAGTCATCTTTGTTTTAATTTTTTGTATGAGCATATCAGGTACCAGGAAGCTAACACGTTGTAATTCGTTTCTTATTTGAGTCCTGAATTGTTTGCAGATTAATTTTTGTCGTTGAAAGGACTTCAGGAAGACATGCAAAAATTTAACCCTGGTTTTGAAATGGTCTAATATTTGGACAACCCGGAAGTTTCCACGTTAAGAAAAAATTTACTGTGCTCCTTCTTTTGCTGCAATTTCCAAAGCATCCTCTAGAGATGATAGAAAAACTTTGCCACTTATGCGTTTTGTAACGTTTCTTTGAAATAACCATGCCTTGTCTTCCTCATCTGCCACATAACGAAACAATCGAGGATATTTTCCAAGCAAGTGACCACGTGTAGAAGTAAATCCTAGCAGTTTATTCAATTTGGAAATAAGAACAAATGGAGAATCATTCGAAAATCGTTTTGGATCCCACTTAAAAAAATTTAAAAATATTTTCAGTTTGACAAATACCTTTAAAGCTTCTGCATGTGTTATAGGTTGTCTTCCATTCATTACTGGAGTACCACTTCGTCCCGTATCCAAATCAATCTTTTTGGGACGACCACGCTTCTTTGGGCGGTCTTAAAAACCAGGGAAGTTACAAATCAGCTGGGCCATTTTAAAATTTATATAAAACCTGAAAGAGACGAATGAGCGTTTTGTAATGAAGAATTGTAACTAATCAAGCTTCCGTCACTTTCATTATCACTATCATATAAGTGCGACATTTCAGTTTGCATTTGTAACTCAGATAAATTGTGTTTAAGTAAAGCGGTATATGCCTAAAAATACAATCACAAATTAAAATTAAATGGTTCTAACCGGAACGCATTTTCTGTTTCCCTCCTCACTTTCTTTCTGTTGCGAATCAAATAACGTTTTGGCGCCATCCAAAATAGAAATGCACAATTTATTGACATCATCTTCTGATACTTCCTTTAAATTAGATTTAACTAGTCAAAAAATTGTGTAAGCTCACATGGCCGTTCCTTCGCAAATTTTCAAAAGCAGGAGTAAACGTCGTTCGGAGATGGCGGTCAATAACTTGCTGCAAGTTATGAATTTACTTGTAAATATTACTAATTTTATTACCTTTATTTCTTCATTGAAGTCAGGTTGAAATACCTTTAAAATGGTCAGTATATATTTTTCCGCCTTCAAACCCCCTCTAACTACCTTAGAATAACCAAACTTTATACAAACCTGTCTAAGTACATCCAGCGATTTAGTCGTATCTATAATTAAATGCATACTAAAAAATAAAAAAATGAAAAATTTAACCATCGGCCATGTCAGATTTGTTTCGGCGTAGGGCTTGCCTTAATGAATTTGTTGTGGCAGTCGTATCATCACCAGATGCAGAAAGAAGATTTTCGAGAATTTCAATACGTCTATTTAATTTATTTCCATTACAATTCCCAGGAAGATAAACAGCTTCGGAATCACAATCACGCATCTGGAATTGATCTCTTCAGTTGAAATTTAGCCTAGTTATGTTTTAATGCTAGGACTCTCACGACCCTTAATTTTTCCGGAAAAGAACGATTCAGTATTGCCAATTCAGTCTAGAGGCAATATTTGGGCCATAATTTTTTTGATTCCAAACCGATTTGAATGACTATTATATCATTCAAAAGTCCTTGATGTGTGGATCATTTTTTCTAACAGGATTGGGTTGATCAGATCATGTGCACAATTAGTTTTGCGTTAACTTTCGGCCTGCCGTTGCGTTCTTGAAGTGACTCTCGTGCACTCCGCTTTTTAAATACTCTTGTTTGTAATTTCCTTTTTCGAGACTCGTTTGTACTTGTTTACGATCGAAGTATTGTTTATTTTCGTTCCATTTCAGACTATTTATTTGTGAATGCATGCAAACACTTTTACAAATTGATTGTTAAAAATTATATAGTTTTTAAATGCCGTGTTAATTGCTCTTTTAACAAGAGAAAAACAGACTTTTCTTTGATGTTAAAAATAAATCCTGTCTAATTAAAATTGTTTCTTGGACATTAAATTTACCCATGGTAACCTGCTGACAAAAATTAATTACCTCTCGCGCCCTTTCCGTTAACTTTCACAAATAATAATTTTTTACCTCTTCCTATTTAATTATTTTTTTTATTTTTAGTAAAATGAGCCAAATATTAAACATTCCACGTTCATCATTACAACTTTTAACTATTTCTTTGCTTATTTTCTTCACAATTGTTGCTATTCATTCACAATTATTTTATGAAAAAGCTGACGAGAATGTATCCACTGATAGGCTTCATCCAGCAAATACTGATGAGCTTAACAAATGCCTTTCACCAGATTTAGAGGAACAAGTTGTTTAATTTTGATTTTTTTTATAAATTTATCATTTAGGAGAAAAGTCAATTTCGGTTTTTTGCCGCTGTTATTGATGCTGGCTCTACGGGAACAAGGTTTATAACGATTATATATTGCATATTCTTGAATTCTTTTTAGACTTCATATCTTTGAATTCAGTCATGATACAGCAAAGGATCCTAGCACATTTAAGTTAGAGGCTGAAACATATAGAGAGGTTAGTTTGTTAGTTTCGATAAAATCCTTGGTTCAGTTGGATAGTGTTTAGATTTGCACCATCTAATTACTGGGTTCGAATTCTTTTAGTAAAAAACAATTTTTGCTGGAGCAGCCGATTTACCCGCGATTTCATTATATTTTAAACTAATTCTGTCGAAGCATGTTAATCCTTTTTACTTTTCTAGACCAAACCAGGAGTATCTGCTTTCGCAAAAACACCAGAACAAGCAGCAGAAAATATTCGAGTTTTGTTACTTATAGCAAAAAAGCACATTCCTGAAGAGCTTTGGGCAAAAACTCCAATTACGTTTCGGGCAACTGCTGGTGTTAGGCTTTTGAATGATAAAGAAGCTGAGGGATTACTTTCCCATGTGAGTATTTTTCTTAATTTTAATTTATCTTTTTCTGTCAGATTGAAACTGAAATAATGTCGAGTGGTTTGTTAGTTGATGATGATGCTGTTGGAATGTTGAGTGGAACTGATGAAGGAGTTTTTGGGTGGTTTACTCTCAACTTTTTACTTCAAAAGCTCGACAATGTATTAAATGGAAGTGAGTAAATATGTTTACACGGAGAGGTTGCGAGGTGTCCGAGCTAAAAACGGTCGAGACCGGGCTCATTCGATAGAGAATATGCCCTTTCTAGCAAGGATTTTTTGCCGTTTTTGCCCGTTTTTTGATCTGGCCAAGATATGGCCCTCCAAAGTCCCAAAATTTGGCATAATTTTCCCCCTTCAAATATAAACATTAAATAATGATTTAATTTTGTTGGCGTTGTGGTGTAGTGGTGAGTGTGCTTGACTTACTCTTTTTCTCTAAAAAGTTCGATTCTTTTTGGGTTTTATTATTTTATCTAACTGTTTTAAACATTATTTATTCCTTTTCCAACAAAAAAAATTTTTTTTGTTTGAAAAAAATTTTTTAAAATTTTTTAAAAATTTTTAAAAAATTAAAAATAATTTTTTTTAAACTAGATTTGTTATAAAACTAGAATTTACTACAGCTGGCACATAAAATAAAACTATTCCAAACAATTAGGTGTATTACATCCAAAAGAAGACGATAATGGATGATCGAATTCTCCCGGAGAATCTTCTCCTCTCCACCCAATAACTCGTCAGAATAATGTTTTTAAAAAATTTTTTTTTATTTTTAAAAATTTTTAAAAAATTTTAAAAATTTTTTTCAAACAAAAAAAATTTTTTTTTGTTGGAAAAGGAATAAATAATGTTTAAAACTAGGGTTGGTCCCCGAGCCTTCGGGGTTGAAAAAGTCGGGGGTCGGGGTTTTCGGGGTTGACAACGTCGGGGTCGGGGTCGGGGTTGCTCAATTTGTTCGGGGTCGGGGTCGGGGCTGAAAATAATGTCGGGGTTCGGGGTCGGGGGTCGGGGTTGTAGTGAAAATTTACAAAATCCAGCATTTTCATCCAACATTACTGTTCAAAATCAACATTTTTATTAAAAAAATCAACTTAATCTTCATTATCTTCACTTTCTATATCTAATTCGTTATTAGTTGAAGGCGCAAGAATTACTTTATCCAAGTTATCCTTCATAATCACCAAAATCCCCAAACCCACAAGGTAACTCTTACTCCCCCTCTTATGTAAAGGGGTTGAGGGGATATGAAGGCGCCGCAGGCAAAAATTTTGAGAAGCGCCGCAGGCAAAAATTTTGAGAATTTTGGAAGGTCAAGAGCCAGATTTCTTCTATTTTCGGCGCCGCAGGCAAAAATTTTAAGAATTTTGGAAGGTCAAGAGCCAGATTTCTTCCATTTTCGGCGCCGCAGGCAAAAATTTTGAGAATTTTGGAAGGCCAAGAGATAGATTTCTTCCATTTTCTGACCCAAGGCAAAAATTTAGGAAAATTCATGACTAGTTAAAATTTCTAATATTGTTTCAAGTTTAAAATATTAAAAAAATAAATTTGCAAATTTAAAATCAAGATCAAAGTTTAAAAATATTTATTTTTGAGAAGAAAAACTTTCTCAGCCTCATTTCCATCCATGGATTCGAACAACATCCCTATCAAAATAGCTAGATGGGTGAAGTCAGTTAACCTAACCACACAACCACCGACCAACATAAGGAAACAGGAGAAAATACAAATATTCCTTTCCCTTTTCCTTCATATATTTAACATCAAAGTCCCGATCCCGTTCCGATCTCTAGTTAATTAATGCAGTTTGAGTCGGGGGCATAAAAATTTTTCGGGGTTCGGGGTCGTCGGGGTCGAACTATCGGGGGTCGGGGTTTTCGGGGTTGGGAATGTCGGGGTCGGGGTCGGGGTTTTAGGTCAAAAAATGTCGGGGTTCGGGGTCGGGGTCGGGGTTAGTCGGGGTCGGGGACCAACCCTATTTAAAACAGTTAGATAAAATAATAAAACCCAAAAAGAATCGAACTTTTTAGAGAAAAAGGGTAAGTCAAGCACACTCACCACTACACCACAACGCCAACAAAATTAGTCCATTATTTAATGTTTATATTTGAAGGGGGAAAATTATGGCAAATTTTGGGACTTTGGAGGGCCATATCTTGGCCAGATCAAAAAACGGGCAAAAACGGCAAAAAATCCTTGCTAGAAAGGGCATATTCTCTATCGAATGAGCCCGGTCTCGACCGTTTTTAGCTCGGACACCTCGCAACCTCTCCGTGTTAGATCTAAAATTATTTTTTTAGGTGGAAAAGCAGCAACTGCGCTTGATCTGGGCGGTGGTTCAACACAAGTTACTTTCATACCCAGCGATTTTAATACTGCTATGCGTGGCCTTCATCGTCAAAAATATTCACATCGTCTCAAAATTTTTGAGAAAGAGCTTCGCCTTTATACTCATAGGTTATTTTTAAACTTTTTTTTGTAAGCTAAATTTATTTTAGTTATTTGGGCAATGGACTTGTCGCTTCTCGTTTAGGAATTGCCAAGTTGTCTTCTCCAGATTGGAGTCCGGGAGGTGCTCCAGCACTTAAAACACATTGTTTGCCAAAGAAGTTTATATTGGATGATTTTGATTATGCGGGCAATGTTTGGTTAATTAGGTTTTTTTATTACAAACTGAAAAGTTCTAAAATCTTTATCCTTTTTTAGTGCAACAATCGATGCAAGTTTTGAAAATTGTTTGGAAACAGCTAAACATTATGTAACAAATCTTACTGATATTAAGCAAATTAAATTATTGGTGGACGAGGAAGATCTTTATTTATTTGGATATTTTTATGATCGTGGGTTACAAGGAAATATAGTTGAATATACTTTGGAACAAATTGGAGGAGAAGCAAAAGTTGGCGATTATAAAATTGCTGCTGAAAAAGGCAGGTTTTTTATCTAGATTATTTTTTTATGGACTTCCCCATCCTGAAGACATTTTTTAAACTTCTTTCTTCAACCTCAGGACTAATAATCATTTTTAAGCTTGTGCTATGCCATCAGAAGCCATCGGGCCTGAACCATGGCAACCGTGGCAATGTCTTGATTTAACATATATTTATACACTTTTACATTACGGATATGGATTGCCTGATGACAGGAAAATCAATGTAAATGAGATAAAATTATTTTAAATTTAATTTTTTTAGTTAGTGAAAAAGATTCGTTCAATGGAAGTTTCTTGGGCATTGGGTGCTGGTTTTCATCTTCTAAATTCTTATCATGAAAATAAATTGAAAGAATCTCGTGATGAGAGGCAGCGACAATTGAAAGAAGCTTTGGAACGTGATCGTGAGGTTGATAAATATATTTTTAAAAATAAGTTTTTAAAAAGTTATTTTTAAGGATTTGGAAGCTCGACGCAAAGCAATTGAAGAAAAAGAGGCAGCCACGGATAAAAGATTGGCCTCTTTGTCAACGCTGGCGAAGATATTTCATTGGTTTAGTGATTGGATGACGCATTTGCTCACATCGCTTAATTTGATTTCATGAAGGAATAATATTTATTGAAAATATGAAGGCTCATGTACTTATTAAAAAGATTTTAGCCGTTTTTTTTTATAAATTATTGGATTACGACATTTTCTAAACATTTCCTTCTTTTAGCCTGCAATAGATTTTATGTGTTTATCATTTATGCTTCGTTAAATAAATATTTTCCATTTATTTCTCATTTGGGTTTTTTACAACGCCTTAAGGTGATAATTTTTTAGATATTAGGACTCTAGTATTCCCTTTAAAGTTTTTTGACGAAATGTAGTAATATTGAATGTATTAAGTAGAGAAATAAATGTTGAAGATAGTGTGTGAGTAGAGATATAATTTTTTAAATAAATGACACTTTGTCCCTTAGTTTAGAGAAGAATAAAAAGAAAATGAATGGTTAGAGAATACATCAAATACTAGGTCGGTTGAGTGCCAATTTCTCAGAGGGAAAAGCTTACTGTATTCGATAAAAACGTTTTAATTTGTTAGAAAAGTATTTAATCAATTAGCTTGGACTTGTTCTGATTTTGTCGTGATAAAGTCCTATGTTTTAAAAATCCACCGCTGTAGATAATTAATCTCTCAAATTAAAAGAGTCCAAAATTTTCTTTTCAATTCCTTTATATTATGGTTAATCAAGTTTAAGGTATCATGTTAACAATGTTTTTTTGGCCGTTTTTTGCCGCCAATTTGGCCTTACGGTCTTTTATTACAGAAATCTTTTAATTACTCGGTCTTTTAACCCCTTTTTGGCCTTACCGGTCTTTTATTGCACCGGTCTTTCAATTAATCGGCATTTTAACCCTTTTTGGGCTTCCGGTTTTTTATTAAAACGGACTTTTAATTAATCGATCTTCTAACCCTTTTTGAGCTACCGGTCTTTTATTGCACCGGTCTTTTAATTTATCTGTCTTTTAACCTATTTTGGTCTTTTCGGTCTTTTAATGCAACGGACTTCTATTTTTTCAGTCTTTTTTTACCCTGTTTGCCCTTTCTAATCTTTTAATGCAACGGTGTTTTTATTACCCGTGCCCGCTCAAAACATCAAACTCTTAAAATATCTAGACGAGTAAAAAAGCTCAAAATATCTAGACGGTTAAAGAATCTCAAAATATCTAGACGGCTATAAAATCTAAAAATATATTTTCTTAAAACGTCAAACTCTTAAAATATATTTACGGGTAAAATATCTCAAAATATCAAAATATATTTTTTCAATTAAAAGGGACAGTTGAGTCCGCAGAAAAAAGTTTTCGCCGCTGCGGAGGAAGCCGGGCATGTCGAGCGGAACGACGGCCGCCGCTTCGCTACGGTCGCCGCGAGCGAAGCGAGCACGACCGCAGCGAAGCACGGCCATCGTGTAGCGAAGACCATGCCCGGCCTACCCTCCGTAGCAGCACAAAAACAGTTTTTCCAGCGAAGATTCTGTTGGTCATAACTTTGTTCAGAAGCGTCCAATCGAGCTGATTTTGGTTTCACTTGATTCAGCTCGTCGAACTCATGCAAAATTGGTCCTGAAGTACTACATCTTAAAATATATTCACCCCTGATACAAGGAAGAAATATGGGACTCAACTGTCCCTTTTAATTAAAAAATATATTTTGATATTTTGAGATATTTTACCCGTAAATATATTTTAAGAGTTTGATGTTTTGAGAGAATATGTTTTGAGATTTTTTACTCGTCTAGATATTTTGAGAGTTTGATGTTTTAAGAATTTATGTTTTGTATGGGAGCCTTATTACCCGGTCACTTGTATGCCCAATCTTTCCCTTAAGTTAGAGAAAAATAAAAAATATGTGGTTTAATTTCAAATACAATTTCAAATACAGTAACTTCGCACTCTCTGAATCCAGCACTGAAGCGACCTAAACATTTGATATTTATTTTTTTCTCTAGCTCCACTATTTGTTTTATAGAATTTCTCTAACTCTTGGGACAAAATGTCATTTATTTTTAACATTACATCCCAACTTCTCAACTCCCTCAAACATTTTCTTTCTCTACTTGCTACATTCCACCTTGCTTTAAAAAAGAGTAAGAGTAGTTCTCAATACAAAAAGGAATACAAGAGTCTGATAACATGAGAAATGGTCTCTTTGGAATTTGATGAGGGTATAAGACCGTTAAATCCTTCAAGAAATCGATTTAAATTTAAAGTCCTCGATACATAAAATTTAATGAAAAACGGTAATTCAACAACAACAAATTCATTTTTATTTATGCAAACAGATAAAATTTAGTTAAAAACAAGCAAAATTTAAATGATGATTGTATAGTCAAAATTAAATTTGAAAATAAACCGTCAATTTTTCTTCATTTTTGAGAAATGTCGAAGATTTTTAGGTTAATTCGACTATCTAATTAAAAACAAAAAAAATTTGAAAAAAAACTATGTTTTAGTCACCATATTCGTTCATAAATCCAATTTTTTCTTTTATGCCAACACTTGCTTCTTTTATAATTCCATCGCTTCTTCAAAGAAACAAAAAGGCCAGGAATTTGTTGTTGAAGTTGATGACGAGGCTTGTGTAGTACTAAAAAGAAAATTAAGAAAACTAATGGAAAAATAGGAAAGAATGCCTAAAAGTCGGAAAGGATAAGTCGAAAAGGGGAAGCTTAACAAAATACCGATAGACCAAAAGTGAAAAAAATGTCTAAAAAGGAATAATGGACAGTAACGAAAAACTGGAGAATGTTGTGACACAGGGTTTATGGTGGCACACACGATTTTGATGAGGTGTTATTCGAAAGAGCTTGGCGAGCTGATTCATAGCTCGGGGGAAGAGGCCGAACGGACGTTTAGGGGACCGAGTTCAGTTTCCAAATTTCAAGGGGGGGGGGCTATAGCCCTAGAAGCTCCCTGGCTACGCCCTTGACTTATAGGATGGCCCTAACCATTTATCCCATATCGACTCATGTCAGCTCGACGAGCTTTTTCTAATGACTTATAATTTGTCGAAATCGGATAGACAAACAAAAACCTCCCTACAAGTCACAATCCCAAGGGAAGCAACCGGACGGAGATTTAAACACCCATAACAGAGATTCTTTAAATTAGTAAGCTCCAAAAGGGACAGAACTTGAAAAATATAAACAATTATGGAAACCTAATAATCAAATTAATCAATTAATTTGCAAACCTAATTTTCTGAATTCTAACAAAAGATTGCAGTTCTTCGGTCATTTTTTCTGCTGATTCTTATTCTTCCAAAGCATTCTCATCAAAAAGAGTCTTCACGCAACAATTCACCGGACTAAAAAATAATCTTGAAACCATAGTAAATAATTAAAAATAACCTCTTAAAAATTTTTAAGGCTTCTGGATACTTTGTCAAAGCTGAAAATTAAGTAATTAAAAATCCTTTAGACATAAAAACAACCTATAAAAAGATCAACCATTCAAAACAAGCAAATCAATGCATCTAACCAATGGAACATTTGCTGTACGTCTTCTCGTTTGAAAAGAACTTGGCCACCATTTAATTGGCTTTAACATTGAAAAAGGATAAACTTATTTAGAGGAGAAAACTTGCGGACAAAACTTGCGAATTTAATAAAGTAAAAACGCTAACCATGTAGACGAGAGCATTGGAGTTTAATCGTTGAAGTGAAGATCGCCCAGCTATCTCCTTAATGAAACTGGTGCTTTTGCCCGGCTATCTCCTTAGAGAAACTGGTGCTTTTGCCCGGCTATCTCCTTAGAGAAACTGGTGCTTTTGCCCGGCTATCTCCTTAGAGAAACTGGTGCTTTTGCCCGGCTATCTCCTTAGAGAAACTGGTGCTTTTGCCCGGCTATCTCCTTAGAGAAACTGGTGCTTTTGCCCTGCTATCTCCTTAGAGAAACTGGTGCTTTTGCCCGGCTATCTCCTTAGAGAAACTGGTGCTTTTGCCCTGCTATCTCCGGAGAAACTGGTGCTTTTTTGCCCTGCTATCTCCGGAGAAACTGGTGCTTTTGCCCGGCTATCTCCTTAGAGAAACTGGTGCTTTTGCCCGGCTATCTCCTTAGAGAAACTGGTGCTTTTGCCCGGCTATCTCCTTAGAGAAACTGGTGCTTTTGCCCGGCTATCTCCTTAGAGAAACTGGTGCTTTTGCCCGGCTATCTCCTTAGAGAAACTGGTGCTTTTGCCCGGCTATCTCCTTAGAGAAACTGGTGCTTTTGCCCGGCTATCTCCTTAGAGAAACTGGTGCTTTTGCCCGGCTATCTCCTTAGAGAAACTGGTGCTTTTGCCCTGCTATCTCCGGAGAAACTGGTGCTTTTTTGCCCTGCTATCTCCGGAGAAACTGGTGCTTTTTTGCCCTGCTATCTCCGGAGAAACTGGTGCTTTTTGTTGTTGCTGCTGCTGTTGTTGTAGCTGCTGTTGTTGTAGCTGCTGTTGTTGCTGATGCTGTTGTTACTGCTGCTGCTGCTAAAAATTGGATACATTTTTCAAAAATTGAAAAAAGCAAGTCTTGTCCGCAAGTCATTACTCCTCCCCACCCCTCAAAAAGGTTAACCCCAAAAAAGGAAAAGCCACGCTCCAAGTTGTAGAACATCTTTGCTATAAATGACAACAGAGAACACTAGACGAGCCATTAAAAATCGATTATTGATTTTTGGGATGAAGTGTCATTTATTCTTAATGGTTTGCATTATGCCAAATAGCGCAAATTTTTGAATTCTGAAACAAATATTGTTAAATGGTAAAGATATAACGGTTTTTGGACCTTTATGGATTTCTAGTTTTAAATTGGAAATTTGTTCTACTAAATTAAAAATAAAAAATAGAGCAAGAATGTCAATAAATTGGATCTCTATACACCGACATTGTTTTAGCCGTTTTAGAGTCAAAGACAGAAATGCTGACCAAATAAACGTCGTTATGGAGATTCCATTAAAAAATAAAAAAAAATAACAAAAGTAAATCATTTAATTTCTTCGTTTCTTATTCTTTTCTTCCTTCTTTGCCTTCCATACTTCTTCCCTCCTCTTCTTCTCTGCATTTTTCAGCTTCTCTATTTCAGCGTTTGGACACCCTTCATTTATCAGCTTTTCTATGTAAGCGGTAAAACTCCTTCTTTTCTTCTTTTCACTTGTGGAGACATGCTAAAAATTCAAAATTCTATTTGAATATATTTTTAATTTCCCAACCTCTCCTTTTGCTCGCTTATTGTCCTGAAAAAGAAAAAAGTTTAATCAAAAATCGAAATTAGAAATAAACAATTCAATCTTTGGGTGAAATTTCATCAGGAAACCACCCAAACATGATAAATCTTAAATTAAGATAAATCGAAAAATTGAATGGCAGTTGGATTCCCAAAAAAGCTCCCTAAAATAAATTCCCCAATAAACAAAATATTAACCTTAGGCGTCTCTTTTTGAATTTTCCCATCATTTTTGTCGCTTTGTTGATTAGCAGGCTTAAAAGATAAAATCAAAAATAAGGTGGTAGCAGATTAATTTAATAACCTTAATCTTAATATCAGTTCTGCCTCGTTCTTTTGCTTCTTTTGTCGTTGAGATGTTTTGCTGCTCCAAAGGACTACTTATTGTAATTATTGGAGCTGCTGGAACTTTTGATGGCATGTTCAATTCTTTTTGTAGAGGCTTCTTAACAGGAATAGACTCCTTTTCTTTAGCATTTCCTTCTTTTTCTTTTGTTGTTGTTGAAACATCTTTTTCCTCTTCGTTTTTATCGTCTACAAATCGAATTTTTCTAATGGCGTGGCGTTCATTAACAATGTGTTCATCAGCAACTCTCTTCTGCAAAAATAAACAAATTAAAATTGTATCCGCAAATCATATAACGTATAAAACTGGGTACTTGTGGGTTATGCGAAACCAGTGTTTGCGGACATATTTATGCGGACTCATGTACGGAATGGTCAAAGGGTTTTCCTTCCTCGATTTTACCAAATTTCACCTGTGGCATCATTTAAATGAGTTCACCAATAAAGAAAAGATATGCATACAAGGTGTGGGACAAAATGAAGTGAGGAGCTTCCAAAATACATTTTGGAGAAAGCAGTTTTGTATGGACATGCAAATGTGTGAGGTTTTCTGAAAACTGATTTTCTTTGCCTCTATCAGTCTCTATACTATGATTCACCATCTTCAAGAATAAGAACCTAATTCATGTGTGAGAAATACTCTCCCGCATAAATTGTCCGAAATAACTGGTTTGGGATACCCCACAAGTACCAAAATCCGTCAAGTTAATAATTTAATTTAGCGTATGTCAAAATCTGCCATAAATAAATTCCCCAATAAACAAAATATTAACCTTTGGCTTCTCCTTTCGATTTTCCCCATCATCATTTTTGTCGCTTTGTTGATTAGCAGGCTTAAAAGATAAAATCAAAAATAAGGTGGTAGCAGATTAATTTAATAACCTTAATCTTAATATCAGTTCTGCCTCGTTCTTTTGCTTCTTTTGTCGTTGAGATGTTTTGCTGCTCCAAAGGACTACTTATTGTAATTATTGGAGCTGCTGGAACTTTTGATGGCATGTTCAATTCTTTTTGTAGAGGCTTGTTAACAGGAATAGACTCCTTTTCTTTAGCATTTCCTTCTTTTTCTTTTGTTGTTGTTGAAACTTCTTTTTCCTTTTGTTCTTTTTCGTCTACAAATCGAACTTTTTTGATGAGGCGTTCTTCAACAATGTGTTCATCAACAACTTTCTTCTGCAAAAATATATTAATTAATAAGTTAATATATTACAAAAAATAAACCTTATCACGCATTCTAAAGACTTCTGGCTCTGCCAGATCTTCGGGACTCCCATCAAATAACAAGCTAAACGTCGAGACTTTGCGAGGTTGTTCTTGTTGTAATTTGGGTTGTTCTTCTTGTAACTTGACCACAGAATCGTTTAACGGTTCAAGCATAAACGAGTCCTCCTTAAAAACATAGAATATATTTATTTATTTTCAGTTCAATTAATAAATCCTTACAACACTTATGCTAGACGAGGGATGGCTTAAACACCTATAAAAAGTTGGTTTTCTCACCCCGTGTCCGCAGTCCGCACATTTCACCCAAACCGTATTTTCACCAATAAAACTAAAGGCACCTCAGAGCTAGGCTATCTTATTGGTCAGAAAAGCCCTAAGAAAGCCCTCACCCAAATAGAAATTTGAGGGAGGGAAGAGAGGGGGATGGAAACAACTCATTCTACAGTCAAAAATATCTAAAAAAGAATAAACAAAACCTCCATTTCCATATTCCTATCGGGAAGTTGATGTATTTTCGGTTGAAATATTTCAAGTCCATACATCTCACGTCGATCTTGCCAATCAACCAAAGATTGTAATTGGTCTAATTTAATCTTCATTGTATTCATTTCTGCTTTCAATTGCTTATTCTCTTCTTTTTCTCGCTTTGCTTCAAGTTGAAATTGATATAAGTGAGGCAGTGACGATTTCATCGCTTCTTTTTCTTCTTCCAGTTTCTTGGCTTTGTCTTTTTCTAGCTCGAATAAATTTGATACTCTTCTGTAGTTTGTAACAAGCTCCGAAGATAGTGGATTTTCATGTAAATCTTTCAATTTTTCATGTAATTCTTTCAATTTTTCTTGATATTTTTTCTGCATTAAATCCATTCTTGCTTTCATCTTCTTATTTTCTTCTTTTGCGAGCTTTAATTGTTCCATTTCTTGTAATTTGGACATTGACAATTTCATCGCTTGATTTTCTTCTAACAATTTCTTATTCTTTTCCCGTTCTTGCTTCCATAAATCTAAAGTAATTTCATATTGCGAAGACATTGGATTTTTATCCATTTTGCTTAAAACTAAACGCTAAACGAAAAAGAAAAATTCACGTTTTTAAATAAAAATTATAAGTAAAGCAACCTTTTAAAAAAACACAAATAAATATTATAAAATTTGAAAAACAAAAATTTCTCGAATGTGAGAAAAACGGGTGAAAGACCCAAAACGGCGCGCGGCCAAAACGGCGCAAAGCCATAACTTGCTGAAAAACTTATGGTCCTTATCAATTCTGGTATCAAAATATTTAGCTCGATGAGTTGAATCGTTCAATACTAAAATTATCGAGATTCGGAAATTTAGAAGCAAGTTATGGCTTTGCGCCGTTATGGTCGGCGCCGTTTTGGGGGGTAAGGGACGATTCAAAGTCGCCGATTAAAAGAAGCCAATTCAGGGTCGCTGATTCGCAATTCAGGGTCGCTGATTCAGAGAGTTTAAATGTAAATTGATGAAGAATAATATGTAAATAATGTGTACAAGGCTCTAACCGACCACTAAATAGACAGATAGAAACAAAAATTTAATAAAAGCAGTTAAAATTTCAATAGATTTCTTTAAAAGAAAATTTTCAAAAAAAAAGAATGACAAGAATAATTTCATGTAAAATACAAAAATAATATCACCGTTCAAGTTTTTGATAAACTATGTATAATCATCTCCTTTCAAATTTTGCTGCAAGAGATTTCACATCAATTTTTGATATATTAGTAGATGTATTTGTGGCATTTCGATGTGGTGGAATAGGAGGTGGCTCATCAGAACCTGTTGATGATGATGATTTTCCAGTATCATAACCTTCTGTTTTGACTAAAGCCTTTTGTTCTTGAATGATTTTCTGTTGTTTCTGTGTTGTTTTTGAAATATTTTGATTCACAGATTGTTTAGTTGTTGCTTCAATTTTTGGGAGCTTTGCGCCAGAAATTGGAGCTATATTTTGTTGAGAAAAATTTGATAATGATGAAAAACCAAAAGGATGTGGACGAGAAGCATCAACATGAAGAACTTCACCTCTCACTGTTGTTACTCCACCATTATCATTCCAAATAGCATTAAAACTTTGTCGACGAAGTTCTTCTTGTCTTAAATGAGCATCTGGCCTAGCTGGTGCTCTTCGAACTGGAATTAAATTGAAACTTCGAAGTTCGAGTAGAACACGCAATTTTGACCAAATTCTTTAAAAAGATTGATTGTTATAAATAAATTACAAAAATTATTTAAAAAGAAACCTTTTATGTAACCAAAAACCCCGCTTCCTTTTGAAATAAACTGAAGCAATTACAAAAAATATAAAAGCAAATGAAAATAAGTAGAGAAATGTCATGGCAGGATTGAAAGCATTTGTGCTAGCTGGTCCTTAAATTAAAAAGATGTTAAGTATTTTTCAAAAAATTATTTACCGCTATTAACAGATCCACCAAAACCAGGTAAATCACACGCGACACCTAAAAAGATTATTCAAAAAAAAATTTTTAAATAAAATAAACCTCCATAACCACTAACACAATGACAATTTCCAACATTATTACAAATTCCACGAGAATTACAATCTTCTGGGTCACAACGGCTAACCATTTCCAAAATTGCTGTTTTATTATGGCAAGCAGCATTAACACAAATCTAATAATTATTTTTAAAAATTTAAAAATTTCTTTTATACTTTATTATTTCCACATTGAGCACCATCTGGAACCATTCCAGGATCAGCCTTCCTTTTTCCTCCAGTTCCAGCTATTGTTGTTCTTACAACTCGACAAGTTTCATCTTTACCAGATTTTGTCCGAACAAAACTATATGCAGAATATATTGTTGAAGGATCACCAAATACAGGTTTATCACTTTCATGACTGCATTGAAGTCTTCCACAAGTTACATCACTAAAAAGAAAGAAAACTTTTCTTAAAAAATTACAAAAAATACTTTGGTCCACAACGAAGATATTGGTCAGTATCTTGACGATAACCACAATTTCCACTGAAAGCACCTTGTTCATTAAAGGAATAACAATCTTTTACAGAATCATCTGCAGAAGGGCCCCATAAGAATTGACATTGTTGTTTCCGACTTAAAAATAAGTTTAAAAAATTCCGAAAAAATATTTAAGAACCTGCCACACGTTCCTTGATAACAAAAAGCCTTGAAGAAAAATTAAAAGTTAATTCAAAAATCTTTGAGAAGAAATAACCTCTAATGCCCCATCTGGACATGGATGACCATCCTGTACAAAAAAGTCTGCCGGACAGCTAGGATTTTTCCCATCACAATATTCAGGTAGATCACAACTATTTAAAGCATGTCGGCATTCACTAGCCATTTTTCTACAAATTTTTAACATCAAAATTAATTTTTAAACTATAAAACACAAACTTTAATTTGCAAACATTCAAATCACAACAATCTCCTTCAGCGCATTCTGCTTCAAGTGCTAATTTACATTCAGCTGCAATACAACAAGAATTTGGACAAGTTGTTGTACTTCCGCAGTCACAATCTTCACCATCTTCTAATACACCATTTCCACATTTAGCACCACCAAATGCAACCCTAGGCACATTATGAAGACAATAATCAACACCACGACGAAGAGCAGAAGACAAAGTATCCAAAGAACAATCAGAAAAGTAGGAAGAAGCGTTAACGCTACAAATAAGAAAAATTTAAATCAAATTATTCAAAATAACCTGCTACTCGACGGAGCCATAATACAAGAATCGACTGGGCATTTACATGTAGGACTAATGTCGTGATCCATTCTTAAAATAAAAATAAGAACAAAAAAATTAATTTTAGAAGTTTACCCAAAATTATGTCCCATTTCGTGTGCTACAGTCATTCCCACAAATACTGGATTGTCAGAGTGATCAACAATAACACCTCCAGAATAGTCAAAAGAACACATAGTTCCCTTAAAAGAAAAAAATAAAGTTTTTTTAAAGATTTCTTGCCTTGTAAGCTTTTCCAATTACAGAACCAAAATGAATATCACTTAAATAAAATTATGAATAAACGATTTTTATTTTTTAAATCAAACGTTAAAAGCTGCGCATTATCATTTGAATGTCCTTTAGCCAATAAGGATCTACGAAAACCAAGAAAATCCCTCAAAGTTCCATCAGCATTCTCAGTCACATCAACAGCATTTTTGTCCTCCCAAATGTCAGCCCAAGTAAGTATCACTCGAATATTTAATGGAGCATAAAGCTAAAAAATTTAAAAAAATGATTTACAAATTTAAATTAAAATAAAACCGAATTAACAGAACTAGCAATTGCATGAAGCCTTTCAGTAATTCTCTTCTTGTCCTCTCCATATTTTTTGTACTAAAATATTATTTATTTTAAAAAATTCTTAAAATTATTCTTACAATTGAATTGTCAGCAATAACAATTAATTCAACCCATCGCTTAATTCCATCAGTATATTCCGAATAATAAGTAGGCATTCGCTTTGTTAAGGAAATTTCACCAGATCTTCTATTTCTAACATGCCATTCTGAAAATAAAAATATTAATATGGGAAAAAACGATTAAAGAAACCACAATTTGGAGAATCTCGAAAAAAATATAATTTTTCATTCAAATGGCCAAATATAAATTGATTTCCATTATGACGGATAATACCACTAAATTGATAAAAATTAAAAATAAATAAATAAAATCTGAGTAGAACCATCTACCCCACAGTTAGGGAACCTAGAACCAACCCACTAAACCACACATACCGCACAGAAAAAAATAATTTTAACACACCTTAAATCATCAATATTACATAAATTCAAAACGCTTTGCTCTCCATTAAAATCAACAGCTTCATAAACACAACGTACATCCAAATCTTTTACTTGATTCAATAGAGATTCATTGTAATACCTAAAAATAAACATTATCTCTCGTAAAACAATTAAAATACCTAAAATGAGAAGTTCGAAAAAATTCCAAATCAAATCCATCAGAAAAATCAAAAAATCTGCTAAAAGACAACAACAAAGGTTGTTTCTCAGTTTTTGACTATAAAAATAAATTAAATTATTTTATTAAAATAAAAACCGAATTCAAAAGTCCAAATGCATCAATTTCTTCACCCAAATCATTTCGAACAAATACAGGGCAAGAGGTGTAGTTCGTTTTCATTTAAAGTCAAAAAACTAAAATTTCTAAAATTTGTAGCAGTATAAAAATCAAATATAATTATTTAATCGAAAAATAAATGTAAAAAAATAAGGAAAATAAGTTTCATTTTTATTTTTAAATAGATTTATATAAAATAAAAATTTTAAATTATAGTCTCAAGTGCTTATTCCTTCCATTTTTTGCGCATTTTTAAAAAGACTTTTAAAATTGAAAAATGAAAAAAAAATCTGGATTCTTTTCAAAGCATTTTTAAATTTTGACTATAAAAAGATTTGACAATAAAATTAAATTATATCCATTAAAGATTAAATTAAATGCTTTGAAAAAAATTTGAATTATTGGTTTATTTTGGCAGTTTAAATAGGTAGAATAGATAATCTTTTTTAGTTTAAACCAATAAGTAAAAAGGTACAATAAAATAAGGACAATTTTTTACTCAAAGTGAAATAACCAAGTTGAATGGGCAAGAAAATAAAATATAGTAAAATATAGGTTCAAAAATAGTAAAAGATATACACAGAAGAACCTGTGAAAAAAATAAATTACATTTTGAAAGAGGTATTGAAAAAATAAAATTTTTTAAAGGTTCAACTGTATATATGTATTTATTTATAACAAAAAAACCTCAACTACATTAAAGATGCTGATCCAGCCCAAAAACATTATAGGAAGATCTTGCCTGTGCACAAGAAGAAGACGAAGAAGAAGAGCTAACTCCAGAATTAACAGTCATTTCAGAACTATTAAAATAATTGTTTAAAAAATCAAAAAAAATTTTTAAATAAAACCTATAGAAACGTTCTTGAGTTGCCAATTCTTCACTAAATTTTGCTTCCAAAGCCTTAAAAGAAAAGATAAGAAAAAAGTTAAAAATTAAAAAACTAACAGCTTTCCTAGAAGACAAATTAGATTTCCATTCAGATAAAACTTGTTGATATTCTTTTTCATATTCAGCAAGTTTTGCTCGTTCATTGTCCAAAAGAATATTACGCTTCTCATTCTATAAAAAATATAATTTAAAAAGTCAGTTCAAAATTATGAAACAAACATGAATTTCTTCTAATTCTCGAAGCACATTTTGATTGTTTTCAACTAATTGTGCCAATTTTCTTTTACATTTTAAATCATATTCATCCATTTTTAAACGGATTCTTTGCTTTTCTTTTTCTTCAAAAATTTTTATTTTTGCTGTCCATGTCTCTGAGCTCTCACCCTAAAATGTTCGAAGATTTAGATTATCAAAAAAAAATTTAAAAAACTCACCGGTAAGTCAACTTCCAAACTTTTTCTGAACATCATTGTTCGCGTTTTACTTTCATTTCTTAAAACTTTAGGTAATGCTTTCCTATCGATTGTCAATGCACGTAACATATTTTCTTCGTTTGCTTGATTGATGCGTCTTACGTGTTCGCCCTCTTTTGCGTGTCTAAAAACGGTCAAAAGTGGAACCAATTATTAACACAACAAAAGAATACCGAGCAAGCATATGTGTCCTTTGCAAATGAAAAACATCCTGAAAAACAGTTTGAATAGCAATTTAATAATTCAAATAAAAATACTCTAAATTGTTGTGTCAATAAGGCATGCTTCTCCACCAACTGAGCTTCTTCCAACTCCCATTGAGCAGTTTCTAATCCTCTCTCTAATTGGTGTTTTTGCTCCAAAAATTGCCGTTCTAACAGACAAAGCCTTTCACGATGGCGATCCTGAGCTTTTTGTAAAAAGTTTTCTTTATTGCGTTCCAGTTGATTCATGAATTCTGCTTCCTACAAAAAATTTTATTTTATATTCATAAGCAAAATTAACAAACCTTATCAATTTGGTATTTCTCAAAACTCTCTTGTCTCTGCTTCATTACAGGCTTACGTTGAGATTTTGGAAGCATTCCAACTTCTTGCTTCAAAATCTTTTCTTGTTGTCTCAATCTATCACGAAATAGTCTCAAATCTCTTTCCTGAAGACAAAAATCTTCTTGGAAAACAAAAAATAATGAACCTGATCAATTCTAATTCGCTTAGCCAAATTACGCATCTCCTCTTCTTGTTGTTTTTCTTGTTCTTCCATTTTCTTCTTTTGCGCCTTAGATATTGCTTCGACTTCATTTTCATAGGATTTTTGTATTGCCTGAAAATTAAGGTTTGATAAACATGTCACAAATAAAACAAAGGGCAACCTGCATTTCAAAAGCAAACTTCCTTTCTTGTTGCTCACGTATTTGTTCAGCTCTCGCATTAAGTTCTTGTTGTTGTCGTGCCTCTTCTCTTTGTATTCGTTTCAAATCTCTCAACTCTTTTTTTCTCAATTCGAGATCCTGTTTTTCGCCCAAAACATGCATAGTCGTGCTTGTAACTTCAACTCCATCAACAACATAAGTACGTGTTCTTTTAGTGACCTTAAACATATAAATAGTTTACAAAATTTTGATAAAGTCAAACAGTAGCACGATGAGGTGATTTGCGCATTGGAACATGAACAGATGGTTGTCGCTCTTTGTGTTGTTGAGGTCGATTGATTTGATTCTAAAAGTTAAAATAAAAATTGTAAAACAACAGATTAACCGATTTTTCTATTAAATTCGATGTTGTTGAAGGCACAGAAGGATGTACAATGCCTTGTTCTTTAGCAGGCAAAGGTGGAGACGACCGAACATTTTGTTTTTGCATTAAATTATCAGCAACAGGATGAGAATGTCGTTGATTTAAATAACCACCTCCATTTGTAGTTCCAGAAATATTTTCAGCATTAACACTTCCAGATCTTTTTCGCTTGTCCTCGGTTTTGGAGATTCTTTCAGGTGTAACTAGTAAAATAATTTTATTAAAAAATAATTTTATACCCAACCTTTTGATGTTTCCTTTTGTAACTTTTCACGAATTATATTATCTTCAACATCATAATCAACAGGCGGTTCCGGTGGTGGCAAATCATCACATGAAAGATGTATCGTTGTTGGTTCAGCATTTATTTGTTCATTAGACAAATGGACGACAGTCTTTTGATTATCAATAGAGGAAGAGTGCAAAAGAGACGGCATTGAATGCTCTCCAAGTATAACTTGCTCTGATCTAAATAAAATAAAAATGTCAAAAAAAAATAAAAAATTACTGAAATGAAGCTGTATTGCTGCTAACAACATCCTCATCTCCATCATTATCGAGAACATCACAAAGATCATCCAAAATTTGAATAGCTTCTTGCCCAGAAGGGCTTAAGGTACTATGACTTCTAGCATTTATAGCATCATCATCAGGTGTTGTTCCCCAAGGCAAAAGTGCTGGTGGCTCTGGAGGTGGTTGTGGAGCTTCATAATTTTTCTTAGAAACGATAACAAATTGTTGTTGTTGTGATTGTTCATTAATTTTGTTGTTATTATCTTTATTGGGGTCAATAACAACTGTCGATGTTGTTGGTTCTAAAGGAGCATGTCGAAAGTTTGGAATATTTTCGATTGAAGTTCTGAGTGGATTATTATTTGCATTATTAATAGTGCTGATGCTATCAATATCTGAACAAGTTTCACGCTCTTCAGAATCAGCTATACTATCGATCTCAATACTGGAATTAAAAATTTTTTAAATTAAGAAAAATTTAATTTTTAGAGAAAAATATTAAAAGATGTGAACTCTTTAAAATAAAAAATACAAAATGAATACTAGACAAAATTAAAAATATTTACTTAATCAAAAAAAATCCTAATTAAAATAATTAAATGCCAAATCATAATAAATGACAAACAAGCTAAAAAGATTTTTCTTAACAAGACTTGGCATAAAATAAAAAAAGAAAAAAATACTAATGTAAGTTTTAAGATATGTTAATTAAATTAGATATTTATTTGATAGGCAATTTCTTAACGACAAAGTGCCTTAAGATGAACCTGTAATCGAATAAAAAATAAATTTAATAAATTAATTTATCGTTATAAGCAAATAAAAAATATTGGCAGTTATATTATGAGATATTCTTATTTGAAAAGAAGTAAATATAGAAGTTAAAATTACTACAAGATAAGATAGAAATAGCCGATTTTCTTTCGAAATAAGACTGAAATGCTTAAGCAAAAAACTGAATAAAATTTTTGACTAAATAAAACGGCTAATTAAATAGGAAAATAAAATTAGGAAAAAATATTAATAATTAAATTAAAGACTAAACTAATGCCGATTTGGAATAAGAGGAAGATTATTATTAATTAAATGGGAATTAGAAGAAATACCTCCCAGGACTTTTGTAAATTTATGGTTTTTAATAAAATCATTAAGAAGTACATACTTGTTTGCTCCAACAACTTCAATTATTTCCTCCAATACATCTGCATTCTTTTCACACAATAATTTGATTATAGGCCGTCGATCAGTAGCAGTTCGAATAAAAGAATGCTAAAAAAAATTTTGAATTTTATTTTAAAAATTTTTAATAAGACAAACATTTAGCAATTGTTGAGCATTCCAACGTTCATCAGGATTTTTCACAAGACATTTTCGAAGAAATTCTGAGAAAGTTGAAGTCCATCTTTGTGGATGTGCAAGAGTTGGAGGTTCCGATTTTTGAATTTTGATGACAACACGCATTGGATTCATATTATGATTTGGTGGCTCAATTTGTGCCATTTCGATGAGAGTTATGCCAAGTGACCAAATATCGGCTAAAACAAAAAAATAAATCTCGTCTTAATAAAAATAACCTCTAGAATCATAAGGCTGATCTTTAAAAGTTTCACAAATAATCACTTCCGGAGCCATCCAATAAGGAGTTCCAATAAAAGAATCACGTTTCTGATGATTTTTCATTATTGCAGATACGCCAAAATCAGCTGAAAAATATTTTTTAATTGCAATTTTCAATAAAAATATACCAAGCTTGACAATTCCATCTGCAGAAAGCAAAATATTCCCAGCCTTCAAGTCTCTGTGAATAACAGCTAAAAAGAAAAAAAAATGGAGAAGGAATAAAAAATTTTTTGAAACCTTGTGAATGAAGAAATTCCAAAGCTTTGACAACACCTAGGAAAAAAATTTTTATTTCGTTGTAATTTCATTTTAACTGTAAACTATAATTTTTTGAATAAATTACTGACCATGTGTAACATAAGCAATTTGCGGCTCAGTTAAAGGCTTATCCAATTCTGCCATTATAGAATCAATTGCACCACCAGCACAATATTCCAATATCATCTATAAAATAAATTATTTTTTTGGATTTCTAAGATAATACTTACATAAAGCTTTTCTTCAAAGAAATAACAAGCATGAAGTCCAACAATATTTTCGTGTTCCTTTGCAAGTGAAAGAATTTCAATCTCAACAAGAAAATCTTCCAAATTTTCTCCTTCTTGAGGTGAAATAGCCTAAAATAAGAAAAAAATTTTAACGAATTTTTAATTAACAAAAAAACCTTCGAAGCTGCAATCAAATGAGAATTACTTAAACTGCAAACTTTCTCAATTTTTCCAAAAGCACCTTCAGCAATCTCTCCAAGCACTTTCCAATGATCCATTGGGTTAACATCTTTTAGTATTATTGAGGGAAGTTTATGATTGGTAGATTGATTATTAGACTGTTGTCCAAGCAATAAATTCTTAAACATGCCAAATATGGCCATTTTTTGTTTGGGAAGGGGGCTAAAAAATATTTTAAATGGATGGCTATCTTTCAGATTAATTTTTAAGGTGTTTTTAACGAACAACAAGGAAAGGGAATTTCTAAGGAACAAGAATAAACATTCTGAAAGATCGCCAAATATAAATTAAATCGTATAACAAGAAAAGCTAAAATAAACGAAGATGTAATCAAAACAATTTTTTGATTACATTTAAAGAAATATGAGTATTTGAAGAAAAGGGAATTAATGCGTGATTCATCCAACCGATTATTCTTTTTACGTAAATAAAAGAAATCGCAGGCAATCTCAAACGGAAGAACAAGTTACAATTTACCGAAATGCTCGTGAACGGCTCGTGACCAATTTGGTTGTTGGCAAATGAAAAGAAAGGACAAGTCAGTTTGTCGCTGGAAAAATGTTCAGGACTGTTTGGTGTTAACGAGATTTCGAAATCAATAAATTAAATAAGGCCCAATCCCCAATTAGTAACAATGAACAAAATTAACCAATTCGTCTACAAATATCCAATTCGTCAAATCCCCATTTCGTCCCAACCCCAATTCGTCCTAATGAACAAAAACTTTCGATTAGTCACATAGCTAGAACAAAAATCGAATAAAGACGATTTTTAACATTCGTGTAAATCTAAATTGTTTTTTTGTTTTTTCTTTAACTATTTTTAATTTTTTTTTTAATTTAGAAAATTTATCAATTTAATTGAAAACAAATAGAAGAAAAATGCCTCCAATTGAAATTTTGGTGCAGGCTCCACAGCAGCCTATAAAGGTTTCTGGACGTGAGGAAGATTCAATGAATAAAGAGCCTTCAATGAGTGGTCAACAAATTGTTGGTTTAATTATTCCACCTCCAGATATTCGAAGTTTTTTTTTAATTTAAGCTTAAAAATTTTCTATTTTTCTTCAGCAATTGTTGACAAAACTGCTCTTTTCGTTGCACGTAATGGTGTTGAATTTGAAAATAAAATTCGAGAGAGAGAAGCTTCAAATATACGTTTTAATTTTCTTACGCCTGTTGATCCGTACCATGCTTACTACAAAAATAAAGTGAAAGAATTTGAGACGGGAGTTGCTTCTGCTGAATTATTAACTAAACTTAAAGTTCCTGATGCTGTTCGTGAACATATACAAAAGGCTGAATTTGTTCCAAAAAATCCACCAAAACCTTTTGAATTTTGTGCTGATCCATCGACGATAAACGCTTTTGACTTGTATGTTTTATTAAATAGACCTTGGAACAAGGGAAGAGAACATGGGGGAGGGGAACGACAAAGAGGAGAGGAGGAACATTCTCCAAACTCTATCCCTTATAACTTAATTTTTTAACCTTTTTTAAGGGATCTTATCCAACTTACCGCTCTTTTTGTTGCAAGAAATGGGCGTCAATTTCTCACACAGTTAATGAATCGAGAGGTCCGTAATTTTCAATTTGACTTTTTAAAACCTCAACATTCCAATTTTCAATATTTTACAAAATTGGTGGAGCAATATACTAAAGTAAGTTTCCTTTAATCCCCGAGAAATATTCCCTATAATTATTTTTTGTAGGTAATAATTCCACCAAGGAATGTATACGATGAACTACGCAATTCTGCTTCACACAAAAAAATTTTGGAAGACGTTCGGTATCGCGTTGGTTGGGAAAAATTTCAACGTGCAGTTAAGGACAGAGAAGATGCTGAAGTTGAACAGGAAAGGATGGCTTATAATCAAATTGATTGGCATGATTTTGTAGTTGTTCAAACAGTTGACTTTCAACCTTCTGAAACTTGTAATGAACTTTCCTTATAGAGAAATATGTTTGAACTCTTTATATTATTTCAGTGAATTTACCCTCACTTTGTACTCCTCGGGATGTCGGAGCTCGAATTTTACTTCAACAACGAACTGAAGCAGCTAAAGCTGCAGCTGAAAGTGTTGCAATGGACATGGATGAATCAGATTCTGAAGATGAAGAAGAGAAAAAGAAGCAGAGAAATAGAGAAGATTTTGATGATATACAACATCAAGTTGATGGGATGGATATTACTGAGAAACAACATGCTGGCTCGACTGTTACCCAGCCAACACCAGCAGCACCTATTGCTGGGAATGTTGTGATTCGTGATTACGATCCTAAAAAGGGTAGGAAATTAATTTCCAAAAATTTTTAAAAATTTATTCCTCCTTTTAAGCTCGTTCCGGCATAGTGGCCAAAGGACAAAATGAAAAATTCATCATTTCACCTTTAACAAATGAACGCATTCCTGCTGATAAGCTTCATGAACACGTTCGATACAATACTGTTGACCCTCAATTTAAGGAACAGAGAGACAGGTTTGTGAATTTTTGTTTTTTAGAATTATTAAAAATATTCCCCACAAAAATAGAGAGCAAATGGAACGACAAGATGAAGATCCGATCACAGCATCTGGTACAGAAATCTCACGAAACATTGCAAAATTAGCTGAGCGACGTACTGACATTTTCGGTATTGGAGAAAAGGGAGTAGAACAAACAATAATTGGAAAGAAATTGGGTGAGGAGGAACGCCAATTACCTCGTTCTGATCCTAAAACAATTTGGGACGGGCAGCAAGCTACAATCGACGCTACAACGCGGGCGGCTCAACAGGCTGTCTCTCTTGAACAGCAAATAACAGAAATTCAACGCCAACATGGTTATTTACCAAATCCAGCTGCTGATCGTTTTGCGCCAAGTACACCGAGTACAACTGCATCAGCGACAACAGCTTCGACCACTACTCCAATGCCTCCACCAGCAACAACATCTGTGCCAACTCCACTTCCACCTGTATGATTTTATAATCCTTAAAAATATTTATTAAAAAACTTTAGCGCCCTCCACACTTGCAACCACCAATTGTCTCAAATGTTGCCAAAATTATACCTGGAATTCCACCACAACAACAAATGCGCATGCCACGCATGCCGTTACCTGGGATGCCTCCACCGCCACACATGCTTCCAATGGGCATGCAAATGCCCGGACTTCCTCCACACATGGCAATGGCCCATCACCCGCAAGGGTTTATGCCTCCACCACCCCCACCCGATGAAAGTGGAGCTTCTGCTGCAAAGAAATTCCGCGTAGATGATGCTTTGGAACCAGAAGAACTTTGGCTTCAAAAAGTTTCCGGCCAAATAACTGTAAAGTTGAGCACACCACAAACAGATGAATGGAATCTTAAAGGACAAACATTCACTATACAATTGGAGATTACTTCAACTGTAAGGCTTAAAAACATTTTTTAATTAACAATTATTTTTCAGGTAAGCGCACTAAAATCGCTAATTCAAGAACAAACGACTGTACCCGCATCAAAGGCTAAGCTTGTTTATCAGGTTTTTTTAATTCTTAAAAATAAGCCCCTCAATCCTTTTTCATTTTTCCAGAATACTTTTCTCAAAGATAATTTTACTTTGGCCTATTATAATTTTGTGAATGAAGCAAATGTTCAGTTAATGTTGAAAGAGCGTGGTGGGAAGAAAAAATAGAAACTATACTCTGAAGGGGTTTTGACCGAGAATTTTTTGTCAAATATTCAATTTTAAACATACCACAAATTGTTTGTTCCTGCAATTGTTTATTCCTTGAAAATTATTTTATAAGCCCAATTATATTTGTTTTCCATTATTTCTTTAATCACATTCAATATATATTTGTATTAGAAATGGAATTAAAATCCAAATATTTTTGGTATTAAAAAAATAAAATTATATATTAATTATTAAATTAATAATTTAACAATAAGAATTTTAAAAAATGGCAAGAAAAAACTTGAGGGGAAGAGAGAGAGAAAAAGTTAAGTAGAAGATAATAGAGATAGAGATTTAAAAAAATCTTGATCAGATTCCTGATTTAGAGTCAAGAAAAAATCAAGGAAATCTGAAAAATGCCTCGATTTTGACTCCGAATCCAGTAAAAATCAAGGTCCCGATCTCTAGTGAATAATTAAAGGGATCTAGTAATTTTAAATTTTTGAAGAAATAAAAATCCCCTTTTTGGATGTTTGACTAATTAAAAAAGATACAAAACATGAGCAAAAGAATAAACTGAAAAGAAGGCACAAATAAAAGATTAATTTTGTGTTTTGAAAGATTATGCTAAAAAAATTTTAAAAATCACTTTTATAAAATTTAACTAAGGCAAAAATATACTCCTGCATTTTTAAGGTTGTATAGCTGTTTTTGTAGTAGATGTTGTATTTGATGTTAATTTAGAATGAGTCATTTCATCAAACATTTTTGCTTTTGATTTAGACGATCCAAAACCACTCTGAAAATAAATAGATTTTTTAAAAGGTTTTAATTAACTTGAAATTTTTAAAAATCAAACAAACACTAATTGTAACAAATTCAAAACAAATTGAAAAACATTCAAAAACAAAAATAAAAAAGCCCAACAATGTTTTTTCAAAGATTAAACATTCAAAAACAAAATACAGAAATTATAACCATGACAATGTTTTTCTAACATTAACAACAACAAATAATATACACAACAAATAAACACACCAACAAACAACAACAACAAAAAAAGCAACACAAACAATTTGTTTAAACAACAACCAAACAAACAACAACACAAACATCACAGAAAAGAAAATCCTCAAACAACAACAACAAACAATTTGTTTGTCTAAACATCAACATGCACACACACACAAACAAAACAACAGATTCAAACCTATTTTTAGTCACTTTTAAAGGTAATCTTTTTTTGGTCATCCCTCTCACAATCAAAATTTTTTAAGACCGCAAGCCGAATTTGACTAGAGTCCAAATTAAATTTTAAAAACTTTTTATAAAATCACAAACCTTTCTCAAAGTTGAATGTTTATCAAAACACCCCGTTGCTGCAACTTTTTGTGCAAATAATTTATCTTGCTCAGTTTCCATACCTTCTTTTTTAAGAGCTTCTAATTCCAAACGAAAATCTAATAAGAATTAAATATATAAATCATTCAAAAAATAAAAAACCTGCAAGTTTTTCACGTAATGAATGGTCCTTTGCTTGCCAGTCACCTCTATAAAATAATTATTTTTGTTAAAAAAATTTTTAATGAAAAATCCAAAACCTTGATTGCTCTAATTCTGCATATGTAGAAGCTCTGAAAAATTAAAAAAAATATTTTAAAATAAAAATTAGAGTTATCAGTCGTCAACAACCCCAATAAAAATTTAATTTACATTATATGTTGAAGTTCATTACTAATTGTTTGTCTCTGTTGTTCTGTAGCTATTAAAGAAGCAAAAACACCTCCATTCCCATTATTATTGTTGTTAATTCCATTAAAATCTTCAACATTTTGTTTCTGTTGGTGTTTTCTTTGTTGTGACGATAAAGACATTTTTGTAAATAATTTGTTGTTATTTTGTGTTGAAGGAGGATTTGTTGACGGGAGTGGTGGTGGGGGTTGTGGTGGAAGTAATAAAGCATTTCCTCCTCCTCCATTTATTCCATTAATTAAAGGAAATTGTTGTTGTTGTAAATGTTCAATTATATTTCCTTCATCAACACCTTCATCAGTTTCAACTGTTGTTTCTTCTTCCAATGATGAAGAATTTGTAGCTATATGTTTAACAGAATTGTTGCTACAAGGATTGGATCGGCGTAGTTGTTCATGATATGGCGGAGGCTTAAAAATAATAACGGTTAAAGCTTAAAAGTGATAAGGTGGAGACTTAACAATGATAACGTGGAAGAGTAATAAGATTGGGGCTTAACAATTAAAAAGCAGTGGCTCAACACCGATAAGCTGGAGGCTTAAAAATGAAAAATAATAACGTGAAGTAATGAATGATAAGGTGGCGGCTTAGCATTGATAAGTTGGAGGCTTACTTGTCAACAAGAGCCTATCAATATAAGCTGTGGGCACTGATAAGGCGGGGGCTTTAAAAAATTAAATTTTGCCTGTGTCATCGGAATGATTCCATTACTGCTGTTGCTGTTATTATTATTAAATTGTTGTTGCTGTTGAATCAATCGATTAGCAAGTAATTCAGCATCCTTATATTTTCTTTCTAAAGCCAATTTTCTTTCTTCTGCGCGTAATTGTGAATGTCTAATTCTTTGCATTTCTGCTTCAGCATCATTTGCACGCCTTGTCATTTCAAAAACTTCTTGTTCTGAAATTCTTGCACGTTCTGCTATTAATTGATGACTTTCTTCTGCATTCTTCATTACAATCTAAACAACAGAAATTTTGGAAAATTTTCAAAAAATTTAAAAGAGAACCTGCATCGTATTTAATTGTTCTGCCAAATGTCCCAATTCTGTTCTCAACTTATCCCTTTCTGATTCTGCCTGAACCCTTTGTTCACGCTCTCGTTGAAGACGAGTCTGTTCGGCTAATCTGCGCTGTCGCTGCCGAAAATTAAATGTTCAAAATGTTTGTTTAAGTTGTTTTAATCTTTGTTCCCATTATTCCCCCATATTCTCTAAAAAATTTCCTTACTCTTGTGCTTGAATCCTCATTTGTTGAACTTCAAGTAAATCTGGCTGTCGTCGTCTAAGATATAAATTATGTGTTCCTACACACAAATCCAAAAGTGATTGATTTATGCTCATATCCTCAGCTCTGAACCGAATTTTGCTTTTGTCTGCTGTACAAATTGTGAACTAAAAAAACGAGCAAAGTTAATTAAAAAATTAAAATAAAAATTCCAAACCATTTTGTTTTTAAAAGAAATGCATTTTATTTCTGTCCAAGGGAAGAATGGCCGAGGAGAAAGTTTATTATCTGGTTCGTATATTCCTATAAAAGTGATTCATTAATTGATATTCTTGTGTTATATGCCCCCAATTTTTATAGCCTCCATTTCCTTCTTCTTTCCTTCCTTTCTAATTTCTCTTTAAGATTACAAAATGGTCCGGAAAAGGTTTTACAATTTGTAAAATATATTTATTATATTCCGGAAAAAGTTTTACAATTTGTAAAATATATTTATTATATTCCGGAAAAAGTTTTACAATTTGTAAAATATATTTATTATATTCCGGAAAAAGTTTTACAATTTGTAAAATATATTTATTATATTCCGGAAAAAGTTTTACAATTTGTAAAATATATTTATTATATTCCGGAAAAAGTTTTACAATTTGTAAAATATATTTATTATATTCCGGAAAAAGTTTTACAATTTGTAAAATATATTTATTATATTCCGGAAAAAGTTTTACAATTTGTAAAATATATTTATTATATTCCGGAAAAAGTTTTACAATTTGTAAAATATATTTATTATATTCCGGAAAAGGTTTTACAATTTGTAAAATATATTTATTATATTCCGGAAAAAGTTTTACAATTTGTAAAATATATTTATTATATTCCGGAAAAAGTTTTACAATTTGTAAAATATATTTATTATATTCCGGAAAAGGTTTTACAATTTGTAAAATACGAAATGGAGCTATAAAAATGGGGGCATATAACACAAGAGTACCCATTAAATTCTAGAATTGATCCAAAAACAAACCCAATCCTTGCGCAGATACGCCTAACAGCAATTCGGTACCGCGTTGATTCTAAAAAATATTTTTTCTGAAGATATTTAAAAATACCCAACCAGAATTTTGTAAAATGAAGTCCCATACATATCCAATTCCTCAGCAATACATAAAAACTCCTCTTCGGCGTCCTCACGACTAAGTCCGCTGTTGTTAGCCCACCAATTGCCTTAAATCCAGAAATTCTATAAAAATAAAATTTTTTAAAACCAATTTTCTCGTGCCACATATCCGCACTCATATCATATTGTTGAATAACTGAAGGAGGAATTAATTTGGTCAAGTCCAACTCAATATTTTCATCGTTTTGGTAATCACCATACATTGCTTGTACTGCATATGATGCCAACAAAATTGCCTAGAAAATTTTCTGGAATTCAAGAAAAGTAAACAGAATAAACCGCTTCAGAAGGGCAATAAAGATCCATTGAAAGAATTGATTGGCGGATTTGAAGGAAGAAAAGATGCCTTTAAAAAATAAAAAATGTTTTGTCGAATTTATTTCAAACCTTGTCAAATCTTGAATCAATTCAGTCTTTACAGACTCTGGAAAAAACTTAACAAGAAAAAGGAAATGCAATGAACCATCTGATTGTTTAGGCATAGAATGATCTCTAACCTATCAAATAAAAATTAAATTTTAATTTAAAAAAAAACCTTTTTATCAAGTTGTAACCAACAAGTATAACCTTTCCTATTTGTAAAGCAAAGTCCAAAATACCAAACTTCTCGTAGTCCAATAATTTTACAGACTGTGTCAAATAAATCTTGTCCTAAAGCATCTCTGTCCATACTAATAGCATTCAAATCAGCTTCCATTGTAGACACCTTGACGCGTAATGGTTTGCTGTGTCCAGTTAACCAGTCAAGCATTTCGTTTTCTTTTTATAAAATTTTTTTTGAAATTAAATATTAGTCAATATAAGGCAATAATGTGAGTTCCATGTTTTTGAAAATTATAAAAAATATTTATTGATTGCTAGTAAAAAATAATAATTAATGATCAAAACAAAATTTATAGAAAATTAAAAAAAATTAATATTTATTTATAGATTAAATTATTAAAAATTGCACGAGTATGAAAATTATATTTTTGTAAAAACCGTATTAATTTTGTTAGGCACCTCTATTTTTTCAACTTTTTTCAACAAAAATCCTAGAAAAATTTTGAAATTGAAAACTATTTTCAGAATACAAAATTTTTTCTAAAAATTTTAAAACTCTCAAAAAATAGAGGCAATATATTTTTTTACATAAAAAAGGATTTTGCACATTATAAAAATTAGGAAAAAAAGGAATGTGTTTTTGTTTTGTTGTTGACTTTTGGACAAGGTGAAAAATGAAAAAAGAGAAAAAAAGAGGGTGGGTGATTGATGATAAAGGGGGTAAAAATATTTGATAAATATTTTTGTGTACTATAATAATATGATTTTTATTTTACCCCTCCCCACCCTCATAAAATTCTCCAGACTTTTTTTAGAAAATTAAATTTCTCAAGTATTTTCACATCAATCACACCCACACACACAAACACTCTCTTATAATAAATATCATTTAAATAACTGTTTCAGTTTCAGTTCGCAACAACAATTGATTATTATTGTCACGTTTTTCTATTAAATTGTTGTTGTCTTCATAATTATTATTAATATTTTTATTATTAACGGCGGTCATTACCTCTTCCTCACCTTTAGTATTCACATAACCTCCTTTCTTTTCATCCTTTTCAATATTACCAGAACCTTTGATGACACCAACAACATTCTTCTTTTCTTCTTCACCGTTCTTTTCATTTATATATTCCCCAAATTGATTTGTATATAAAGTTGTAGTATTAGAGTAAGGAAGTGTTGAGGGAAATAATTCTAAAAAAATAATTTATAAGAAGATAAAAAATGATTGGAGTTCTTTCTTCTGTTTTGTTCTCCCAAAATTTGTTATATGTATTCTCCCACATAATCGGAAAGTATTAAAAAATTTTTAAATGAAAACTAGGATGAGGGGGCTGTGTTTTGAGGGATGTTTTACGGAGATGATAGTTGGGGTTCTTTCTTGGTTTCTGCTAAAAGGACGGGGAAGGGAGACCACCCAAAAGCTATCCCCAGGGACGAGTACGAACCTTTAATAAAAACAAACTTTTAATAGTATCTCTCTTCCCTTCCACAACAGGTGTATAAAGTGTAGCATTTTCATCATCATCATTATCCTCTTCCTCATCCTCTTCTCCAAATTTTTCAATTTCTTCATCAAGGAATAAACCAAGCTTTTTAATTGGCATCAAATAATTATCTTCGTCAGTTAAAGAAAGTTTTGGTAAAGGTCCATCTTCATCACGAGACCAAGAAGAATGTGAACATTTTCGGCTACCACTTCCAAGTGGATCACTTTTATAACGAGAAGAAATTGTTGTAGCAACACTTCCATGACGATCCGGTTTTACACCACACTTGAAAAATTTTTAAAAAATTTTTTTCATTTTTAAAATTAAAATAAACGTTTCTGGGTGAAGGTGTTTTATTATTATTGTTCACTAGTTCAACAGTAGAAAAGAAACAGTCATCATCAGAAAGAATTGTTGTGTTTGTATTATTTGTATTTTCACGTTGAGGGCTGTTGGTGTTGATGACATCTTTTTTTTTGTTATTAAAAGATTAAAAAAAAAATTTTAAATTAAAAAACCTCGATTATTCAAGGAATTATTGCTATATTCAGCAGGATCTACAAATACAGGATCAGCAAAATCACTATCATGAAGTAAACGTGCAATCATTTCTCGTTGTCCAATACTTCCTATACGCGATTCCATTTGTTGTTGTTTTTGTTGATTTTCAATTAGACGATTTCTTCGTTCTTGAATGTAAATATGAGGAGCACGACAAAATTGTTCAAAGCGTTCTTTAATTTGTCTGAAACTTGGTCGCGATTCTGGATCAGGAAGCCAACCTTTTGAAGAAATATTTTTTTTTAATTTTGAATCTGGTCTAGTTTACGAGTCCAATGAAGACTTATAAATCCCAGAAAGTTGCTTGGACCCATAAAAACTTGATTGGACTACTAAACCATACCGGGCCAAAATTTTTAAATAAACTCACAATTAAGCAATTCCTGATACAATTCTTGACTGCAATTATTTGGTTGTTCTAATCTATAACCACATTCAAGTTTATCGACAAGTTCTCTAGCTAAACGTTCACGTGGTAACTTCAATTCTTTATAAGGACTACAAGCTCCAACAGTTAAAATTTCCCAACAAGTTATTCCAAATGACCAAACATCTGTCCGTTGATTAAAAATTGAATGCCTTAAACTTTCTGGTGCCAGCCATTTTACAGCAACTCTTCCTTCAATAATTACAGAATCATTAGGTCTTTGTAACATTGTTGCTAATCCAAAATCTGTAACTTCAACATGTAAAGCACTTTTTACCAAAACATTTCTAGCAGCTAAATCACGATGAACAATTGCACGTTTTGTTAAATATTCCATTGCTGAGGAGATCTTTTTTAAATTTTTTAAAAATTTTTGAAATTTTATACAAAAAAAAAACCTGATAGCAATATAGCATTAATTGTTTTGAACCAAGTTGAGAACTATATTGCTCAAAAAATTTTAGTAAAGAACCCAAAGGACGCAATAAAGTAACAATTTTAAGTCCTCCACCACCTCCTAGGCATATTCCAGCTACAGGAAGTAAATGTTCATGTTGGACAGAATGCATTATTCCTGCTTCTCTCAACATTTCTTTCTCGTTAAGGCGACTATCTAAAGCACTTATTGCCTAAAAAAATTTTCTAAAAAATTTTTAATTAAAAAATAAACCTTTATAGCTACAGGTATGTTCACTTTTACGCCAGGTGGACGCCATTTACCCTGAAAAATAATTTTTTGAGAAAATACAATTTATAAACAAACAGCATAAACAATTCCAAATGCTCCTTGACCAAGTACAGTTGATTTTCCAGGCAAAAAGTCCAATTCATTAACTTGAATAAGATTGAGACGACGCATGTTTGGACGTTGAGTAACTTTTAATGGATCCAATGGAGGAATTTCTATAAAAATTTTGAAATTTAAGAAAATATTTTTTAAATCTCTAAACCTGGCAAATGCATCTGCACTTCTTTCATATATTTTTTCTGATAAATTAGACAACGCCAAACCAAAAACTAAAAATACAAAAGGAAAATGAACCAAAATTTTACAAAAAACAAACTCCAATTAAAACTGCCAACAATATAATTGCCAAAAACACTCCTCCAACAATCTTTATTTGTTTCTGTCTTCGAGAACGTTCACGATCAATAAGTTGACAAATTCCTTCTTCATCAGCATATGGCAATTCTGGAGGGCATGCATTTAAACACTTAAAAGAATTTTTTGAGATTTTTTTTTAAAATTTTTAAAAACCGTAACAGTCCCATTTTTATCAACAATTCCACCATGAGCACATTTCTCACAATTTGAAGGCCCATCGTCATAACAAGACCGGTGAATATCACAAAATGGATGACAACGTCTACATTCTCCAATACCAGAAAGTGTTTCGTTGGGATATTTTAGTACATAAGAACCTCTAAAGTAAGCAAAAGAAAATAACAAAAACTAAAAAAAAATCTTCAAACTTTCCACAATCCATTGAACATTCTGTCGGACGATTATTATTAACAATAGCTGGTTCCAAACGCCAATAGGCACAATTACAAACTGGAGTACTCCCATCAGAAGCCATTTCTACTACGCCATCTCGAGTACAATTTTTACATTCTGGACGGCATTTACGACAAGACTAAGGGAAATATTAAAGAAAAATTTCCTAAAAATAAAAAAAACATACAAATTTAGTCAGAGAATTTGCCGGTTCCAAAGCAAGAAAATAATTTTCCCCTAGAGTATTTTTAAAGCCACAGACATCGCTTGAAGGTTCATTGCCCTTGAGACAACGCAACTTAAATTTTTTAAAATTTAATTAAAATTAAAATAATCAACAAACATTTCCAAGTTCATCCTTCAATCCATACAAACATTTATTGCAACCATTGTTACCAACAATGTCGCCAGGTCCAGTACATCCATCAAAACATGCTTCATGACACGGGCGACATTCAAATCCAAGAGAATATGTTGTTGAATTTGGGCAATATTGAACGCCTAGAAAACAAGAAACAAAAAAATTTTTTAAGAAAAAAATAAAATTAAAAAACATTTTTTAACTGCCCCAATTGTCCAACTTCCATCAGCAATTTGTTCTTTTGGAGTAGTCGTAGTTATAAATTCATTTTCGTCAAATTCATCAAAATAATATTCAATACTATTGCTTGTATTATTTATTGAATTTTGTAAAATCCAAATATGATAAGTTTTGCAAATAGAACATTGTGTAGGTAAAGGACCATGACATATTTTGCATTGATCATTACAAGGTTGACAAATTAGAGGTTTGGAATTGTCAACAAAATAGCTTTAAAAAATAATATTGAAAGAGAGAGATAAAAGTTTAGTTCCGAGCAGGCGTCTTCCTTAAAAAATTATAAAATAAAAATACCCTTGATCTGGACATTTATCCAAACATTCTTTTTCACGCAAATATTTTTTACATTTTACACATTGTTCTGGTCCAGGACCCCAACAACCAAATTCTTTTGCTGAAAAATTTAATTATACAAATTCTTAAGAATTTTATTTAAAAGAAACCTACCACAGTTTTGATCACATTGATGCTGATCTTAAAATAAAAAAAATTAAATTTTAAAAAGTAGCTAATTAAAAAATTTAATCAAAATGTCTATCCGACTTTTAGTCACAAGATATTTCGTCACTGGACATTTTGTCAAAAGACATTTTGCCACTATACAATTAGTACTCATTAAAAATCTCGAAAAATTACCGCAATCTGTTTCATTCCCATTATTTATCCAAAAGCTTTGATTAATGCCAAAAATTTGTTTGAACGGGATTGATTGTGAATAACAAAGATTACTGTTATTTCTCACAAAAACATCTTTAAGAAAAAATTTTTTCCTTAAAAATTATGAGGCCTTACTTCCATGTGTTATATTAGAAAGTGAACGTAATCCCAACCATTTTAATTGTGGATCTCCAAAAATTAAGAGAGCATATTTCTTTAAAAATAAAATTTTTTGAGGGAAAATTTCCTTCTTTTTTTACCTCAAAAAAGAGTTGACGTCCTTCAATTAATTCAAGATTTTCAAGAAAACTTAGGTTGGATGGCCTTAATGGATTTTTAAAATTTGAACCTTCTATTGCTAAAAAGCCTGTTATTATTTTTATCTGAAAAAAATTAATTTGGAAAAAATTAAAAAAAAATTTAAAACCGATTTTAAAATTTCCAATTGAGAAGCATTTAAAGGAGCAAATAATTTTTGTGATTTTGGTTGTACCTCCGCTTGTTCAAATCGAATACTAAAAATTAATTAAATTTAATTTTAAAAAATTTATTTTTACAATTCTTTCTCGTCCGCAAATTGAGAAATTTCTACATAGGATTGGTCAATAATTGTAATATATCCTTAAATTGAAATTAAAATTTTTATAAAATGGGAGGGTTCTCCAGGAAAGGGAATCCCCAGGAAACAGGAAAGGGAATCCCTGTTCCCCACGGAAGTGAATTTCCCTAGGAACGTGGTGATGTCCCTCTTCAGAGCCCCGTTGTTCTTCCCCGCATTCCCCGTTCTCGTAGAGTCGGTCCCGCCAGAACCCTCGTTAAAAAATAACGAAAAAAATTTCTCTAGAAATAACCAAGTAATTTTTAAAAAATTATAAAAATTTATTTATTTAAAAACCTTCAACTTCTGTACAATTTTCAAGTACATGAATATTCCCAGAATTTAATATATCCACTCCCTAAAGTTTAAAAAATATTTAAAAAATTTTCAAAAAAATTTTTTTACCGGAGGCGGGAATTGACAAACAACTGGGCATTCTTTTTCTTTACATGGAATACATTTACGTGGATCTATTCTAGGATCTCGATAAAATCCTGGCGAACATCTAGCCACACAACTAGATGATTCAATTAATGTACCAGGTGGGCATTCAGGTAAGCAATGCTTTTCATAAGCATATTTTGCTTTGGATTTTGGAATGAGTTCGTTAATTTTTTGTTTTCTGTTGTATCTGAAGAGATAAAAAAATTTTTTGAACAGGTTTAAAATTTTTTAAAATTAATACCTTTGTGTTCCTGTACACTGTGACACACATCTTCCGTCTTCCTCAAGTTCTTGACAAGCCTGAAAAAAATTTAAAAAAAATTTTAAACCTGCTGAATTTTAATTCCAAAAATCAAATTTTTAAAAATTCTCGTACAATGCAGTTCCCGCGTCCTTCTCCTTCACACCCTCCAACACAAGCTTCATCACAGCATCGGCTAATTCCATGGGCATCTATATAACACGATCTGCTTTCACATTCTTCTTGACAATTTTTTCGATAAACTAAAAATTTAAAAAATTTTAAACCTCTCTATTAGAAGGATAAAATTTAAATTTTTAATTAAAAATAATTATTAAATACTCCAAAAAATTGATCGCAGTCGACAGGATTCGAACCTGTGCGGGCAAAGCCCAGTGGATTTCAAGTCCACCTCCTTAACCACTCGGACACGACTGCTATAAATTTTATTTCCAATGTTAACCACACATTCTTTTTATATTTGGGAAAAGTAAAAAATTTAATCGACGAAAAAAATTATTCGCAGCCGACAGGATTCGAACCTGCGCGGGCAAAGCCCAGTGGATTTCAAGTCCACCTCCTTAACCACTCGGACACGGCTGCTCTGAATGGGTTTCCCATTTTTCTCCACACATTCCTTTCCTTTTCTATTTTAACTAGCGTCATTCTTTTCTTTCCCATTCTCTCTCTCTTAAATAAGGAAAAGGAGCGGAGGTGGGTTTCTAACTAGCATTTTTTAATTTTAAAATTTTTATTGAAATTTTTTAAAATTTTACCATGTTGACATTGATCAGGCCGACTCCTTAAAATAATTAAAATTTAATTTTTTTTTAATTTTTATAATTTCTCTTACCCAAAACAATTCTTTTCTCTGCATTGTTTACTACATGTTGGTGCTGCTCGACATTGAGCACTAAACGGGTTCAAGTCCAATCTTTCTCTAAAATTGTCACCAAGAAACTGTTAATAATACAAAATTAATTTTAAATTCGAATAAAACAAACTTCTTTATAATCAACATTTTTATCATTATCAGTGTTATCTTTTGTCAAATCTTGCTCCATATAACACAAAAGTGGTGAATCGTGTATTCTTACAATACCAGAAACAATTGCTAAAAATATTTTTAAAAAATTAAAAAATAATTTCCAAACAAACATCTTAAGGATGGCATATTTAAATATCTTAAGGTTAATGATGATCCAACAGTTATTGCACTTCCCTCCAGTAATTTTTCTCCCCAAATAACTCGAAGTGATGGTAAAGAAATTTCTTCAACGGTAACATTGTAAATGAATAAATATCCATAAATCTGTAAGAAAAAAAATTTTTCATGGAACTTCCAAAAAATTTTCAAAAATTTAAAAAATTCCTCCTCCCCCCTCTTACCTCTTCCAAATTTTGTAAAAAATAAAAAGGTTCTCGAGGTTTCAACAAAATATTTGTAACATTATTTTGTTCATTTTCTTGTTTTTGTAACAACCAATCATTTTCAATATCTTCTTTAAAAACATAAGCAATTTCAAGATTTCCAGTTATATGACGACAATTTTCATAAGCTTTTCTTAAAAATGTATATCTGTTCATAGAAAAATAATCCACCATTGCCCGACCATTTGAAGTGCCGAGACAAACTTGAAAAAAAATAAAATTGATAAAATGGAGCAGTTCAACTGACTCAAATGAGTCCCGGCCTTATAACTCAAGAAAGGATGACCACTTCTTAACATTTTTGGTACCCTTAACTTTTTTATCATTCAGTCGGGAATTTTGATTTTTTGGATACCAAGAAAAATAAGTGATACCTATCCTTCATAAGTTATAGAGGCCGGAATCAGTCAAATCTCAACTCCTTTTTAATTAAAAACGTCTTCTTAAAATTAAAACGCTCACGATTTCTTAATCCAGATTTATCAGGAGATAATTTTAACTCTTCATCATAAGCATTGTTGAAAGAAGAAAATAATAGAAGTGAGAATTCAAGAAAAATATAGTAATAATAATAATTCATGTTAGTAGAAGAATATCATTCGTTGTTTTATTTTTGCTAAAAAATAAATTTAAAAATTTTTTATTTAAAATAAAAAAAGATTTTTTTCACCAACATAAGCAATTAAAAAAATTTTAATTTACTAATAAAATGTTTCATTTCTCAAGAAAAGTACACATTCAAAAGTACACCATAAATAAAAATTTTTTTAAATGATAAAGTGGCATTTTTATTTTTTTTTTAAAACAATTCTCTCTTTTTTAACATTTATAAAAAAATTATATTCTCTTTCCCAAGAAAAATATTATTCATTAAAAAAATATTTACACACAAAAAGAACATAGAAACAATCGGTTAAAAACCAGCCTTATAGATCGATTTTAAAAAATCTTAAGAAAGCTTTACCCCCCTTATTTAAAAAAGGGACAAGGGGACACGTCAGTCATTTCACGCCCCTTCTGGGAACAACAACAATAATGTTGTCTAATGGCCCGAGAGTTAATAATAATGAAAATGATTGGAGGAAATAGAGAAAGGTTTTCTTGATTTTTAATTGTTGCTATTTCTAATAGAGCTGTCCGAGACTGAAAATTTTCCAAGATTCAAGGCCAAGACCCAATACCAAAAAAAACCTCAAAAAAAGTCTTGAGTCATCGGACAACTCTATTTTTTAATGTTAGAAAGTTGAAAAAAATTTTCTGAAATTCTGTATCTTTATTTGGAAAATGAATAAAGAATTGGTCAATTTCCTCGTAAAAAATAAGAAAAAAATAATAATATTTATTAAAAATAAAATCAGAAAAGAAGAATATGATCAAGCAAAAATTGTGTAAAAATGAAGAAGAATAAAAAGGTGAACTTCCGGCCCAAGTTATAGTATATGCAAAAAAGTAAAGGAAGGTGAAGGAAGGCCGTATATGAATAAATGAGATGAAAAAACTAGAGGTTTAAGAGAAGAAGATAATCGGAGCTTTAAGGGGTGAATGAGGCGAAAATGAATTTTTGGAGAAATAAAAAGTAAAGGTATTTTATTGGAGAAAAAGATGTGATTTTTGTTGTGAACTTGAAGAAGAAAAAATAAAAATAAGGGCGAAATTTTAAAATTTTGCTGAAAAATATTTTTTCAAAAATTGTTTTTTTTTCGGCAAATTTCTTTGATTCCTTTTAAAAAAATATTTTAATTTTTATATGGCCTTTAAATGAAAAATAGAGAGAATTAATGTTATTGTTGTCCTTTTCCATCATTTTTTGATGCCAAGATTGATTAAAAATTTTGAATAAATTTTAAGAGATTCGGGAGACATGAAGGAGGAGATGAAGGATGAAGAAGAAAACGAAGAAAAAACAAAGAAAAGTCGAATGATTCTAGAAAAAGAATTTATGAAAATATAGTAAAGGGATAAATCCTTTATTTTTTATATAGCCATTTATACCTAAATTTAAATGAATCTTTAAAAAAAGAAGCTGTAAATAGGACTGAATTTCACCAAAAAACTTTCCCACAGCGCCTATATTTCACATTTCTCCCTCCGTTTTTTTCTAAAATTTAAAAGAGTTTTTGTTAGTCGCCAATTTTCTTTGAAAAAAATTTTTTAAAGTTTGAACTGTAAAAATTGAATAATTAGAAAGAAAATGGAGAGATGGGAAGGGGGACATTGAAAAAATGGAAGAAAATGGGTAAAAATTGAAAAGGGACACCGCGGGATGTACAAAAGGCTTTAAGGATGGAAACAATTGGAAAGGGACCCAAAACAAGTTTGGAAGCCAAAAGATCAACATTTAAAAATATTTTTCAAATTAGGGTTGGTCCCCGACCCCGACTAACCCCGACCCCGACCCCGAACCCCGACATTTTTTGACCTAAAACCCCGACCCCGACCCCGACATTCCCAACCCCGAAAACCCCGACCCCCGAAAGTTCGACCCCGACGACCCCGAACCCCGAAAAATTTTTATGCCCCCGACTAAAACTGCATTAATTAACTAGAGATCGGAACGGGATCGGGACTTTGATGCTAAATATATGAAGGAAAAGGGAAAGGAATATTTATATTTTCTCCTGTTTCCCTTTGTTGGTCGATGGTTGAGTGGTTAGGTTAACTGACTTCAGCCATTTAGCTATTTTGATAGGAATGTTGTTCGAATCCAGGGATGGAAATAAGGCTGAGAAAATTTTTCTTCTCAAAAATAAATATTTTTAAACTATGATCTTGATTTTAAATTTGTAAATTTATTTTTTTAAATATTTTAAACTTGAAACAATATTAGAAATTTTAAACTAGTCATGAATTTTCCAAAATTTTCGCCTGCGGCGCAGAAAATTGAAGAAACCTGTCTCTTGGCCTTCCAAAATTCTAAAAATTTTTGCCTGCGGCGCCGAAAATGGAAGAAATCTGGCTCTTGACCTTCCAAAATTCTCAAAATTTTGCCTGCGGCGCTAGACACAATGAAGGGATACAGAGGCTTTAGGAGAAATTGATGGATAGATGGATTTCTCCCGTTATCCTTGCAACTCCCCGATATCCCGTCAAATCCCTCTAAATCCCATTATATCCATCTTTTTCCTCTGATATGCCTTCATATCCCCTCAATCCCTTTACATAAGAGGTGGAGTAAGAGTTACCTTGTGGGTTTGGGGATTTTGGGGATTATGAAGGATAACTTGGATAAAGTACTTCTTGCGCCTTCAACTAATCACGAATTAGATACAGAAAGTGAAGATAATGAAGATTAAGTTGATTTTTTAATAAAAATGTTGATTTTGAACAGTAATTTTGGATAAAAATGCTGGATTTTGTAAATTTTCACTTCAACCCCGACCCCCGACCCCGACCCCGAACCCCGACATTATTTTCAGCCCCGACCCCGACCCCGAACAATTTGAGCAACCCCGACCCCGACCCCGACTTTGTCAACCCCGAAAACCCCGACCCCCGACTTTTCCAACCCCGAAGGCTCGGGGACCAACCCTATTTCAAATAGATACAAAGATCAAGTAGATAAAGGTCAATAAAAAGTTTAGAAAAATCAGAGGCGGCAAGCTTTGTTTAAAAAATATTTTTATAGGTCTCTGCCAGACGATCTAGGTCCTTTTTAAGGTCCAAAAGTAAATTTAATGCCAAACTAAATATAAAAAATATACAGAAAAATCAACACATACATATCAGGGATTGTCGACATAAAAAATCCCCCTTTTGGAAAATCGGGATCTCGGCCAAAAAACGTTGGGAATTTCTGATTTTCAGGAATTGGGTCGGCTAGATTAACACACATTTTTAATTAAATATTGATATTAATTAGCTTTTACATAATTCTGATGGGGATGATTTTCTATTAGGAAGAGGTATTTTTCAAAAAAACAGAGAAAAACGAAGAGTATATAGAAAGAGAAAAGGCCTGCCGTTGTTGGAGAGCAATGACTGGCAGCAACAAAAACAAGAACATTAAAGTGCCCATCCAAGCAAAATCGACACTTTGCAGAAAAAAAGGCTTTTTATGGAGAGCTCTGTCACCAACAACCGATCGGCCGATAAAAATTATTTTTTTTTAAATTATAAAAAAGGAACACAATGTTCTTACAAATGAGCAACAAGAATGAATAGTATATAGAAAAAATATATAAATGTATAATAATATAAAAAAATTGTGTGGGAGGAAAGAAAGGTAAAAGGGTGTTTATTTGTGTGTGAGAATTGAAGAAGCCTGGATTTTTAGTGTAAAAAATTGAGGAAAAAATAAGAGAAAATATATAACGTTTTAAGATAAAAATGGATTAAAAGATTGCTGGAATAATTACTCTGAGTAATCATTGTTTCGACCTCTTGCTGGAGAGGGTAATATTTGAGAGAAAGGAACAAAATTTAAGAGGGAAAATTAAGAGACTTTAATTAATTACGCAAAAAACCCTCGTCAAGTGTCATGAAAAAATATGTCTATGACCTTATACAAAGTTATTAATGTGAGAAAAGGAAGGAAAGAGCATTATCGCCAAGTGAAAAAATTATTATTAAAATAGGTAGATTAGGAGGGTATTTTTTAGTAAAAAAATAATATGTACTCAATCATAAACAGATTCACATGATTTTGACCTTGTCTTGTTTTTAGTAGATTACTGAGAAATTAAGCTAAAAGCTTGAGAGAGATTAATTAATAAAATCTTTAAAAAAACTAAAAATAAATCCATTAATAAACAAGTGCCATTTAAAGCTATAAATTTCGCAATGAAATACTGGCACTGAAAAATTAAAAATTACAGAATGAATGTTAGCGATGAAATTGGCAATGAAGTGTTACTTCTTTGTGTTTATTTTTTATCGCTCAGCCATATACTGCCAACTACATCTTTTGCCAATAAGTGTAAAATCAACGTTTTGCCAAAAACTTTGGTGGCAAAACGTGGATTTTAGCCCTACTGGCAAAATATGGTATTGACAAAATGTAAATAGTGTTTACTGAAAATAAAAGAAAAAGATAATGGAAATATAAGAGAGAGAGAGAAAGAAGAAAATAAAGAGTAAAGGAGAACCATTGAAATTTTTTAAATTAAAAATCCAAGAAAATTTAAAAGTAAATTTCAGAAAACAAATTAAAAAATGAGTGCTAAAGATCAAATTGCTGCAATGTTGAATGAATTGATGGGTCCCGGCCGAAATCAAGACAAAAATCTTGACCTCAATTTCAGGGTTTCTTTAAATTATTTCTTATTTTTTTCAATTTGATATATCAAGGATGCCGATGTTTGCAAATTCTTTTTAGCTGGATTTTGCCCACACGAAGAATTTACAAATACAAAAGCTGATTTGGGTAATATTTTAAAATAAAATGATTTAAGAAAAAATATTTTTTTCTTTAAAGGATCATGCAAATATGTCCATGATGAGTAAGTGAACCTATTTTTAATATATCGTATTTACTCAAATAATTACTCTCCCTCAAATTATCGCCTCCTAAAAAAGCAAAAAATAGCCCTCTCTCGATTAGTTACCTTCTCCTGCGGAGGTTGAAACAAGAGAGGTACCCGGGCTAATTATTTGAGCACACATAGTATAATTTTTTTCTACAAAAATTTTTTAAAAGTAATCTTCGAATTGCTTATCGAAAGAGTGAATTTTACGAGAAGTTAGGTTATGAAAAACAATTTTACAATTTTTTGGTTCGAATTAAAGATGATATGCAAAGAAAAATTGAAAAGAATAAAGAACGTTTGGCATTAACACAAGGGCCACAGGTTTCTAATTTTCTAAATAAAATTTTCAAAAATTTTTAAAGAATATGGATGAATCAACAAAAAAACATTTAAATGAAAAAATTGGACGTTTAGAAAAAGAAATGTCTGATTATGTGGAAATTGCAGAAAAAGCTGGATTAAAAGGAGATTTGGATAGATCACAAAGATATGTAAAAAGAGCAGAAGAAGTTAATTTAGAATTGGAGGCTGTGAGGAAGGTTTGAATTTTAGAAATAAATTTTGGAATTGATAAACAGAAAAATAAAAATAAATTATCCACCCTAGAGCTATGAGCACTTGGAGAAGAAAATGGGGAATCTTAAACCTGGGTTTACTCTTTAAAAAAGTCTGGGCTTCGGGAAAAGTCTGAGCTATCCCTGCTCGATAATTCAAAAATGATCGAAAAAATGTAGTAGAGAACCCAAACTCCCTCTAGCTCAAAAATAATTTTTTTTATTTTTAGCTTTTCTTACCACCTGAATATACGGCTGGCTATAAAGATCCTAATGGTATTCTTTTTTTAATTTTAAATTTATTTACCCACCTCTTTTTTCTTCTAGCTCCAAAACCAATGCGTATTTGTGAAGTTTGTGGAAGTTTTTTAATTATTGGAGATTGCCAGCAACGGTTTTTTTTGTTGTTTTTTGACTTTAATAATTTGTTGTTAAGAATTGATGATCATATGCAAGGAAAACAACATTTGGGATTTGCAAGAGTTGCTGAGACAATTGAGGAACTTAAGGTTCTTTTCTATTTTTTGACGTTGAACTTGTTGTCGGGTTCTAAAAATGGTTTAGAAATTCTTAGGATTCAAATGTTATTTTTCGATTTTGAGGGAAGAGGGTCCTATGCCTTCCCAAAGTTTTCCTATTCTACCTGCTCGCAAATTACCTCTTTCTCTGCTTAATCACTCAAAAATATAAACCCCTTTTCAGGAAAAACTTGACAAGGAAACTTCGCCAATCCGTTCACGTAGCCGTTCGCGTTCAAAGAGTCCAGAGCGTCGTCACCATCATTCGAGTTCGTCACACTCATCGCACCACCATCGTGATCGTACTGGTTCGCACAAGAGTGATTCGGGGTCGCACAAAGCTGACAAACGTCATGACGAGAAGCACCACAAACGGTTAATTCTTTCACATACCTTTTAATATTAAAAAAATTTTTTATTAAGTCACCGAGATCGTTCACGTTCACGAGACCGCTCTCCTCGTCACAAAGGCCGTTCGTCTCGTTCACGTTCCCCGCGTTCAAAATCGCGACGTTAGAAAGAGGTTACTCAAACAATGGATATATTCAGGTAAATGATCATCATCCTCTTGAAAATATTCTCTCAGAATTGCATTGAGAAACCAGTGATGTTTTGTTGTTGCATTAAATGTTTACCAAAAAATGAGGTTTAAAAAATCCCATGTGTCATGAGGATTTTTCATATATAATTTGTTAGGTTTCTATACAAAGACACAAAATGAAATTGCTTCTTTCAAGGTTTTTTCAAAAAAGGTTTCTACCCATTTCCTACTCCATACTTTTTAAAGACCAAAACTGACACTTTCTCCGTCGATTTCCCAATTGACTTTACTTTTCCATACACAATCACACTTTATTAGGTTGACCCACAATCATTTCCTTTCTTTCATTAAATCTATTTTTTTAACTTCAAGGTATTTTTTCAGAAAAATCTCTTAACCCCCTTACAAAATTAACCACATTTTAATTTTTTAAACAGATTGAATACTTGGAATTTTTTTGCTTCTGGAATCTTTCTGGGGCCTATTTCAATTGTCCGCAGATTCTGCATTCTGTGCACAGAACACAGATTCTGTGGAAATTCTGTTTCAATTAAATTCTGTGTGCACAGAATCTGTGGTGCCCGCAGATTCTGCGGAAACATCTACTGATTCTGTGGAAACATTCCGCAGATTCTGTGGATGAAAATTTCTGTGGAAAATATAAAAATCTGTGGATTTTTTCCACTGATCCACAGAATTTCTATTTCAATTATTTTTCTGTGGTTCTGTGTATTTTTCCTTCTAAATTCAAATTTTTTATTTCCGCGTTTTTGAAAATAACAGTTTATATTAGCCTTTATTTATCTTTAATTTAATTTTTAAAATAAATTTTAGAAATGACTGATAAAAAAAATCAAGAAAAGAAGGAATTGCTGTTATTAATTAAAGAAAATTACTCCACAATATCTAGCAAATTTTCAACCAAGATTACTTATGAGGAAAAAAGGAATGCTTGGGAAAAAATTTTCAGAATTTGTGAATCAAAGGGTGCTGAGTGGACTAAAGGGCGCGAAGCCAAATGGCTGAGCGGCACAAAATGGCCGTCTCTTGTTAAGGAGTATAAAGTTTGCTGTTATCTTTAATAAATCTTTTAAATATATATTTTAGACAAAAATTGACAGAAACAAAGCAACTGGCAGCGGTGGTGAAACTCGCTTAAATGAATTAGATATGATAATGGGTGATATTCTTGGAGTCGATTCTCCTGTGGTTGCTGGATTAACAATACCTGATGCCAATTGCAGTAATACTGATGAATTTGAGTTTTATAATAAAAAAAAAGATGAAAATGAAGATTTAATTATTGATGATATTTCAACTTTGACTCCAAAATTATCCATCAAAAGAAAGGCAATGTTTGAAGGTAAACAAATTCTAAAATTATATATTCTCAACTTTTAAATTTAGATGAGACTGACACTTATAAAAAGAAAAAAGAAGAATATTTGGAAGTTTTGACTCGTGTTGCAAAATTGAAGGAGAGAAAACTTCAACTTGAAATTGCTCAATTGGAAGAAAAATCAAAACCTTCAAATATTTATGATGAGCCTACATATTTTAAACTTTAATTTATTTATCAAAATTTATTCGATTTTTCAAAATTTTGTTTGTTTTTTGATTTTTTGAAAAACTTAATTAAATATTGCGACAATTTGATTCAATTTTTCAAGTCCTTTTTCTCTTCCTTCTAAATCATCTTGAGTTTCTTCAATTGGTATTTGACGAAGGGGGTAACCTAAAAATAAAAAGGGATATTAATATCTCATTTAGAATTAAAATACCAGAATCCCCTAACAGAAATGCTCCATGAAAAGGCCTCCAACCACTTGATAATCTTTCGAAAAGGCGAGAGTTTTTAAAAACTCTGGAATCATGAGTAGACCCGGGCCACCGAACGGATGCATCATAAAATTTCAAAGTTGGGCCACAAACAAGCATTACGTTAATAGAATGTTCATTCTTACGATCCACAAACTGTTCCTCATATTTTGAAGGGGCTAATATTTTTATTAATGTTCCATCTATACAACCAAAAATTGATGGTATTTTTCCTTTTTCATAAAAACCAGTTGTTGTATTGGCTAAATTTTAAATAATTTGCAAACTATTAAATTTACTACCAAAATTGTCAGGATATCCAACATTTCTTTGAAACATGTATAAATTTATTGCTCTTGTAACTTGTCTTATGGATCTACATACTGATGATTTGGATGGTCCATGTGAATCACCAATAACAGCATATATACTTCCAGTTGCATAAAATCTAAGTGCAGTTAAAAGTTTATCTTTAGCTGACATTGCGTGATTTGTTGAATTAATTGGCTTTAATGAAGCTGAAATTTGACTTAAAAAATCTTCAAATTGTTCTCTATCAAGCCTGAATCTTTCTCTAAAATTTTCTTCTTCAAAATATTTTCTAGGCCTATAAATTTTGTTCTGCTTAATCGTTTGCTCGTCTTCTCCATCGTAAAATATTTCAAAATCGAAGAACATTTTCCTTAAATTTTTTTATTTTAGTAAAAAATATTACAAAAAATGATGTACCTTTTTCAAAATTAATTTTAAGCAATAATTTTAAGTAATAAAATTATAATTTTTATATCAAAAAATAGAGAATGAATCAAGCTTCAATGTTATCTAAAAATTTTAAAATTTGGTTAAGCCTAGGCCTAGAAAAAAATTTTTAAAGTTTTTCCACAGAAAATTCGCAGAAAAAATTTTAGGGTGGATTTTTTAATGAATTCTGTGTATTTTCCGCAGACCACAGAAATAATTGAAACAGAAATGCACAGAATCGACTAAAAAAGCCACAGATCTGTGGATTTTTTTCTGTGCACAGAAAAATAATTGAAATAGAATTCTGTGGTTTTTGCATGTTTTTGGATGTTTTGCAGAATCTGTGGATGTTTCCACAGAATCTGTGCATGTTTCCACAGAATCTGCGGACTCCTTTTTCCGCAGAATCCGTGGAATAATTGAAACAGAATTTCTGTGGTTCTGTGGTCTGTGCACAGAACGCAGACCGCAGAATCTGTGGACAATTGAAATAGGGCCCTGATCGGAATTTTTGTTGGGATGATTTAAAAAAAGAAATGCGATCCAATTTTAAGGTTATATACTACATTCGCAATTTCAAATCATTTTTGTTATAAAAATATTCTACTCTCTCTTACAAATTACCGTTGCTTCTCCCTTACATGTTATTTTTGACTGATAAAAATATTTTTCCCTTAAAAAACTTGAAAAATCTTGAATACTCTAAAAATAATAAAAATCTTTCTCTCATTAACAAAAAAAAACAAAAAAACTTTAACAAAAGAAGTACGTTGACTTTAGTACTTCATTAATATCTAATTCTCCTAATTTTAATGATGATGAATCAAAAACATTGCTTATATCTGATACAAGCTTTTCCGGCATTTTTTCACGGATAGAATCCGTTAAATATGTTGAATTGAATGACTAAAAAATTTTAAATGAATTTTTGAAAATTTTAGGAATAAATTTAAAAATAAATTTTTCCTTACTTGAGATAATTTTTGAATTATTGGCTGTTTGTGTAGGGCAATAAATTGTTCTCGACAAATCTTTAAAAAAATTCAAAAATAAAATTTGAAAAGAATATTTTTAAAAAAACCTTATTCATTTCATCAACATCACAAGCATGTGTCCAATAACAATCGTGTATAGCAGCAAATGTTATTCCAAGTTTTCGGCAATAAAGGGAAGTAAGCATCATATGAGTTGAATCGAGTGAATGAACAAAATTTGGAGGGAAAGCATTCATCTATTAAGGAAAAATTTTTTCCAAAGGAGTTTTTCAGAGAGTGTTTTGTTTCAAGAGAAGGCAAGAGCGCGTTTTAATACCAAATCCTCAGAAGCTGCCAAAATATCAAACAGTAAATAACATCGTAATACCAACCCTCCCAAAAAATTTGGTATTTCAACGTCTTTTGGCGGTTTGGTATTCGGAGCATGCCTATTACAACATCATACTAGTAAGACTTTTGAAAAAACAAACTTGTTTATGTCGAATCGGCAAAAAAGCTAGAGCATCATCTACTTGTTCAACAGTAACATATGGTTGAACAACAGGTAAACCAAGAGGTGTAACCCATTCTAAAGGTTGTCTTAATTTTAGGACTTGACCAGCACAAGATTTAAACCAAATCATTAAATTCCTAGAAAGAAATTTGCAAATTTAAGAAAAATTTAAAAGAAACTTTGAATTTTCAAAAGCGTCTGTTAGTCCATCAAATGTTCGCTTTGTCAAATATGTTGCAAAACGAGAGGCCTTTAAAAAAATTTTTTTGAACAAAAAATTTAAAAAATTTAACCTCCTTATTTCTGTCTGGAATATCAATAGTAATTAATTGTCGTCTAATTTGTTCTCTTGCACCATAATGAGTTACACCATAAGCTACAGTCATTACCTTTAAACAAAAATTTTTTAATTTTTCAAAAAAATTTTCTTTAAAAAAACCGTTTGTTTAATTATTTTTCTTTCAATTGGCCCACTTATAAATTCTCTCATTTCTTTTGAAATTTCATGATATTTACTCGTTACGTCTTCCTCATCTTCTTTTCGAAATTTTTCAACCCTAGAAAATTTTTTTTTAATTTCAAAAATTTAAAAAAATTTAAACCGTTCCAATACAGTTGTATAAATATCTTGTGGAACTTCGGAAGGTACAAGATTAACTCCAACCGCCCCTTTAAGATCACGTCCAAGTGCTGCATAATGTTGTAAACCATTACAAGAACCATCCTAGAAAAATTTTTTAAAAATTTCTAAAAAAATTTTTTTACTTGATGTATAGGTAAATGACTACAAAACTTGTGCGGATCACCACTTTTTATTGCATCTCTAATTTCTATACAAGCAGCAAGTGTTTGCCAAGGTTCTTCAGTATCTTCCCACCACCAATTTCCTCCTTCAAAAAAATTTTTTTTGAAATTTAAAAATTAAAAAAAACCTTCAAAAGGTTTTTCAGCAGATTTAATCATTTCGTCAAAATGTTTTTCGGCATATTCTAGTCTTTCAGAAAGTGGTTTTCTTTTTAATTTTCCAGTAATATTTACGCAGTGTAATTTTAACCAACGAAAACCATCAACACCCAAAGGTTTTCCTAAGTTTAGAAAAATTTTTAGACACTTCTTTTGAGACTAAAAATCTTCTCTTCTATAATGAGGCGTGTGTTAAATTGGTGGTAACCCTTTACCTGGACACTTTGTCTGTAGACACAAACCGTAAGGTGTTGGTGGATCCTGATCCGAAAAAGACCGTATATCTAAAAAACTTCGGTTCGAAAATCAGAGCCGGATATTTGAAAATTCCCCAGGATCAGCCAACCTTATTCAGTAGCCTATCAAAATTCAAAAAAACCCCAATCTTAAATTAAGGTGGGCCTAATTTTAAGGTTATTTTATTTTTAGATTCGACTATTAATAATTAAAAAAACCTTTTGCAAATTTTAAAAGTCCTCTATTTAAATCATCCCCCATATGATTAATTTGTGGTGAAATTGGATAACAACGACCACGAAAATCCAAATTATGAGGAAAATAAATATCTTGATTAGTATAATGTTTTGCCAAAATTAAACGATAAATTAGCCAACACCAAAGAGAATTTTGCTCATTTCTATAAAAATTAATTTTAGAAAAAGTTTTTTGGGATAGAGGGTGCCGAAATTTATTTCAAAAAGTGAAAGATAAAAGGTGGAACTGGCACAACTCATGAGCTAGAATATAGCTGATTGTTTTGAGTTCATTAGTATTCTATAAGGCCGTAATGCCAAACGACATAAGACCAACCCCCACAAAAACTCGTCAAAATACCTAGCTGTATAAATGACGTAATACATGCCAAATAAAAAGTTAGTCAGAGGGTTTGGTATTACGGCGTTTTCGGATTACGGCGCGCAGACAGGCCAACAGGTTTTGGATAGACTTTTCGATATATTTTTAGAAATTTAAAAATAACTAAAATTTAAACAAACTTTATTTTGGTCATTAATGCCCTTTTATGATTAAATTCTTTTCTAATAAATTCATCCAATTCTTCTTCACTTTTTCCTTCAACTTCTTTATTCTTTTTTAAATATTGCTTTTTAAATCTATCATAATCCAAAGGAATCCAACAAGTTTTTGGATGTCTAGGAATTGCCAATTTTTTGAGAAATGAAGCATTTTTTGAATTATAAGACATTTCTAATGCTTTCATCATATGTCCGAGAATTTCCTTTAAAAAAATTATTTTTTATTTTTAAATTTAAAGTTAACGATCTGTACTAAAATCAGACCAAACCCCGCAGAAATACCAAAACTTCAAACGCCGCAGAAATACCGGAATTTTTTGGGTAGGGTTGATATTTCGGCGGTTCTTGAAGTTTGGTATTTCTCGTTTGGTGCGCTAACGAAAATAAATGGGCGTTTCTTTAAAAACTCCCCAAATAAATAAAAAAATCCAGGGATATTGTTTAAGTGAACTAAACCTTTAAAAAAGTTTAAAAAATTTTTTCTTACTTCATTAATTTTCCACGGTGTAGAACCCAAATCATTCAAAGCATCAAAAACAGGTCTAGCTTGTATTTTATTTTCAATACGTTTATCCAATAATTCAGCATTTAAATTTAAATGTGGATATTCGTCCATATCTCGAATTAATTTTGATTTGAAAAAATAATTTGGGCCACATTTGCCTCTGTCTAGCCATGGACGTGGAGGGACCTTTCAAAAAATATTTTTAATTTTTTAAAAATTAAAAAAAAATTCAAACCTTCATAGGTAACAAATGACTTTCAAAATACAAATATTCAAATTGATGTCTAGAACAATAAATTTCCGAAATATGATAATGAACTTTTAGCATTTTGCAAAAATTTGTTTTATAACCCAATCCTTCATGTGGATTTAATTCTTCAATTTGAACTTCTCCAATAGAAAAAGCATGTTGCCAACGTTTTTTACCGTTGTTGCTTTCATTTTTTGTTCCTCGATAAAGTGGAAATTCACAATGTTCAATTAGAAAAGAAATAAATAAATTGGAAATCTAAATTGGAAATTTTTATAAAAAATATTGTAGAAGTCCTCACATCTTGAATAGGTGTTTTAAAAAATTCTTCAAATTGGGGAAAATAATCTGGAGGCAATTGAAGTTGAGAAGCACATTTGTACCTTTAGTAAAAGAAATTAAAATTTTTATATTCTTTGAAATAACAGAATTTTGAAAAAGAAATAAAATTTAAAAAATTTTAAGGCCCAAAAATTCTGTTAATTTCGATCAAAAAAGAGACCTACAAAAATATATAAAAAAAAATCCCCAATGATAACCCGTAGCGTCGTGCTTTAATGACAAAAATGCCGAAGTTTGGAATTTTAGTTTGGTATTTCAGTAGTTTAGGGACTTAGGTATTACTGCAACATAACTACTGACTTTGCAGTCTTTCAATTTTTAAAAATGAAAATATGTGCTTACCACCAATCCCGTATTGTAAATCTTTTTGAAATATTTTTATCCAAATAATATCTTATATATTCTTTAAATAATAATTCAATATTCTAAAAAAGAAAATTTTTTATTAATAAAAAATTAAAAAAAACCTTTTTATATTCAACAGATAAAAGTCTAAAGAATGGATCTCTATATAAATTAATTATAATTCTTGGAAAAATTTTATTTAATTCAACTATTGGAACAGATCTTTGTCCACGACATAAAATTGATTGAAGTAATAATAATAGATTATCTGCACATTCTTTTGTGTCGATATTGTTGAAAAAGGTTCTCACTGTGTAAAAATTTAAAAAATTAATAAAAATTTCTCTCCTCAGTCCAGTTTTCTCCCCTAAAGCCGGCATATTATAAAAATGGAATCAAAATCTAGTCTAACAATTAGATTTATTTAGTCTTGTCGAGAACTCCAAGTGCCACCTCAGATTTATTACCAAAAATTTTCTTTATTTAACAAAAAAACCTCCTTACATTCCTTACTCATAGGCTTTTCTGCAATTATTCTATTCAAATTTTCTTCAATATGTTCTTTCCATTCCCAACTTTCTATCAATTTTTCCATTGGTTCCAACTCACTTGTTCGAGTTGTATTTTTAATCTGTAAATTTATATTTTAAATTAATTTAAAAAAATAAAAAAGACCATTGTAAAAAATGCTTCTTCAGAATCTAATTGTTCACGGAAAAGTTCGACATAATCCTTCTAAATAAAAAATTCTTTATTTCAATTTTCAAAGTCCTGGGCACTGTTCCGGCTATTTCAAAATTGATTGAAAAAAAATTCCCCAAAATTGATTCACCCTCCCAAATTTTTCCTGTCTTCGGACCCATGCCCAGCACTATTTTAAAATAAATAAAAAACCTGTGTTTTATTTCCCAAAATTAATGGACTTCCAATTAGATCAAAATTTTCATTATTCAAAGCTTCAACTAATTTCAAATTTGTATCATAACGATTAAATTTATTTGACGAAAAAGATGATGGTGAGGCTATTGAGGTATCTAATGAAGCTAATCTTGTTGCTGTTCTTTTGATAATAAATAATCGGTAAAAGAGGCGAAGAGTTGGAATTGTTGCAACCATTTTCTGAAATACCCCCTAAACTTTAATTTAAAAAAATAAAAAAAAATAAAATCAAAAAAGGTAGTAATTATTTAAAAATAATATTGAGGAAATAAACAAAATTTGATAAAATAATATTTATTATATAATTTGTGTAGGTAAATAAACATTAGTGTCCGGCGATGTTTTTCGGAGTCTGAAATCCAAAACTGGAAGGATTTTTTCACAATCTCAAAATTATTTCCGGACCCGAAAAAATGCTTATACCGGACACTAATAAAAATATTAAAGAAAAAGAAATGAAAAAATCCAAAATTATTTAAGGGATTATCTTTAAGAATATAATAGTCCACCTAATTTTTTTTTCGCTAACATAAATGTTGGCTAAGTTATTATTATTATTCTATTAATATTTACGGTTGTCGATTCTTGAAAAATCTCTGGATACCCAAACGGAAGAGAACAAACCCCAATATCCGAAAAATGAAAAATCCTCAGTTCAACTCGGTTCAGAACCGCCAACCCTATTCACATTATTGCAAGTGAAAAGATTGAAAAAATGATTTAGATATTAAAAAATAAAATTTTAAGAAAGATCACAGATAAAAAACAAACCGAGAAAATTTTTTAGAACCTACTAGTCATTTTAAATAATTACTCTGAGTAATCATTGTTTCGACCTCTTGCTGGAGAGGGTAATATTTGAGAGAAAGGAACAAAATTTAAGAGGGAAAATTAAGAGACTTTAATTAATTACGCAAAAAACCCTCGTCAAGTGTCATGAAAAAATATGTCTATGACCTTATACAAAGTTATTAATGTGAGAAAAGGAAGGAAAGAGCATTATCGCCAAGTGAAAAAATTATTATTAAAATAGGTAGATTAGGAGGGTATTTTTTAGTAAAAAAATAATATGTACTCAATCATAAACAGATTCACATGATTTTGACCTTGTCTTGTTTTTAGTAGATTACTGAGAAATTAAGCTAAAAGCTTGAGAGAGATTAATTAATAAAATCTTTAAAAAAACTAAAAATAAATCCATTAATAAACAAGTGCCATTTAAAGCTATAAATTTCGCAATGAAATACTGGCACTGAAAAATTAAAAATTACAGAATGAATGTTAGCGATGAAATTGGCAATGAAGTGTTACTTCTTTGTGTTTATTTTTTATCGCTCAGCCATATACTGCCAACTACATCTTTTGCCAATAAGTGTAAAATCAACGTTTTGCCAAAAACTTTGGTGGCAAAACGTGGATTTTAGCCCTACTGGCAAAATATGGTATTGACAAAATGTAAATAGTGTTTACTGAAAATAAAAGAAAAAGATAATGGAAATATAAGAGAGAGAGAGAAAGAAGAAAATAAAGAGTAAAGGAGAACCATTGAAATTTTTTAAATTAAAAATCCAAGAAAATTTAAAAGTAAATTTCAGAAAACAAATTAAAAAATGAGTGCTAAAGATCAAATTGCTGCAATGTTGAATGAATTGATGGGTCCCGGCCGAAATCAAGACAAAAATCTTGACCTCAATTTCAGGGTTTCTTTAAATTATTTCTTATTTTTTTCAATTTGATATATCAAGGATGCCGATGTTTGCAAATTCTTTTTAGCTGGATTTTGCCCACACGAAGAATTTACAAATACAAAAGCTGATTTGGGTAATATTTTAAAATAAAATGATTTAAGAAAAAATATTTTTTTCTTTAAAGGATCATGCAAATATGTCCATGATGAGTAAGTGAACCTATTTTTAATATATCGTATTTACTCAAATAATTACTCTCCCTCAAATTATCGCCTCCTAAAAAAGCAAAAAATAGCCCTCTCTCGATTAGTTACCTTCTCCTGCGGAGGTTGAAACAAGAGAGGTACCCGGGCTAATTATTTGAGCACACATAGTATAATTTTTTTCTACAAAAATTTTTTAAAAGTAATCTTCGAATTGCTTATCGAAAGAGTGAATTTTACGAGAAGTTAGGTTATGAAAAACAATTTTACAATTTTTTGGTTCGAATTAAAGATGATATGCAAAGAAAAATTGAAAAGAATAAAGAACGTTTGGCATTAACACAAGGGCCACAGGTTTCTAATTTTCTAAATAAAATTTTCAAAAATTTTTAAAGAATATGGATGAATCAACAAAAAAACATTTAAATGAAAAAATTGGACGTTTAGAAAAAGAAATGTCTGATTATGTGGAAATTGCAGAAAAAGCTGGATTAAAAGGAGATTTGGATAGATCACAAAGATATGTAAAAAGAGCAGAAGAAGTTAATTTAGAATTGGAGGCTGTGAGGAAGGTTTGAATTTTAGAAATAAATTTTGGAATTGATAAACAGAAAAATAAAAATAAATTATCCACCCTAGAGCTATGAGCACTTGGAGAAGAAAATGGGGAATCTTAAACCTGGGTTTACTCTTTAAAAAAGTCTGGGCTTCGGGAAAAGTCTGAGCTATCCCTGCTCGATAATTCAAAAATGATCGAAAAAATGTAGTAGAGAACCCAAACTCCCTCTAGCTCAAAAATAATTTTTTTTATTTTTAGCTTTTCTTACCACCTGAATATACGGCTGGCTATAAAGATCCTAATGGTATTCTTTTTTTAATTTTAAATTTATTTACCCACCTCTTTTTTCTTCTAGCTCCAAAACCAATGCGTATTTGTGAAGTTTGTGGAAGTTTTTTAATTATTGGAGATTGCCAGCAACGGTTTTTTTTGTTGTTTTTTGACTTTAATAATTTGTTGTTAAGAATTGATGATCATATGCAAGGAAAACAACATTTGGGATTTGCAAGAGTTGCTGAGACAATTGAGGAACTTAAGGTTCTTTTCTATTTTTTGACGTTGAACTTGTTGTCGGGTTCTAAAAATGGTTTAGAAATTCTTAGGATTCAAATGTTATTTTTCGATTTTGAGGGAAGAGGGTCCTATGCCTTCCCAAAGTTTTCCTATTCTACCTGCTCGCAAATTACCTCTTTCTCTGCTTAATCACTCAAAAATATAAACCCCTTTTCAGGAAAAACTTGACAAGGAAACTTCGCCAATCCGTTCACGTAGCCGTTCGCGTTCAAAGAGTCCAGAGCGTCGTCACCATCATTCGAGTTCGTCACACTCATCGCACCACCATCGTGATCGTACTGGTTCGCACAAGAGTGATTCGGGGTCGCACAAAGCTGACAAACGTCATGACGAGAAGCACCACAAACGGTTAATTCTTTCACATACCTTTTAATATTAAAAAAATTTTTTATTAAGTCACCGAGATCGTTCACGTTCACGAGACCGCTCTCCTCGTCACAAAGGCCGTTCGTCTCGTTCACGTTCCCCGCGTTCAAAATCGCGACGTTAGAAAGAGGTTACTCAAACAATGGATATATTCAGGTAAATGATCATCATCCTCTTGAAAATATTCTCTCAGAATTGCATTGAGAAACCAGTGATGTTTTGTTGTTGCATTAAATGTTTACCAAAAAATGAGGTTTAAAAAATCCCATGTGTCATGAGGATTTTTCATATATAATTTGTTAGGTTTCTATACAAAGACACAAAATGAAATTGCTTCTTTCAAGGTTTTTTCAAAAAAGGTTTCTACCCATTTCCTACTCCATACTTTTTAAAGACCAAAACTGACACTTTCTCCGTCGATTTCCCAATTGACTTTACTTTTCCATACACAATCACACTTTATTAGGTTGACCCACAATCATTTCCTTTCTTTCATTAAATCTATTTTTTTAACTTCAAGGTATTTTTTCAGAAAAATCTCTTAACCCCCTTACAAAATTAACCACATTTTAATTTTTTAAACAGATTGAATACTTGGAATTTTTTTGCTTCTGGAATCTTTCTGATCGGAATTTTTGTTGGGATGATTTAAAAAAAGAAATGCGATCCAATTTTAAGGTTATATACTACATTCGCAATTTCAAATCATTTTTGTTATAAAAATATTCTACTCTCTCTTACAAATTACCGTTGCTTCTCCCTTACATGTTATTTTTGACTGATAAAAATATTTTTCCCTTAAAAAACTTGAAAAATCTTGAATACTCTAAAAATAATAAAAATCTTTCTCTCATTAACAAAAAAAAACAAAAAAACTTTAACAAAAGAAGTACGTTGACTTTAGTACTTCATTAATATCTAATTCTCCTAATTTTAATGATGATGAATCAAAAACATTGCTTATATCTGATACAAGCTTTTCCGGCATTTTTTCACGGATAGAATCCGTTAAATATGTTGAATTGAATGACTAAAAAATTTTAAATGAATTTTTGAAAATTTTAGGAATAAATTTAAAAATAAATTTTTCCTTACTTGAGATAATTTTTGAATTATTGGCTGTTTGTGTAGGGCAATAAATTGTTCTCGACAAATCTTTAAAAAAATTCAAAAATAAAATTTGAAAAGAATATTTTTAAAAAAACCTTATTCATTTCATCAACATCACAAGCATGTGTCCAATAACAATCGTGTATAGCAGCAAATGTTATTCCAAGTTTTCGGCAATAAAGGGAAGTAAGCATCATATGAGTTGAATCGAGTGAATGAACAAAATTTGGAGGGAAAGCATTCATCTATTAAGGAAAAATTTTTTCCAAAGGAGTTTTTCAGAGAGTGTTTTGTTTCAAGAGAAGGCAAGAGCGCGTTTTAATACCAAATCCTCAGAAGCTGCCAAAATATCAAACAGTAAATAACATCGTAATACCAACCCTCCCAAAAAATTTGGTATTTCAACGTCTTTTGGCGGTTTGGTATTCGGAGCATGCCTATTACAACATCATACTAGTAAGACTTTTGAAAAAACAAACTTGTTTATGTCGAATCGGCAAAAAAGCTAGAGCATCATCTACTTGTTCAACAGTAACATATGGTTGAACAACAGGTAAACCAAGAGGTGTAACCCATTCTAAAGGTTGTCTTAATTTTAGGACTTGACCAGCACAAGATTTAAACCAAATCATTAAATTCCTAGAAAGAAATTTGCAAATTTAAGAAAAATTTAAAAGAAACTTTGAATTTTCAAAAGCGTCTGTTAGTCCATCAAATGTTCGCTTTGTCAAATATGTTGCAAAACGAGAGGCCTTTAAAAAAATTTTTTTGAACAAAAAATTTAAAAAATTTAACCTCCTTATTTCTGTCTGGAATATCAATAGTAATTAATTGTCGTCTAATTTGTTCTCTTGCACCATAATGAGTTACACCATAAGCTACAGTCATTACCTTTAAACAAAAATTTTTTAATTTTTCAAAAAAATTTTCTTTAAAAAAACCGTTTGTTTAATTATTTTTCTTTCAATTGGCCCACTTATAAATTCTCTCATTTCTTTTGAAATTTCATGATATTTACTCGTTACGTCTTCCTCATCTTCTTTTCGAAATTTTTCAACCCTAGAAAATTTTTTTTTAATTTCAAAAATTTAAAAAAATTTAAACCGTTCCAATACAGTTGTATAAATATCTTGTGGAACTTCGGAAGGTACAAGATTAACTCCAACCGCCCCTTTAAGATCACGTCCAAGTGCTGCATAATGTTGTAAACCATTACAAGAACCATCCTAGAAAAATTTTTTAAAAATTTCTAAAAAAATTTTTTTACTTGATGTATAGGTAAATGACTACAAAACTTGTGCGGATCACCACTTTTTATTGCATCTCTAATTTCTATACAAGCAGCAAGTGTTTGCCAAGGTTCTTCAGTATCTTCCCACCACCAATTTCCTCCTTCAAAAAAATTTTTTTTGAAATTTAAAAATTAAAAAAAACCTTCAAAAGGTTTTTCAGCAGATTTAATCATTTCGTCAAAATGTTTTTCGGCATATTCTAGTCTTTCAGAAAGTGGTTTTCTTTTTAATTTTCCAGTAATATTTACGCAGTGTAATTTTAACCAACGAAAACCATCAACACCCAAAGGTTTTCCTAAGTTTAGAAAAATTTTTAGACACTTCTTTTGAGACTAAAAATCTTCTCTTCTATAATGAGGCGTGTGTTAAATTGGTGGTAACCCTTTACCTGGACACTTTGTCTGTAGACACAAACCGTAAGGTGTTGGTGGATCCTGATCCGAAAAAGACCGTATATCTAAAAAACTTCGGTTCGAAAATCAGAGCCGGATATTTGAAAATTCCCCAGGATCAGCCAACCTTATTCAGTAGCCTATCAAAATTCAAAAAAACCCCAATCTTAAATTAAGGTGGGCCTAATTTTAAGGTTATTTTATTTTTAGATTCGACTATTAATAATTAAAAAAACCTTTTGCAAATTTTAAAAGTCCTCTATTTAAATCATCCCCCATATGATTAATTTGTGGTGAAATTGGATAACAACGACCACGAAAATCCAAATTATGAGGAAAATAAATATCTTGATTAGTATAATGTTTTGCCAAAATTAAACGATAAATTAGCCAACACCAAAGAGAATTTTGCTCATTTCTATAAAAATTAATTTTAGAAAAAGTTTTTTGGGATAGAGGGTGCCGAAATTTATTTCAAAAAGTGAAAGATAAAAGGTGGAACTGGCACAACTCATGAGCTAGAATATAGCTGATTGTTTTGAGTTCATTAGTATTCTATAAGGCCGTAATGCCAAACGACATAAGACCAACCCCCACAAAAACTCGTCAAAATACCTAGCTGTATAAATGACGTAATACATGCCAAATAAAAAGTTAGTCAGAGGGTTTGGTATTACGGCGTTTTCGGATTACGGCGCGCAGACAGGCCAACAGGTTTTGGATAGACTTTTCGATATATTTTTAGAAATTTAAAAATAACTAAAATTTAAACAAACTTTATTTTGGTCATTAATGCCCTTTTATGATTAAATTCTTTTCTAATAAATTCATCCAATTCTTCTTCACTTTTTCCTTCAACTTCTTTATTCTTTTTTAAATATTGCTTTTTAAATCTATCATAATCCAAAGGAATCCAACAAGTTTTTGGATGTCTAGGAATTGCCAATTTTTTGAGAAATGAAGCATTTTTTGAATTATAAGACATTTCTAATGCTTTCATCATATGTCCGAGAATTTCCTTTAAAAAAATTATTTTTTATTTTTAAATTTAAAGTTAACGATCTGTACTAAAATCAGACCAAACCCCGCAGAAATACCAAAACTTCAAACGCCGCAGAAATACCGGAATTTTTTGGGTAGGGTTGATATTTCGGCGGTTCTTGAAGTTTGGTATTTCTCGTTTGGTGCGCTAACAAAAATAAATGGGCGTTTCTTTAAAAACTCCCCAAATAAATAAAAAAATCCAGGGATATTGTTTAAGTGAACTAAACCTTTAAAAAAGTTTAAAAAATTTTTTCTTACTTCATTAATTTTCCACGGTGTAGAACCCAAATCATTCAAAGCATCAAAAACAGGTCTAGCTTGTATTTTATTTTCAATACGTTTATCCAATAATTCAGCATTTAAATTTAAATGTGGATATTCGTCCATATCTCGAATTAATTTTGATTTGAAAAAATAATTTGGGCCACATTTGCCTCTGTCTAGCCATGGACGTGGAGGGACCTTTCAAAAAATATTTTTAATTTTTTAAAAATTAAAAAAAAATTCAAACCTTCATAGGTAACAAATGACTTTCAAAATACAAATATTCAAATTGATGTCTAGAACAATAAATTTCCGAAATATGATAATGAACTTTTAGCATTTTGCAAAAATTTGTTTTATAACCCAATCCTTCATGTGGATTTAATTCTTCAATTTGAACTTCTCCAATAGAAAAAGCATGTTGCCAACGTTTTTTACCGTTGTTGCTTTCATTTTTTGTTCCTCGATAAAGTGGAAATTCACAATGTTCAATTAGAAAAGAAATAAATAAATTGGAAATCTAAATTGGAAATTTTTATAAAAAATATTGTAGAAGTCCTCACATCTTGAATAGGTGTTTTAAAAAATTCTTCAAATTGGGGAAAATAATCTGGAGGCAATTGAAGTTGAGAAGCACATTTGTACCTTTAGTAAAAGAAATTAAAATTTTTATATTCTTTGAAATAACAGAATTTTGAAAAAGAAATAAAATTTAAAAAATTTTAAGGCCCAAAAATTCTGTTAATTTCGATCAAAAAAGAGACCTACAAAAATATATAAAAAAAAATCCCCAATGATAACCCGTAGCGTCGTGCTTTAATGACAAAAATGCCGAAGTTTGGAATTTTAGTTTGGTATTTCAGTAGTTTAGGGACTTAGGTATTACTGCAACATAACTACTGACTTTGCAGTCTTTCAATTTTTAAAAATGAAAATATGTGCTTACCACCAATCCCGTATTGTAAATCTTTTTGAAATATTTTTATCCAAATAATATCTTATATATTCTTTAAATAATAATTCAATATTCTAAAAAAGAAAATTTTTTATTAATAAAAAATTAAAAAAAACCTTTTTATATTCAACAGATAAAAGTCTAAAGAATGGATCTCTATATAAATTAATTATAATTCTTGGAAAAATTTTATTTAATTCAACTATTGGAACAGATCTTTGTCCACGACATAAAATTGATTGAAGTAATAATAATAGATTATCTGCACATTCTTTTGTGTCGATATTGTTGAAAAAGGTTCTCACTGTGTAAAAATTTAAAAAATTAATAAAAATTTCTCTCCTCAGTCCAGTTTTCTCCCCTAAAGCCGGCATATTATAAAAATGGAATCAAAATCTAGTCTAACAATTAGATTTATTTAGTCTTGTCGAGAACTCCAAGTGCCACCTCAGATTTATTACCAAAAATTTTCTTTATTTAACAAAAAAACCTCCTTACATTCCTTACTCATAGGCTTTTCTGCAATTATTCTATTCAAATTTTCTTCAATATGTTCTTTCCATTCCCAACTTTCTATCAATTTTTCCATTGGTTCCAACTCACTTGTTCGAGTTGTATTTTTAATCTGTAAATTTATATTTTAAATTAATTTAAAAAAATAAAAAAGACCATTGTAAAAAATGCTTCTTCAGAATCTAATTGTTCACGGAAAAGTTCGACATAATCCTTCTAAATAAAAAATTCTTTATTTCAATTTTCAAAGTCCTGGGCACTGTTCCGGCTATTTCAAAATTGATTGAAAAAAAATTCCCCAAAATTGATTCACCCTCCCAAATTTTTCCTGTCTTCGGACCCATGCCCAGCACTATTTTAAAATAAATAAAAAACCTGTGTTTTATTTCCCAAAATTAATGGACTTCCAATTAGATCAAAATTTTCATTATTCAAAGCTTCAACTAATTTCAAATTTGTATCATAACGATTAAATTTATTTGACGAAAAAGATGATGGTGAGGCTATTGAGGTATCTAATGAAGCTAATCTTGTTGCTGTTCTTTTGATAATAAATAATCGGTAAAAGAGGCGAAGAGTTGGAATTGTTGCAACCATTTTCTGAAATACCCCCTAAACTTTAATTTAAAAAAATAAAAAAAAATAAAATCAAAAAAGGTAGTAATTATTTAAAAATAATATTGAGGAAATAAACAAAATTTGATAAAATAATATTTATTATATAATTTGTGTAGGTAAATAAACATTAGTGTCCGGCGATGTTTTTCGGAGTCTGAAATCCAAAACTGGAAGGATTTTTTCACAATCTCAAAATTATTTCCGGACCCGAAAAAATGCTTATACCGGACACTAATAAAAATATTAAAGAAAAAGAAATGAAAAAATCCAAAATTATTTAAGGGATTATCTTTAAGAATATAATAGTCCACCTAATTTTTTTTTCGCTAACATAAATGTTGGCTAAGTTATTATTATTATTCTATTAATATTTACGGTTGTCGATTCTTGAAAAATCTCTGGATACCCAAACGGAAGAGAACAAACCCCAATATCCGAAAAATGAAAAATCCTCAGTTCAACTCGGTTCAGAACCGCCAACCCTATTCACATTATTGCAAGTGAAAAGATTGAAAAAATGATTTAGATATTAAAAAATAAAATTTTAAGAAAGATCACAGATAAAAAACAAACCGAGAAAATTTTTTAGAACCTACTAGTCATTTTAAATATGTTGACTCTTTTCACGTCCAAGTAAAAATTCAGCAACACCAATATAATAAACCATCTGGGCAATACCAAAGAGTGGGGCCATCACCATCATTCGACAGCCTGCACCTTTGAAAAAAGCACGAGGGCCTTCGTTTTTTAAAATTTTTCTACAAAAAAATTTCTTTAAAAATATTTTTTAAATTTTTTACCTAAACGCGTCCAATATTCCTCTATATGGGGGTGAATCTGTTGAGGATTTTTCAATTAATTGAATTCGTGTTTTGATAACCTCAAAAATTTTAAATTAAAAATTTTTTTTAATTTTATACATCCAATGGAGTCACTGAAAAAGAGGCTATAGCACCCGCTACAATACCAGCAAGAAAGGAAGCATAAAAAACAGCATCTCCACTTTGAGGTGATTTTCTGGGCCCCTTTAGAAAAAATTTTTTTAATTAAAAAGTGTCAAAAATTTAAAAAAATTTAAAGACATACTAATGCATCCAGTGTAGCAAAAAGTGGAAAATACATAACAGAAAATGTAACATCTCTGGCCATTGTTGGGGCTAATCCTCTGTATAAGCCAAATATTCCTTTTTCCTTGATGAGATTTAAAGCTAATTTTGTTGCTGATGTTTTGCTTGTTGAACTGGCTTCTGAAAAAAATTTCTTCATTTTAAAAAATTTTCCTATAAAATTTTTCAAAAAAATTTCAAAACCCCCAAGACTCTAATAGCCTCTTTAAAAAAATTTTTTTTAGAAAACGCCAAAAATTTGCGCTCATTAAATCGTCAGCTGGCTCTCTTTTTTTACAACCACCCGTCTTCTTTTTTATTTTCTAGAACATTCTAGAACCTTCCCTTTCTTTCTAAACCACTAAATCTTCACTCATTTTTTTTATTTTTAGAAATTTCTACAATATTCTAGAAAATTTATTTCTTAACCAAATTTTCCCCTATAAATATGCCTCAAATTTCCCAGTCCAACAATTCCAAAAATTCAAGCAACAAACAAAAACCACTCTCAAAAAACTCTCAAAACCAAACAAAAAATGCCATTGTGTTCTTCTTCCCCGTTCTTTTGGCCTGTAGCCGAACCTCGAACTCGTTCCTCCTTACGCCGATTTGATGATTTTGGTGACTTTTTTAATGTTCCAAGAACTGTTTCAATTTATTGGCCAACATTGAATGGAGCATTTGAACAAATTTTGAATGATGGAACTCATCAAATGTAAGAAAAAATTTTTTTATTGTTAAATTTTGAGAAAAATATTTCCACACCCAAAAGGGAAAATTTTCAAAAAAATTTCAAAAATTTTTTTGTAAGGGCTCAGGGTTCGAACCCTGTCAGGAAAAATAATTTTTATTTTCTATTTTTAATTAAAGTAATTTTTTTTCTTTTCAGTAACGATTTACTCGGCAACATCCGTCAAACAGATGATTCCTTATTCAAATTTTCTTGTGATGCTTCTGATTATCGACCTGGAGAAATTGAAGTTAAAATTGATGGAGAAGAATTAATAATTACTGCAGAACATAAAAAAGAAGACGAACATCAATCAATTCATCGTTCATTTACTCGACGTGTTCAATTACCCAAAAATATTAAAAAGGAAACAATTGAATGCAGCGTTGATTCTAATGGACAATTTAATGTTACAGCGGAATTAATTAAACCGGAAAAGAAGCAAGAAGAAAAACAAAAAGCTATTAAAATTCCAATTAAAATTGTTGGAGAAAACGGAGAAATTGAAGGGGAGAAGGCAAAAACGGCTGAACAAAAGGCCGAAGAAAAGAAGGAAGACGAAAAGGACTAGAAGGAAGATGAGAAGATGTAAACAAAAAGAAATATTCCGGAAAAACATTCTTTTACTTTAAATATTTTTGAGCGATATTCGCAATATTTTTTCTTTAATTTTCGGGAAATTTTTTGTATTCTTTTTTTAATTTAAAATAAATCTTTTTGTAAAAGGAATTGTTTATTTTTTAAAATTAAGTTAGAACTCGAACTCCCTTAGCGTGCCCCAAAACCACCCCCGTCTTATTTAAATCCACTTTTAAAAATTTAAAAAAAAATTTACAAACGTTGCATTTGTATTTTGAGTAATTCCATAGGTGTTGTTACAATTATTTGACAAAAACCTGCTGCACCACCTGCAAGCATTCCTTTTGGTATTGAAAGTTTTCTTTAAAATTTTTTAATTCTTTTAGTTATAATTTAAAAAAACTTTTCATTTGGAGATGCCAATTTATAACGAAAAAAATCATTAGCAACCAATTTTATTGCCTTTTCTGGAGTTATCAACAAAATATTTACACTGGAGCCAGAATATAATGAACGAATTTTGCTTAAAAAATAAATTTTTAGCAAATTTCTAGGCTACTTAAAAATAGTTTAGGTTGCCTAAAAATGTAAAACACATCTAGCAAGAAGAAAAAGAATTTCGGATTAAAGAGGAAACCCCCCTACTCAAGTGAATCGAACCCTCAATAATAAAAACATAAGGAAAATGATAACCAACAAAATAATTTCCGTTAGGTAAATTCTTAAAAGTTATTTAAAAAACCAGACCCATCTAGCAACAAAAAAATTTTAAAAAAATTCCAAGGAAAACCCACAACTCAAAGGAATCGAACCTAAGAGAATAAACAAACTAGATCACCAGCCCAAAACCACTTAACCCACAAAAATCAATAAAAAACCTGTAAACATTAGGCCCCCCATTCTTCCATGTTTGACGTCCACAATCCAAACTTTAATTTAAAAAAATTTCTTAAAAAAATTAAATTTTTCTTCCTTACATTCCTTGATATTGAACCTTTCCATTAGGCAATTCTTTTTGATTTTGTAAACGTGTTTTGACCAAATCTATAGGAAATACACAAGTTACACCAACAATTCCTGCAATTCCTCCATTTATGATTTTTGGTAAATAACTAAAAAAAAGATTTTCTACAGATTTTTGAA